TGAAGAATTTATAGCACACTGAATTAAGGGTATAAAATCATCCCAATTGTTCTTATCAAAATTCAACGTGACTCTCAAGGCATCTAACACTTTCCTGTTAGTACGTTCAGCTAATCCGTTGCTTGCTGGATGATAAGGCATGATACTACATTTTTTAATGTTATATAAATCACACAAGCTCGTTAAAATACTATCACTGAATTCTGAACCATTATCTGAAAGGATTACTTTAGGCATACTATATCTACAAATTATTTGGTCATGGAATGCACTGGCTATAGTTTCTTCTGTTTTGTTCGGGATAGGAACTAGTTCACAATACTGTGAAAAATTATCAACCATTACAAACAAATGTTTGTTCCCTTTCTCTGTTTTCGCAAAATTTGTCAATAAATCCATCGATACTCATTCCCAAGGAGGTTTTGTTGCTGGGTACACCTGAATTGGATTAGGTCCTGAAACATGTCCCTTGTGCTGTTAGCAAGTTAAACATCTGTCAACATAATGAGCAATCTCCTTAGCCATTTTTGGCCCAAAATACTTCAATCGACCTTGTTGGAGCATACGATCCTTTCCTGGATGTGCACTTGCGGGAGCATCATGGATAATTTTGAACACAGTTGGTACTAAGACAGCTGGAACAATTTTACTACTCTACACAGTAAATTGTCCAACATAACTAATTCTTTCAATGGTACTGGCGGTTTATGAATCGGGCGAGTGTCTTACTTAGTCAAAAATTTAATGACGGGTGCCCATATGGGGTCTTGTCTTTGTTCCGTCTCGACTACTGTAGCATCTAATGCTGGGTAATTTAACTGAATCGCAGCTACGTGTCGAGAAAACGCATCAGCTACAACATTTTGCTTTCCTGGAATATAACCAAATGTGGGATTGAATACTTGAATTGTGAGCAAATATCTAGCAAACTTTCCAACTGGATTCTTATTTTTGAACAAAGGAATTAATGGTTGGTGATCTGTAAGAACATGAACTGGGTAATTATAAATTGTATCCTTGAAATGTTTAAGTGCCCAGACAACTGCCAAGGCTTCTCGTTCTGTTGCACTATAATTTTTCTCTTCTTCAGATAATGTACGGCTAGCATAAGCTATAGTGTGATCTCTGTGACCTTCTGTTTGAAGTAATGCAGCACCTCAACCTATGTCACTAGCATCTGTAACCAACATAAAAGGTTTAGAAAAATCTGGGTACCTAAGGACAGGTGACGAAATCAAGGCTGCTTTGAGTTTTTTGAATGACTGATCCTGGGCCTCTCCCCAAACAAAGGGTTCATCTTTTCTTTGCAACTTATAAAGTGGAGCGGCTATAATAGAGAATCCAGCAATAAATGAACGATAAAATCCTACAAGACCTGTGAACTGTCTTACGGCTTCTGCGGTACGAGGCATTGGAAAATCACGGGCAGCAATAATTTTTTATTCATTCAATGTAATACCTGAAGGTGTAACTGTATGACCTAGGAAATTAATCTTCTCCTTTAAAAATGAACATTTTGCAAGCTTTAGTTATTTTTAAATTAGCTTCAGCGAGCTTTGCAAGTACTTTCTCAAGGTTCTGGAAATGAGCCTGAACATCTTGGCGACATGATTATGAGATCATCAAGGTAAACTAGAAGAGTACTTCCTATCAATCTACGAAAGAGATTTGTCATGAATCGTGAAAAGGTTATTGGACTACTCCGCAAACCAAATGGCATTCTTTTGAAATGAAAATGACCATTGGGAGTACTAAAGGCTGTCAATTGTTTACTTTCCTCATCAAGGGGGATTTGCCAGAATCCCTGCAACAAATCTAATGTTGAGAATACTTTATTTCGACCAATACTTTGCAACAAATCATTTAGAACTGGAAGTGGGAAACGATCAGGTATCGTTACTCTGTTAAGTTTCCGATAATCGATTACAGGTCTCCAAGTCCCATCTCGCTTTGGAAACCTACCGCTGCCACCAGTATTCGTTGCCTTGTGGGGTTGAATATTATACTCAGTAGGCGCCTCTGTAGTTTTATTGACTAAGACAGCAAGGTGTATAACTGGCCAGCCAAGGTCCACCTACTCTGGGTCTGTGAGAGAACTGAGCCTGCTGGGAGCACGGCTGGTGACTGTCTGTCTGGCATGACGTCAGAGGCCTACTCGTCTGTGATTGGTTATGTTCCAACTTGTCATAGAATTTGAGTATATCATATATGCAACAAAATTTATATACATATTCGCAAGCAAGTAACAATTAAGTAATGTAATACAAGGCACAAGTCATAGCAGCTAGATATCACTAAGCAAAGATCATCTAATAACATTGTTACACTAGACAAGACTGGCTGGCAGGTTGTTAACATGGTGGATGGTGACATTACATAACCAGTGGGGGGGGGATAATGTCTCAGCATGAACATCAATAACACAAGTCAGTGAACTATCACTTTGCCTGCAGAAAAACTAAGTCCCAAATGGACTGGGGCAACTGGCAAAGTGTAAAATTCTTCTCGAAAGTCTAAGTCTACAATGACTGACCAATAGCAAAGTCAGTTTCTCATCTTCAAACGTTAGAGTTATGTTACGAACCAGGCATTTACCCCATTCCTAACTATTGAAATGTATGCATAATTATACATTCATCACGCCTCATTTGGCCATGGACTACAAATTTACCATATTTCTGTTTCCAGTTTCACAAGTACTATGTTACATTATAACACTCTGATTGTGTGTATGTTACAGTGATGCCATTGTATTACCCTGTTGTATTGTATTGTATGAGTTGGGCAGTGGTGCGGGCGTGTACCAGTGGACCTGTATTGGACGGGGGCTTAACGCGAACTTAACACGTCATTGTTATCTGCTGTGCGTTCTTATTCATTACCATTGTTTTCCTTATGAGAAGAATAATTATTTGAGATGTTGTTCCAGTGTGTCTAAGATATTATGTACTTATGTTTATAAGTGTATGGCTGTGTGTGTCTCTCTGTGGGGGGAAGTGTGGTTGTTGAGTTATTTTAGTTGTGCTTGGCTATAATGGGCCTGGGGCCAAATTCATGAAGCAGTTACGCAAGTACTTACGAACGTGTACATCTTTTATCAATCTTTGATGCCTTTGGTTACATTTATTAAACAGTATACAAGCATGAAAACTTTCCAATCAACTGTTGTTATTGATATAAACTAGGGGGGGGGGGAATAAATCATGGGATTTATATTTATTTAGTTTATATTAATTGATATATTAATTTACATTTTTCGTTAATTTAGATATTTCTATAAAAAACTATCTTTTTTTTTTTGGCAGGGATATTCCTGCGCGGGGAAAAACTGCATGATGTTTAAACTATATGATTAAAAATATCCACAAATCTCTTTCCAACACATTCTGGTGGGATTATGCTTTATATATATATATATATATATATATAGTCTATCAATCAAAATTATTGATTGATAGACATTCACTACAGTATTAGCCTACATATATTAGTAACTAAACATTAAATACAGCTTATCTGTATTGTAGCGAGCCATGTGCTCCAGTTACGAACACTGATGATCACACCAAATAATCCTCGGGGACGAGGCTACTATAACCATATGTTACTGGGGTATGAGGTAGAAACAATTCTGCTACTTCTTCGTCCTCCTCCCATACAGACATACCTGTCAAAGGGCACACAATAATAGTAATAGCCTATATGACAGCTATATCAGGGGGAAATATTGGTAATTTAAATAAAGAGATGAGAATATTGCTTGTCTGATGTTTATTCTCGCCATGCATTCTTACCGGGTCACCCTAGCTACCTACATTTCAGCAGGGGATCAGATTCACAAAGTAGTTACCCAAGCACTTACGAACCTGTACATCTTTTCTCAATCTTTGGCGGTTTTGTTTACAATTATTAAACAGTTAATGAGCTTCAAAGCACCAGGAGGCTGTTTATAACAACAACAATTGATTGGGAAGTTTTCATGCTTGTAAAGTGTTTAATAAATGTAACCAAAACCGTCAAAGATTGAGGAAAGATGTATACGTTCGTAAGTACTTGTGTAACTGCTTCGTGAATCTGGCCTCAGGTTCGTAAGTGGCTTACACAATTGCTTCGTGAATCTGGCCCCAGGTCTGGCTTGCTGGCAGTCAGAGCGGGCGGAGAGTTCAGTTGCAGGTTGGTGGAGCTGGCTACTGGACGTGTCTCTAAGGTAAGTATAGGGTATATTTTGTTTGTGCTTAGGTGTTGCTATTGAATCTGATATTGATTTATTAAGCCATTCCTCATGTATTTTTAAGTGTGTCAGTGGTCATAAACCTGTGAACAGTGATTATTATTATTGTCTGCATTTTGTATTAGTTGTCCTTAACACAGAGAAAACTGGTGTTCTCATTTTATAACAGTGTTTTATTTAATGATTCCTTTAGCATAAGGTAAATATAAGTTGTAGTAACTGTTTTCGCGAACTCAGTTGCGTAACAAGTTACAATGACTGAAAAATATGGTAGTCAGGAATATCCTCTCAAAAGTTAGTCCACACAGGCCTCAAAATATAACAATCCCCTCCAAACGGCAGTTAAAATATGTCACTTCACGAGAGTTACAATTTGTGAATTAACGTGATAACACTTATGTTAACTCTGATCCACACAATAATCCTCTGCTTACCTACTGGAAAGAAGACAATAGATAAGAGGACGTCCCTTCATACAACATAAATCTTTTTTACCAAAAGGAAGGGAGGGGGGTGAGGTATCCCAAGATGTACCAATAGCTCAAGCTTAGACAGTGTGCGAGGCTTGCACAGGTCCGCACACAACACTGCTTCCACAGTGTCAGTTATTCAAGTACAATGGTGATCTGGCCGAGATGGTTAGCATCTATTTGATCTAAAATCGTTCATAGGCATAGGCATTTACCCTTAGGTAAATGGAGTGTGATTCAGTAATATAAGTAACGAAGCTGCCAAGGATTCGGCATTCCCCCCAAGGTCTGGTACTCACCCGACGGAGGAAGTGGAGGATCCCTGGCTGGTGGAGGCGGTACAGGAGCCTGGGAATAGCTGGAGCGAAAGGCTGGAGCATAAGAGCCGTGACTCCTCACACCTACATGGGATCCATGGGCTCGACCACCAGGGCCACCATCAGAGGTGTGGTCGTCCAGCACCCGCCTGGTCGAGTACTTCCTGCTCGCCTTCTTGGCTTCCTCAAAGCCACCGTGATTCTCTATGAAGTCGTAGACAAACTTCCGCGTGTTATCGTCAGCCATCGTCTTCTTATCCAACCCTACCTAATGGGGGGGGGAAGTGGAGTTGGTCACAAGGCTCGTAATTTTTAATTAAGCGTCAAGTTGCTTCTTAGATCTTGACTCTACTAGTATGGTGTGTAAGATTATATTTAGCTTTAAATCTGGCGTGTTTATATTACTGAAAACTGTTTAAATCTGAAGATTAATGTGTGAGCAGGATTGGTATCAGCCGAGATGGTAGTACTAGTACCCCACAACCCCTCCACACACACACACACACACTAACCCAGCGGATCCTAACCTTTACTGTAGCTTTCACGCTTTTTGGTTCTCAAAGTTTATGTTCCTGCACAAATTCATAATGTTAATATATAGGACCTGATCTGCCTGGCAGGGGCCTCGCGTAACCCAGTGAGTGCATACACCCGTCTACACACAACCGACCCCACACCAACCCACTGACTCCCACACCCCAACACCCACACTCCTTCCCTCCCCCACGTACTCTCAGACCAGCTCACACATTGCGTGACCCCCACATGCCAACATTAACTTCCACAAGCCATTGATGTAATCCGGAAGTGCTGTTAAATAGCAATATGGTAGCTAAAGTACTGTTATGTGATAGGTCGTGGCACTAACTCCATTCTCTACAATGGCTCTCTTAAACCCATATTAACCACTAGCAGTCATACCCACAACTACCACCTGCACACACATCCACCCCTTACACCAACACACACACACTTCCCACACCCACCTATCCACCCAACCCTCCTACGCAGTTGTTCGCCTTAGGCTCAATGGACATACTGTAGTGTGGCTTGTATCAGCCAAGCAACATGCAGTGTCCGAGTGTGTAGCATCACTGCCAATATCCTAACACCGCGGCTGTGGTTCCTGAGCACATTATGTGCCTCTTACTCTTTTTTTCCACCACACCTCACAGGATGGGTATAAAGGGCATAATGACTTAACTAACAACCGTCCATTTGGTCACCATTTGGTCCGGGAGACATCTCCCGTCACGCAGGGTGCAGTCGCACCTCCACAGATCTCCAGTATCATCTATTGATACTGGTAATGGCTCAAAAGGGCCACCACTTATTGGCTATTCATGCCCGTGTCACCTTTTGGGTGGCTTAATCTTCATCAATCAACTAACAACCCACGGGAGACATCTCCCGTCACGCAGGGTGCAGTCGCGCCTCCACAGATCTCCAGTATCAGCTCTTGATACTGGTAATGGCTCAAAAGGGCCACCACTTACGGGCTATTCATGCCCGTGCCACCTCTTGGGTGGCTTAATCTTTATCAATCAATCAATCAACTAACAACCCACGGGAGACATCTCCCGTCACGCAGGGTGCAGTCGCGCCTCCACAGATCTCCAGTATCAGCTCTTGATACTGGTAATGGCTCAAAAGGGCCACCACTTATTGGCTATTCATGCCCGTACCACCTTTTGGGTGGCTTAATCTTCATCAATCAATCAACAAACAACCAACTAGCTCTGGGTTGGGACCAGCAGACCCAGAGGCACTACGTAAGGACTAGAGGCCGTGGTTCAGGCCTTTGCGACACACTAGAATAGAATGGAACTATCAGGGGAAAAGCGCCAAGCCATTATGACTATATAGCACTTGGAAGGGGCCAGGATAAGGATTTGGGAGGGGAGGGGGGGGGGAAAGGAATGGTGCCCAATCACTTGGACGGTCGAGGATAGAACGCCGACCTGCATGAAGCGAGACCATCGCTCTACCGTCCACCCCAAGTGATTGGACGTGACCCACTAGAAGCATTACAAAAATTAAGTTACTACAAGAACGCCTATTCCTCTCCGATCCATCCTCACAGGAGAACGCTCAAATTCCAAACATAATATTGCTAGCATTAGTGTGATGAGAATTCATCCCTCCTGAGAGAGTTGTGGTGTATGCTAACTATCCACCCTAGGGAGAGGGGACGAGTGCGTGTTGTGGTCTGTCCCACAGGTGAGGGGCTCTGGGCTGCCCGTCCAATATGGATAGGGCGCCTAGGACAAGCTCTACGTCAGACTTGGTACAAATTATGCATCTTTCACTGACTGGTATATATATATTTGTCAATGCGTTAAAAAAACATACCTCCAAATTATGAGGATGACCACACCCACCCCATCCACACTCCCCCAGAGTGTGGATGGGAGTGTGATAACACTTATGTTACCCCCCCCCCCCCACCCCCCACCCCCCCCCCCCCCCCCCCCCCCCACCCCCTTTCCACCCTGCGCTCTCCCACACATTCCATTCCGTCATCCCCACTACATGTAGACAAAGGGAGCATTTACACCTAACATCCGCAAATCCACAGCTAAAAACACATCCTCGGCACCTACGCTCCAGGCTCACCATAGCCCGTGCTTCTTGCCCCACTCCTGTGCCAGGTAAGTTACGGGCTCACCATAGCCCGTGCTACTTGGAACTTGTTCCGAATCTATAACAACAACCTACGCTCCACTCATCCACCCACCTACCCACATCACCCCCCTCCACACCCACAATCACCCCCTCCACACCCACAATCACCCCCTCCACACCCACAATCACCCCTCCACACCCACAAACACCCCTCCACACCCACAATCACCCCTCCACACCCACAAACACCCCTCCACACCCACAATCACCCCTCCACACCCACAAACACCACTCCACACCCACAAACACCCCTCTACACCCACAATCACCCCCTCCACACCCACAATCACCCCCTCCACACCCACAATCACCCCTCCACACCCACAAACACCCCTCCACACCCACAATCACCCCCTCCACACCCACAATCACCCCCTCCACACCCACAATCACCCCCTCCACACCCACAAACACCCCTCCACACCCACAATCACCCCCTCCACACCCACAAACACCCCTCCACACCCACAATCACCCCCTCCACACCCACAATTACCCCTCCACACCCACAAACACCCCTCCACACCCACAATCACCCCCTCCACACCCACAATCACCCCCTCCACACCCACAATCACCCCCTCCACACCCACAATCACCCCCTCCACACCCACAAACACCCCTCCACACCCACAATCACCCCCTCCACACCCACAATCACCCCCTCCACACCCACAATCACCCCCTCCACACCCACAAACACCCCTCCACACCCACAATCACCCCCTCCACACCCACAATCACCCCCTCCACACCCACAATCACCCCTCCACACCCACAATCACCCCCTCCACACCCACCCCCTCCACACCCACAAACACCCCTCCACACCCACAATCACCCCCTCCACACCCACAATCACCCCCTCCACACCCACAATCCACTCACCGCAGAAAACAGGTGTTCCAGATCCTCGTCGACATTAAAACTGGAGAAGGTGTTGTTGTTGTCAAATCCGGCGTGACTGACGTGTTGGAAACCGAAGGGGTCCCCGATCATCGACTTCCTGCAGCGATTGTAGCAACATTAGAATGGAGGGAGGCAACCCGTTCTCGCACTTTCGAATAGTCAATATTGACTTATTAAATACGTGCATATGTGACATACTAATTTATTGTGAATATTTTAGTTTACCTTGAAAAGCTTCATAGAAAACACCGACCTTACCTGACCTTCTTAGTATGTTAAGATAAGCATCTTAACAGGGTACGGAGGGAGAAGCGGAGGAAGGAGTACTGGGAGTGAGAAGGCGTGGGAAGGGAAGTATTGAAGAAGAAGGGTAGAATGAGGTAAACGAGAAAAGGTGGAAAGAAAAAGAAGACCATTTAGGAAACAAAATACGTCCAAACAAAAGAATAAAGATATCCACTGAACGTATCAATACCCAACCAACCCAAGACGCCTGAGGTCTGTGGAAACATTGTCTTTAACTTGTAATTAACACGTTTAGGTACACGTTTAGGTACCCAGAAGTGTGCAACTACCCTATACTGTATGAGGGACTACAGAGTATGGGTCAAGACCCAGCTGGTAGCTACGGGTCCACCCAGAAATCATCATCTCGCACGATTTATATATTCCACATAGATGAATACACAATAACAATAAATACAATTCTCATACTTATTCATCCTCGGTTTTAAATGAGAATATACAAATCAGAAATACTCTTTAACAGATCAAGAACATGTCGTTAACATGTCAAGAACGCTACACAATCAATCATCACCAGGAAAGGCTAAGGGGACTAAGCCTCACGTCCCTGGAAGACAGAAGAATAAAGGAAGACATGATCACCACCTACAAAATTCTCAGGGGAATTGACAAGGTGGACAAAGACAAACTATTTAGCACAGGTGGAACATGGACAAGGGAACACAGATAGAAACTGCGTACCCAAATGAGCCACAGAGACATTAGAAAAAAATTGTTCAGTGTCAGAGAAGTTAACAGATGAAATGCATTAAGCAGTGATGTGGTGGAGGCTGACTCCATACACAGTTTCAAATGTAGATATGATAAGAGCCCAGTAGGCTCAAGAATCTGTACATCAGTTAACAGATTGTACTGGTGTGTCTATGTCCCAGTTGAGAGACGGAACCAAAGAGCCGAAGCTCAATTCCCCCCCCCCACAAGCACAACTAGGTGAGTACACAGTTTACACAGCTACCAGCACCAACCAGTTTACACAGCTACCAGCACCAACCAGTTTACACAGCTACCAGCACCAACCAGTTTACACAGCTACCAGCACCAACCAGTTTACACAGCTACCAGCACCAACTGACCTGAATTTCTTCTTCTCTCGCCTTGTTCCTATTTTGCCAAACCTTCTCCTGTCTTTATGCTTCGGCTCGTCGTGGTGTTGTTGGTGCTGTTGGTGCTGTTGGTGATGTTGGTGGTGCTCTTGTTGTTGTTGTTGGTGGTCTTGTTGATGTTGACGCTGTGGCTGCCCCAAGCCCTCAGACAACTTTTGTTGTTGCTGTGCCATCATTTGCCGTCTTCGCTCTGAAGTTACACATGAAAATGTCATTTTCTATGAAGCGTGTTCGTCAAAACCCCATTATCGAGTCTTATTATTTAACAATGTATGTAATCAAGCACGCAAGACTCTCCCTGCAAGTTTACAGGGGAAGGGGGTCAGGATAGGGATTTGGGATAGGACGGGGGAGAAGGAATGGTGCTCAACAACTTGGACGGTCGGGGATTGAACGCCGACATGAATGTAGGGAGATCGTCGCTCTACCGTCCAGCCCAAGTGGTTGTGCCTTCATCATTGAAAGCGGCCTCACCTTCCTTCCTGCGTTTCCTGTTAGCGAGGACCTCGGTGACGGCATTGCTGAAGCTGAGGGCGTCCTCGTCGTTGGAGAAGTTCAGACCAATCATCCGATCCTGAGCGGCACACACGGGAAGGGTTAGTCATGAGCAATTCACCAAGCCTGAAAGACTATTGAACACTGTGGCACAAAATAAAGCCCTACATATAATTCAGGTTTCCAGGCAAAACGACGCAAGACGAGTCATGTCAATGGTTCATCGAGGGACAAGTTACTCAGGTGGGACATTATGAACAAAACCAAAGTATTTGTGATCAAGCGGGAAATAAGGACATTGCAGGCGATGAGTCACAATAACGTGGCTGTAGTATGTTGACCAGACCACACACTAGTAGGTGAAGGGACAACGACGTTTCGGTCCGTCCTGGACCATTCTCAAATCGATCAACTTGAGAATGGTCCAGGACGAACGGAAACGTCGTCGTCCCTTCACCTTCTAGTGTGTGGTCTAGTCAAAATAAGGACATTCTACGAGAGGCGAGTGAGTGACTGTAAGAGAGATGATGCAGGTCTGGCAATATGGGCTCAGGTTTGTGTTCCTTTAAGTGCTCAGGAGTTAATTGAGCGGACAACGTGTAACCAGAGACGCTTCCCGCGCCTGGCCATGGCAGCACGAGCGCGAATAACCCCCCCTCCCCCCCCACACACACAGCTACCAGAAGAACCGGCGCTGGTGGCTGAGTGGACAGCACACTAGTCACGTAATCCTCTGAACCGGGGTTCGATTTCTGTCACCGACGAGAAACAAAATGGGCAGTTTCTTTCACCCTCATGTTCCTGTTACCTAGCAGTAAATAGGTACCTGGGAGTTAGACAGCTGTTACGGGCTGCTTCCTGTGTGTGTGTGTGTGTGTGTGTGTGTGTGTGTGTGTGTGTGTGTGTGTGTGTGTGTGTGTGTGTGTGTGTGTGTGTGTGTGTGTGTGTGGGTGGGTTTGGGTGAAAAAAAAGTTAGTAGTTAGTAACAGTTGGTTGAGAGTTGAGAGGCGGGCAGAAAGAGCAGAGTTCAACTAGGTGAATACACACACACACACACACACACACACACACACACACACACACACACACACACACACACACACACACACACACACACACACACACACACACACACAGGAAGGAGTTAGTGAAGCACTTTTACTCTCCCATTCAGCTTGCTTTTACTTCCTCCAAGTCCAGCCTTCTACCTGTATATTTGCCCTCCGTGTCGTTCCTCAACCTGTCTGCTGAATCTCTATCCATCACACATATGACCATATTGACCTTTACCTTGTCCCAAACCTGTCATACCATTCTAAACCTCTGCCTGGTGCCTAATCTGATCCTTCTCAGTCTACCCATCAACTTGACGTCGGCCTCACCTCGCCCTCGAACTGGTGGAAGAAGGGAACGGAGCTGATGTACTCGAAGTCCTTGTAAATCTCTTGCTCCAGCACTCGAGTCATCCCCATAATGTCGTACACCTGCGGAGACAAATAGGGACTTCACTATTGACGAATATATCAATACAATAACAAAAACCTGACGTTATTCACTAATGAATACTCACTAAAAATCTGTAATGCAGGTGTAAGAGTATATACACGTGTTTTTATACTTCTAAGGGTAAATACGAGGAAAGATCTTAAAGTAAGTTTACCAAAGATAATCTATGCCAGACTTCGACTTCATCTGTATCTTTATTATTTACCAATTCTGATAGAAATTACCTATTTAAAATTATCTGTTAGATTAAGGACCTGCCCGAAACGCTGCGCGTACTAGTGGCTTTACAAGAGTGTAAATACTGTACTATTCAATGTATTCTCACAAACCCAATGTACCTTCTTGTATATATATAAATAAATAAATAAATAAATAAATGTACGTATTGGGGAATTAGGGCATTCCTGCTTGTTGCAGGGGAAACTAGGGTATATCCATAGGATGCAGGGGGAACCGGGGTATACCCATAGGTTACAGGGGAACTGAGGTATACTTGTATGTTGAAGGGAAACTGGGGTGTACCTGTATGTTGCAGGGGGGAACTGGGGGTATACCTGTATGTTACAGGGGAAGCTGGGATATACCCATAGGTTGCAGGGGAACTGGGTAATACCCATATGTTGCCGGGGAAACCGGGGTATAACCATATGTTGCCGGGGAAAACGGGGTATAACCATGTGTTGCAGGGGGAAACTGAGGTATACCTGAATGTAGAAGGACCTGCGGGTATTGTCCTTGGTGAAGGTGGCGACGCCGACGGCCCTCTTGAACCAGGCAGCGTGGTGGGGCTGGTTGGTCACGAACACCTGCACCACGCCCGACGCCTTCGCCTGCAGCAGCGTTCCCGCCAGGGTAAAGCAAGGTTATGATGAGGATGTGTGTGTGTACTTCTTCCCAAAGGGCGCATCCGATCCCTTGATCGGATGCGCCCCTAAATCAACAACACTTCTTCCCTTACCCGTCAGTGCAACGGCTTCCCTACCCCCAGGTATGGATCGTACCGTCTATGTATTTCAGAGCTATAGTCATCAACAAGCCTAATTTGCTTCCCATGTTGATCTATTCATCAGTGTATTCGTAGGAACATGATTGAAGGAACGTTAGCTCATGCGAGGCAGTTGTTTACATCTGGTTCACTACCACTTGTGTAGGTGTCCAACATATGTGAACTTTTTCAGATAACCACCCCATGATATCAACCATCCATCAGTAATATGTCATATGTCAACCGTCCTAGCTACCCATCTCTATACTCTTAGCGTCTATACATTCGGCATGTATTATTTAGTTCTCAGGATTGTTACTTGCTTAGCTAAATGGACTGTGGGGTTCAGTTTTTGAACTCGTTATATTCTGTATCTCTCCTAACTCTTTCCATCACCGCCCACGGAATGGGGATGGGGTGCAAGACTAATCTCCATCTATCCCTTCTCGGCTACCATCCATTTGCTCGTCCGCTATTCCTTGCTCTCTCCGCCTTCAGCCCCTCACTCAACCCCTCAAGAGATCACCACAGGAATGAAATTTCGGTCATTAAAAACTGGACTTCACTATTGACCTCCACTAATTCAGGCATCGTAATAATTCAATGAAGTCTACAGACTTTCGGAAGCGTCCAAATTCACACACACGGTGTATCGAAAGTCACCCTTACAGTGTGTTAAGTCATCCTACAGCACTCTGTAGCCTCAACAACGACTCATAGACTCACCTCACAACCATGACCCAGCAAGGTGAAGAGTGCGTCGTTTTCTTCACTGTTGAGAGCCCTGGACGGCCTGTGGCGGGCGGTGGTGGTCATGGTCTTGGAGACTACCTCGGTCCTTGTCCCAGATCACGCTGCAACGGCTGACAGCGGGGAATTACTGAGTATGTTGGTCAATAACAAAGAGAGACAAGACGGAGACAGAAAGATACATACACACAGAATCACCTGACTTACATTTATAACAAGTATTCACAACTAATAATGTTCAAGAAACCAAACGAAACTCAGGTCTACTGATGGCTGTAGCCTCACCTGTACCTATACAGCCCGTCCTTGCATACAAAGATACAAGTTGGTTAATCCAGCCGCCAAACGTTCATGAATGAAAAGCGGTTTACACACACGACTCACAACTGATGACGTTTGAACGAACATTTGCGGAACAAGTGCTTCGCTCACGTCCTCTGTTCGAACCACAATTCTATAAATGCTTCACCCACGTACTTCAAATACAAATAATCGCCAACAAACCCTAAACACCTAACTTAACCTACGCCTAACTATATATATATATTTTTTTTTATATAATAATATTAATTTATATATGAGAACAAACCCATTTTTAATACACAGTATATGTTAAAATTGATGAATGCGTCTGGGGAGGACAGCCGCTGCTTTCAACAGCCTAGTGTGAGGCCGGGTTGAATATGTACGGGGCTTCAACAATATGGCGCACTATGATTAACTCACCAAAGGACTGACTACAAGTGGCTTCAGTCACCCAGGAAAGATATAAGACCTTTCCGACGCTTGCATCAGAGCTGAATTGACTGATATCCCGCTGTAGGGGAGCAGTCCGCCCACACCGCTCACAGTCAAATGGTCGCGGGTTTCATTCCCGCTCAGGACGAGATATCTGGCCATGGTTCCTTATATCTGTTCACCTAGCAATAAATAGGTTGTGGGGGTTGTATCCTGAGGAAGGTCAGTGGTTGGCCTGGCTGCTGTAAGCCTAACATGCTTCCCGTCACAGTGTAACAAGAGAGCAGTACATAGTACATGAACATCATAACAGCATGAACAGGCCACGTGGAGGATGAACAACCCACAGGCGCCAGTCAGGCGACGGCAGACAATGTAAAAGTTACACCTCTGTATAAGTTAGCCATAGAGTCAGGTCAACGGTCATCGAATCACAAAGAGGTCAGAATTGATGCCGTCATGGTAATCTTCAGGGATTAACCCCTAAACAACAAATGCAAAACCCTCATGTTCAGCTGAGGAGGAGTAGATCAGGAGAGTCAGTTGAGTGGGCACAGCCCAGTAGGGAGGTGTGTGTGGACTCTGGGAAAGAACATCATCTCCAGGGAAACTGTGGAACAACATACGAGTAAGTACGGCTCTCTTGTACTAAAGCACCTCATTCAGTACCCTTGGCCTCTAGTAGGGAATATAGTTAGGGAGTGTCTTATTTAATTATTTCAAATAAAGTCAGATATTAAGTGTTATTAAATGTGTATTAATGGTTCCTTGCTTTAGTGATATTGGGCCTACCGTCCCCTTTGCCCTAGTGACCTAGTGCTCTTAATTATTCAGTACTCCTCCCCCCGTTCGTCTTCCGTGTTGAGGTATTAGTGTTGGTGTGTCCCGCCTTATTCTTGTGTACACTATAGTTCCCAAGTGGTCAGGATTATTCGAGTGTCAGGCCAGGATCCTTGTACCGTTCAATTGTCCCCTACACCTGTCCTGGTAGGTTACTCCATCTGCAAGACCTACGACTCTCACTCCGGTCCCCTGTCCGGTAACTCAGGGTGGTGGCAGCGTCACTCGGTAACTCATACGATAGGTTGTGACTACGATTATCTCTATCTTTCTGTCTCACTCTCCCTCACTAGTGTCTCACTCTCCCTCGCCCTCACTCGCTCTCGTTCTCCCTCCCTTGCTCTCGTTCTCGCTCTCCTCTCCCTCTCCTCTCGCTCTGCCTCCCTCTTCCTCTCTCTCTCCTTCCTCTGTGTACTGGTTTGCGTCTTCGTATGACGGCCCGAGTGTTAATATCTTATATGATCGGTATAGCATCTGTTATTACCATAGAAAGAGCGGAGATTGCACGGTTAGCTCAGTGGTAGTAGCGGAGTGCGCGGTCGAGATAGATACAAGGCGAGGTATTACAAACAGGGTCATTACAACAGACAAAGGAAATAAAATATTTGACAACTGCCTTATCTTACACTCCATTCACCTAGGCATTAGGAGACTCGAACCGTGGACCCTACGCTTGTGAGGTCGATGCTCTATCGACCGAGCTATTGAGTATACTTAATAAGGAAAGTTTCCAGAAGGAGCATCATGCTGCCAAATTTTATTTGACTTCAAAATCATTAGAACAAAACGTACACTTTTGTGAATGCAAGTTCATGTTTTGTATATTGAAGTTTATTGAGATGATAATATACATCCCCAAAGGATAATGTAACTTAGACTATTTCTACCCTCTGGTTGTATATATATATATTTTTCCTTTATAGTAGCTATAGGCAGTCACTTTTGGAGGATAGCTTGCTGAAATTACATATAAATAAAGAAAAAACCTCTCTAACATTAGGCATAAAGGTATTTTCATTCTTAAACCTTAAGATCTCATTGTTAGCTTTGTGAGAATAAGATACATGGCATACAAAAGATACATTAGTAACAAGTCAACAACACACAACCACAAGCAAATATAACTAGCATGTATGAAGCAAGAGCCGCAGGGCACAGGGAAGCGGATGAGGCTTATTTAGTAAGCAGTACGCCCAGATAATGAAACATTGTTGAGCTTAATGGAAGACCATGGAACAGCTGTATGCTCGAAGTCGAATTCATCTTCATTTTGATTACAGATGTCAGCTCCCGAATGAACACAGCCTCAAGCATATGAAGCCTCCTACGATCGTCGGTGCGTGAGAGTACTGTCTTATCTTTCACTATGTCTTGGTGATTCAGCTTGGTGTTGGGATATTGAGAATGATGTTGCTTAATATCTCCGTCTTGAAAATGAAGCGTAAGACGTCTATTCAATGTATTCGTGGTATGGCCAATGTAGTATATATTTCGGAGCGCACAGTCTCCAGAGCTTGCATTTGTATTGATACACTTATATTGACCAGACCACACCACACTAGAAAGTGAAGGGACGACGACGCTTCGGTCCGTCCTGGACCATTCTCAATCGACTTGAGAATGGTCCAGGACGGACCGAAACGTCGTCGTCCCTTCACCTTCTAGTGTGTGGTCTGGTCAACATACTTTAGCCACGTTATTGTGACTCATCGCTTGATACACTTACATTAGTACACCTCAGTTTGTCAGAGATATTATTTCTCATAATGAGGGAAGATGTAAAGGGTTATTATAATAAATGACAGGACAACGTTAGCAATTCCTGTCAGTTATGTCTCGTATCATCTCGATGGTCGGCCAGTGATTCAGAGGGAAGATGTAAGACCTGGCGGACATCTAGAAGCCGGAGTAAGGCAATAACCACCTCATGCTATCCTTCGCCGCACCCTACGATTAATGGGGGTTAGGTGAATCGTAGTGAGGTGTACCCAAAATGTCTAGATTTTTACACAAAAAATCAAGTTCCAGCCCCGCTTCTGTGCCAGGTAAGTCCACTACGGGCTCACCATAGCCCGTGCTACTTGGAACTTTTTGTTCCCAGTAACTGAATCTAAGACAAACAAGTAATTGTCAAAGAAGGCACCAAGCCGGGAAGGCTATGTAGCACCTTAAACAAACAATCAACACAAATTTATGGAATGAAAGCTTTCCATTATATTACATAAGATTTTAATGATAATCCTAAAATAACTAATTCGTGTTCTTAATATAATAATATTAACTCAAATAAACCAATTTGAAAAACCGAATATCACTTTGCCCGTTAGGCAAATCTGGCCTTGCATATTAAGCAAAGTAGTGCGTTCTGGCTAAATGTTACGACATGCCCACATACTGAGAGGTATACCCAACTTCTGGCCGCATACTCACACAGTATACCCCTGGAGTATGTTCAGGACTAAAGTATATATATATATATATATATATACTTACTGGTTGGTCAGTTGGCTATTGTCATGGGACTTAAAACCTAAAACTAAATCGACACAGACTACGACGTGAAGTCAGACATATCTATATATGATTGATATATTATATACTATACCCAATTACACAAAGGACAACTAATACGAGAATAAACTCTTCATTTCCCAATTCCTCGACCATTTTTAACTTTGATATATATAGCCGTAAAGGCTTGGCGCTTTATATAATTGATCAGCCCGCCCTAATACTGGTATATACCTGGGTTATGATGGAGCCAGAGGAGTGTCCGGCGCAGCACCTCACCCTCTGACTGCTGGCTGGCTACTGCCAAGATAGCCACCCACTGCTTGATAAAAACCCACAGTTGCCAACCTGATAATGTTTGTCTAGATCAGTCATTTTGAACACGTTATTGTTAGGGGAATATTTTGTGTTCAAAATGATATCAAGTTTCAAGGTAAATATATGCTGTATATGTATATTGATATCATCTACGTATATTGTTCCTTAGACGGTGACCGTCAGGTTTGTTATCTGAGATTATAACACTCCATAATGTTTGTTATCTGAGACGATAACGCTCCCTCCTTCCTATCTTTACAGTTATATTGCATCCACATCCTAATATATTCCAGCAGCCTATAGTTACTTCATAGATATTTGATTACATTGAATTAAATTTTGAACGAAAGTATTTACTTAAATATCTGGTTATTAGGGTTTAACGTATATACATGATGACCTATGGGCTTATGCTTAACAAATTTATACAACTATACCGTATACAACCCTGACTTTGTTCGTCAAATGTGAGTATTTGAAATTTATAAATTTGGTGGACAAAAAGAGCCTCATGTAAATAGGCAGGTTCGTACACTTATTAGGTTAGGTGGTGGGTTAGTGTAGATTCGTACACTTATTATTAAATTAAATATAGAGAACAAATATCAACGAACAATATAAATGAATTGCAAAATGACTCAAAAACAGCATAATTAAAACACACTTCAATTTATAAACATTTTATACACATGCACTAATAATCTGAATGTATAAATACATTATATATCAAAAGGCATTTATTATATTTCAATTTCATATGATTAGGCTCTAATAGCCAGTTTCCTTTAGACACGGGAGTCTCTGGATCATTATGGAAGTCACGCGCTAAATAACAGTTATATTACTGGGAAGTAACTTGGAATGAGGGTCCGGTCCCCCAAGAGCCATTTCCGGGAGGGGGATGATATTCCATTTCCTCAGCTCCGCTACCTGGAGGGGTCGCTGTGCCCCAAGACAGCGCTCTGCCAAGGTGAGAGTGGAAAGCTTTGAGTGCTGATCAAAGATGAGAATGGGAAGCTTTGAGTTCTGATCACTGCTTACCAGTGCCACCAGGCAAAACTGGGTCCCTCTCCTATACATTTACTCCGGATCAATCGAATATTGTAGTGCTGTTGGGACGAACTGCGTCGATTCCCAAGCCATCCAGTGCCACCCGGATGAACTGGATTGATATATACATTTTACTGCCCTCCCGAGACGAGCTTGGTTAACCTCCCGAATATTCAATGATACTAGGACGAGTTGGATCGATCTATCACTATCCCGGGCATTCCGAGACGAGCTGGTTCTGTCGTCCAGGGCCGCTCCTGCAGGGGAACACACGGGGCATCAGTCACCCAGGCAGTCTGCTAGCCTCGTGCCATCCTTTCTTGATTTGTACTATTGATAAGACTGAAGTCGCTTGCTGCAAGTAAGAAGAGATTATGATAAACATACAATTATTAAATATTTAAATATTACATTTTTTAGTGCACACTTTGGCATATCAAGCAGCAATAAATTACTTGGATGTTGCAAGTACATGACGACGAAGACAGTACCAGTGAGCTTTTAAAGCAAATGAGCTGAAAATCTATTTATCTGCCTCGGTTATTAAACATTCTAGTTTTGAGTAATCGTGACAAGATATATCTTTGAAATTTTATTTTGTTTAGAGGTGAAATGATTTGTAAACAGTAAAATTAAGTGTTAGGCTACAAGTGGAGTGCATATATTGGTTCCAGTTTCATACTTAGGATCACCAGGGGCCCTCATCACAACCACCAACAGAGGCCCCTATAATCTCCCCCTTCATTACAAAATCCACCACTTTCACTATACATGACCCACCACTATTTACTGCACAGGACACACCACTATTTATTGCACAGGACACACCACTTTCACTACACAGGATCCACCATCATCATCACCACACAGGACCCACCACTATCACGACAACACAGTACTCACCACCACACAAGACTCAGGTGTGAAGGATGGATGAAATTGTTTATGTAATAATCTAAGATGAGGTCTGATAAAGACCTTTTGTGCCCTCTGTAATGCTTTTGCGCTACCGCTCACAGGATGAGTATGGGGTGCACAATAAACTAGCCGCCTTCGGCGGCAACAACAACAAAAACAGGACTCACCATACTGTTGCACTACTGGTGAAGGTGGTGGTCGGTAGCCTGCCAGGAAGTGTTGATACCAACATGAGCGACGTGCTGGAAGTTGGTGGGCGGCCCGACGATCATCTTCCTGGAGAGAGTGGGAGCAGTTACCACGAGAAGGTACCAAGCCGGCCACACTATGTACACCCCCCCCCCTCTGTCTCAAGGGAGATTAATAAGGAAATAAATACCCCACAGGATGCCAGCACCAGAACAAAAGGACACAAATCGAGTGCCATTTGAGGAATCGGATTCGCCAAGGATTCTATCCAGAGACAGGTGACCCAGAGGGACGATGGAAACAAGACGTACAATTCAGTTGTTGAACGTTCAGATTATCACCCTCATAATCTGAACATTCTGCGAGGAGATGTACGACTAAGTGGGGTGATGCAGTTCGGACAATAAGGAGCAGCTCCTGCAGGAAAATGCAGATGTTAAGCTTGAAACTACGAGCCCCATAATACAATAGGGACCCCATGGTTGGAGGTCAACTTCAAGACGTGCCGGACCAACTGGGCTAGGGTGCGTCCTGCGAGCCGCTCCAAGCAACACCCTGTTGGATAAAGTTCTCACAAGTCAAGCCTGGCCTCGGCCGGGCTTGATTTATACATCTACTTGCGGAGTAGAAGAACTCCCAGAACCCCATTGCGGTACAATTCAGGTACGACTCCATATACAGCTATAAATATTGATATGATAGTGCCCAATGTGCTCTGGAATCTATGCACCAGTCTATTAAGAGTTGAGAGACGAAACCCAAGAGCCGTGGCTCAAGTACAATTAGGCGAGTACACAGATTGGTGCAGGGAAACCCCCCTCCTCCCCCCCAGGTACCACAACCTGTCAATCAGGAAAAATCAATCACGCGATTCACAAATTACTTCCCCATACATGGTAGTTCACCAAATTATTACTTCTAATTACTTACATGCTAATAATCGCCTAGTGCGGGTTCTAACATAATTACGCACAAAATGTAATTTCTGGCTGGAGTGAACAAGTGTAAACAATGCTTACATATTAAGACAAATATAAAACCATTTAGTTTACACTCTGAAGAGTGATGTATACTGGTCAACACTGTGTAAAGCCAAGACATCCAAGACACTGCTGGCTAAGAAATACATAGATGAACCACATTAAGAAAAGGCATATGAATCGGTTTAATAAAAACATAAGATAAAGTCATAAGGAACTGATTAAAATTAAAAAAAAAATAGATTTAAGAAGAACTGGTTTGGTGAGAGAACTAAGGATCAGCCCGTCTTCTCGAGCGTTCCCAAACGTCACTAAATTGATGTACTATATTGCACAACCCAACTCTAACCTAACCGAAGACCCACGAATAGAAAACGGGGCATCACGTCAATTCTGCGACCCGATATGATTTTCAGCACATCAGCTTTTTGTCCTTACGGGGATTTTTATCTCAAAATGCGATGTATTCGAGAGGCTTATCAGTAAGATCACGGAGGACAGAAGAAAATGTATATATGGTGGTTAGCATTGTAAATGTGTGGCCACGTCTGTGGTAGAAAATAATAATAAAAAAAAAAATAAATAAATAAAAAAAAAAAAAAAAAAAAAAGTAAGATCACCAGTACACACACAAACAAATCACAATAACGTGATATATCAAATGAATAAATCCACAAGGGCCTTAATGAGGGTTCGAACCTACGCACTGGATGTTCCCAGACGCGCTCTAGTATCCCAAGCCGCGTCCCTGAGGCCAGTATCTTAGCAAGCTTTAAAAAGCTGGTCGAACGATGAGGTATGAACTTAGACCTGGCACGTCTGGGCCAATAGCAATGTTGCTATGATCATATACCCTAAGACAGTTCGTTGTTGCCTTCAACAACGTTCTGGCAGCTCCTGCGACGGCGCTGGAACCAAGCGTATTGGCGCTTGCCTTTCCATTGTACAATTTCAGCAACGTGGACCCGCTGCATGGGTAACAGCTTCTCCATATCGACCTACACTGGCTTTGCGCCCCTGGAGAGGACACTCCAGCCTCGACAACCAGAGTGCAACTCCATAGTCTCCCGAGACTGATGGATGCCTACTACTACTACTGTGATCATATATCATATGATGTCCTCTGTAGGGTCCTGGGTGACCTTACCTGACCTTAGCGGGCTGGGCGGGGTCATGTTGTTGTTGGCTCTGGCTGGGGTCCCCTGTGTTCGTCCTGCCATCTCCCTGGCCGTATAGAATACACATTATACATTGTACAATACGCATAATACATCATAATGCACATACATCGTACGGTACACTTATCGTACAGTATACATCATACAATACACTAATACATCGTACATTGTAGTCATTACTGATACTGTTGTTCTCGCAACTAGATTATTTTTGACCACTATATCACTACACAGAATGCAAGCTATATCGTATTTATCATAAAATGTCAGTAGTTGTTTCTAGTGGCGTAGAGGCGAGTAATCCGACCAGAAGTGCAGCGGATTCTCAGCCTAATTCCGTTTCGGAGAGGATACTTCCCAGTTTTATTTAGTGGACCGCGTCCGTAGCTAGGATACAAGCCGCATCGTCCACAAGGCTGTTCGCCAACGGATTTAAAACCTACCTAACGAAAACTCAAGCTACAGGCTTTGACCGAAAAAACATCTCCAATCCACGGTGGAAAGGCCACTGAACTTTCCAGCCCCCCTCTCTCCACATCCAGATCCTCTTCCAAGAATTTCACCGCCCCATCCTTCTTCCTCCCACATCTTCTCCAAGCTCTTTGGACATCAAAGCTCAAAGCTAACTAATCTATCCTAACTCAATCTGGCCTAACAGTGTAACCTGAACTAATACTAACAATTAAAGCCCTATATATATAATATAGGGCTTTGCCAATCAGAAAACGAGCTTGGTCAAACCGTTTCTGTACGATTTGACTTCAACCAATTCAAAATAATTGTAGGATTTATACATACTTCCTTTGTTGGGCTTTTGGAGAGTTGGCGGTGGACGGTGTCCCGGTCGAGGTGACAGATGTGCTGGAAATTGGTGGGTGGACCGATCATGTCCTTGCTGCAGGGAGAGATGACCATGTTACAACACAACTCTGCTGTTCTTTAACACTCTCGGCCGCGGAGTGCTCGCTACGGTTATTGACTTCCTCGCATTCTGCGTCTTAAGCACATGCACAAATAAACATTTTATATTTTGTTGGCCAAACCCCACACTAGAAAGTGAAGAGACGACGACGTTTCGGTCCGTCCTGGACCATTCTCAAGTCGATTGTGATAATGGTCTAGTACGGACCGAAACGTCGTCGTCTAGTGTGTGGTATGGTAAATATTTTTCAACCACGTTATTGTGACTCATCTGCATTTTATATTGGTTTAATATTTTGTTCTAGCCACACTAATGACCAAGTAATAAGAAATAATTTATAAGTAAAAACCATGAAATCTTCACTTTGTAACTAGAGACAATGCGCTTGGGGAAGCATTACACGGTGTTTAAACCAGTGTCAGGTGCTCCCAGCCGTCACATCGTAGGGGATCACACTGGGCCCACACCCTCCCCATCATTCCTAGGGGCCCATTCTGCCATAGTCTTCATAAGAGATCTCTTGGCAGCGTGGAAAATTACTCTACCTCCTGCTGGAAACGTCTGGGATTCAAATCCCTTTTCTCAAATTATGTGCATAATAATCCAACAGAGGCGCCATCATCTGGGTAGGGGGCCCCAGTACATTGCCTTGTCCGGGGTACTACAATGCTGTTAAAACGGTCCCGAGTCTGTGGTCTCTGGTATGTCACGGTGATCTGTCATGTCAAGATGCCATTTGTCATGTCACAGTGTTTTGTCAAATTTTACGAATCCTTCTGTCATTCCATGGAGTAATGAGGGTGTTTTGGATGGCAGGATCACGCCCTAAGAGTATAATGGTACCTCCATTGGATAATGAAATACCTACCCTCACTATTTTCGAGAAATTAACTTGACTATTCTTACACACACTACAACACACACACATGGGCGCGCGTGCACTTAAATTTTAAGTGTGTAAAGTTTAAATTACTTGGGTACGCGTGTGTGTGTACTTACGTACACACACACACACACACACAAGGATACGAATGTTTCCTCACCTGAGTCCAAAAGAAAGTGGTGGGGTGCGAGGAAAGGCGTCCTCCATGGTGCGAGGTGTGGACCAGCGCTGGTTCTGCCACTGGGCCTCCTCCAGGACCCAGTCAGAGGTGGACCATCGCTGGTTCTGCCACGGGACCTCCTGCTGGCCCCAGTTAGTGAACCAGTGCTGGTTCTCCCACTGCCCTTCCTCTTGGTCTCCGCCAATGTCCTGTATCCGGCTCTCCACATCCGGTTCTGGCTTGTCCTGATCATTGTAACAGAAACCCGAAATTAGGAACGTTTCCACAAAATCAAATGCCCAGAAATGTTCACTCTTAACATGAACTGACGCAGGACTCACCGCTCTAGATGGGTCGTTGAAGTGGTCATCAGTGACCTCGACCACTGGGCTGTTGAACCCGACATGTTTCACATGCTGGAAATTGGTGGGCGGACCGATCATGTCCTTCCTGGAAAGAAAGGAACCTCTCACAACAGCTGTCTCCCAGTTTACCCCACTATTAACTTTCCATCAACCTGATATTGGAGTCACACCTCATGAGTTCCTGGAGACCTTGAGCGCCTTGAGCTCCGTAAAGCTCATATGCCTCCTACCTCACCCACCCTCAGGCTCGGCTCGTCCAAGCTGTGGAGGTCTCAAGAGGTATATTCGTAAATTAGTCCGCAATGCAATCAAAATTGATATTTTCTGGAGTAACTATTTATCAGAATATATATGGTTAGTCCTGGGGTGCGTTAGGTTAAGATTTTGAGTCTGATGGTAATTGTTTCTATTTACAGTAGGTGAGTGAAACATTTAGAGCAGCCCGTCCTCACGCTCTCCCGTCCAAGCAGCAGCTCACCACATATTCATAAATGTTAATATGTAGTTTAATTAATAAAAAAAAATTATTTTGTGATATTAATATAAGTGCATATTATAATATTGTGCATATTTAGGCATAGTGTAAATGCCTATCTACACCTGTGCCTGTGCAAATACCTGTGCTAGGTATTTTAGTAGTTTGTAGTTAATTGTATTTGTAGTATTTTGCAGTATTTTAGTAGTTTGCAGTTAATTGTATTTGTAGTATGTGAGTGAAGCATTTAGAAAGGTGCGATTCGAACAGAGGAAGAGAGCAAAGCGCTGCTCAAGAAAAGTTGTGAATCACGTAAGAAGAGTTTTTCGTTCATGGGGTGGGGCCGCTGGAGGGAGAGGCATGTGGCCACTGTTTATGAAGGTGGTCTGTCCTACCTCAGCCTGGGCGAGGGCGCGCGCGTCCTCCCGGCACCAGCTTTACCCCGCAGTCTCCCGTCCTGCTGGGGAAGGTCCATCACGTCCCTCTGTGCATCACGGCGCTCAAACAAGTCCGGCACAGATTTTCGAGTCCTTGGAGCCTGCGTCTGTTGGAGAATGGCGAATATTGCTCACTTTAATCAAGCATGTAAAGGCTGTATATCTGGCCGGTGGATTAAACACCTACGACCATAAGTAATAGGAGAGCATAAGTAATGTTCACAAGTAATAGGAGTTATCCAGTAGTATTTTTTTTGGTATTTGCATCTAACATTTGCTTTCAAAATAAATATCCAGCTTTCTACAGAGTCAACTCACCTTCCTTAAGCGCTGCAGCTTCTGGCCGACAGCGTCGCGACGCGGGTGAGAGGAAGGTAGGGAGGTTGTGGGTGGATCAGTCATGTCTTTACTGGGTGGAGAAGAAGTAAGCTTATTGTCTTAGTTTAGGATATAAATAACCTCAGCCTATTATATCTGAAACTCCGCCCATATTGCTTCAAGGAGACGAGTGTCGAGTACCTCACACAGACAGTTAAATTTTCCCCCGAGTGGCGAGTTTATTATGCCCAATAAACTCGCCCCTCGGGGCAAAATTAAAAAAAAAAAAATTCAAACAGTACCTGAGCTCAGCTGTTGGTGGAGGGAGGGGCGGCGGGGAGTCGCTGGCAGTGCTGGCTGTCGACCACAGATGGTGTTCCCACTGGGCCTCTTGCTCCTGCTGCTGCTTTGGTTGATGCTCCTGCTGCTGCTGTTCCTTCCCCTCACTGTCCACAAAGTCACTTATCCCACCATGAGTCTCGAGGTCAGGCCTGTACTGGTCCTCCACTTTGACCTGCGCGAGAATAATATGTACAAATTTTGAGCCAGACTCACCATTTTCAAATTATTATTATCTACATTAACAAAGCACCAAGGTTTCATTTAGTTCGTATATTATGTGCCCCCGCCCCGACCCATCGTATGGGTGGTGGTGAAAGGACTACACAACATTCAGATACAGGGTGCTGCTTACTGTTATGGGTGGCTCCTGCTGCTGCTGCTGCTGCTGCTCCTCGCTGCCCTGCCGCCAGGACTGGAACCCAACGTGAACCACATGCTGGAAATTGGTAGGCGGCCCAATCAAGTCCTTCCTGCAAGTAAGTAATTATCAAAAGAAGGCACCAAGCCGGGACGGCTATGTAGCACGTCCTGCTAGTTGAGTGTCCATCACGTACAATTACACTATTTATAATATTTATAGCCTGCAAATGCAATTGGGAAAATACATGATAACAACACTTACGGTCCCTGAGAAAGCCTCTAGGTAGCAGTGGACGTGAGAACTTACTTCACTCCACCGTTGAGAGGTCCTGAACGGGGCTTGGGACGGCACAGTGTTGGAGAGGTGCCCGCCTGTTGGCCCGAAGACATCTCTGTCTCTCTGCCTTCTTCCGGTACGCCTGGCGGATATTCTTGTGACTCCGGTGTATGTTTCTCTGGTGGACGCGTGTTGCGCTGTTCAGAGACGCTCATTAGCAACTTCTTGCGAAACAAGACTAGACAAAAAGACTAATAAACATTTATGCTGTTCCAAAAGTCTAATGACCTTTAGTACCAATTCGACCAATTTATTTTATTTGTACTGTATATTTTTTTTGCATGCAAGTTTTTGTTTGGCTAATTAAGGCGATGTGCAGGTGGGTGGAGGTGGTCACTCACCAGCCAGAGTGTCCGGCCCTCACTGCCAGCCACCTGGGGGTCCCGGGGCGGCTCCTGGACCCGCACTCTGCTGAACAAATACAAAATAAGTGTCATTGTTCAAAACTGCCACAAGTGACATTATTTTGATAAAATATGTTTTAAAATTATATTGAATGTTGGTTTACATTTCCAACTTTGGTATAAGATGTTATTGTGGGAGTAAGTGGGTGGTGATGCGGGCGTGCCTGGGTGGTGGTGGTAGGGATGCGGGTGGTGGTGGTGGGGATGCGGGTGGTGGGGTGGGGATGCGGGTGGTGGTGTGGGCGTACCTGGGTGGTGGTGGTGGGGATGCGGGTGGTGTGTGGGCGTGCCTGGGTGGTGGCGGGGTGGGGATGCGGGTGGTGTGTGTGGGCGTACCTGGGTGGTGGTGGTGGTGGGGGGGATGCGGGTGGTGGTGTGGGCGTACCTGGGTGGTGGTGGTGGTGGAGATGCGGGTGGTGGTGTGGGCGTACCTGGGTGGTGGCGGTGGTGGGGATGCGGGTGGTGGTGTGGGCGTACCTGGGTGGTGGCGGTGGTGGGGATGCAGGTGGTGGTGTGGGCGTACCTGGGTGGTGGCGGTGGTGGGGATGCGGGTGGTGGTGTGGGCGTACCTGGGTGGTGGCGGTGGTGGGGATGCGGGTGGTGATGCGGGCGTGCCTGGGTGGTGGTGGGGTGGGGATGCGGGTGGTGTGTGTGGGCGTACCTGGGTGGTGGTTGTGGTGTGGGCGTGCCTGGGTGGTGGTGGTGGGGATGCGGGTGGTGTGTGGGCGTGCCTGGGTGGTGGCGGGGTGGGGATGCGGGTGGTGTGTGTGGGCGTACCTGGGTGGTGGTGGGGGATGCGGGTGGTGGTGTGGGCGTGCCTGGGTGGTGGTGGTGGTGTGGGCGTGCCTGGGTGGTGGTGAAGCGGGTGGTGTGTGGGCGTGCCTGGGTGGTGGCGGGGTGGGGATGCGGGTGGTGTGTGTGGGCGTACCTGGGTGGTGGTGGTGGTGGGGGATGCGGGTGGTGGTGTGGGCGTGCCTGGGTGGTGGTGGGGTGGGGATGCGGGTGGTGATGTGGGCGTATCTAGGTGGTGGTGGTGGGGATGCGGGTGGTGGTGTGGGCGTGCCTGGGTGGTGGCGGGGTGGGGATGCGGGTGGTGTGTGTGGGCGTACCTGGGTGGTGGCGGGGTGGGGATGCGTGTGGAGGGTTCAGGTCGGGGCAGCACGTACTCAAACTCTCCCAGACACTCCATGCTCTCTGGAGTTCTTCCAGTGGACCCTCTTCCCTGCTTAAGATTTGCCTGTTACGGAACATAAACACAGTCAGTCATGTATGAAAGCTCAGAAAAACTTTTGTAAATGATATTAATATCATTTACAAAACAGTATATTAATAGACTTATGACTAAACATAAACAAAATAATTAAATCTTAGTTTTAATAATTATCGACGTGTGTGTAAGTAGTGGAAATGTTTGTCTTCCCTCAAGGACTCACCATCTTCATCAGCTGCTGGAGTTCCAGGTCGTCTGCGTTTGGACCAACATGGAGCACGTGCTGGAAGTCTGTGGGTGGGCCGATCATGTCCTTACTGAGAAAAGGGAAATAAGACGGGCCAGAGCTGTAATATGGTTCACGAGCCTCAGTGAGAGTCCTAAAGCTAGTGTCTCGTGTCAGATAACCAAGATTCGTCACTGTTTGGTTCCTACCTGATCACTGTACGGGGCGGAGGAAGTGGTGCGGTGGCGTCGTCTACAGTGTCGAGTTTGGACCAGCGCTGCTCCTCCCACTGAACCTCCTGTTGATCTTTGCCACCTCTGGTTCGGAACCAGCGCTGGTTCTTCTGTTGGTTACTGTCGGGTTTGAACCAGGGCTGGTTCTCCCACTGGACTTCCTGTTGATCTTTACCATCACTGGGTCTGGACCAACGCTGGTCCTTCTGCTGATCACTGTCGGGTCTGGACCAGTGCTGGTTTTCTCGCTCTAACTCCTGGCGTTCTGTGTCACCATCGGTCCAGCAGTGGTTCTGCTCGTCTCCGCAATTATTACGTGAATGATACAAGTCCAGGGTTCTGGAGTCCAGTACTTTCTGCTCTTCCAAGATGGACTGCAGATAGAATTTATTTAGAGTAAAATCCTGAACATTAAAAAATGTAATATTCCTAGTGTTATATTGAAAAAGAGACTAACGCTCTCCTTCCAATATAATGTTTTCTAAGCAGGCTTTGGAAAGATAATAGCATTCTCCACAGGTTGAAATCAATATTCTTAGCATTGTACATTACTATATCTTAGTAGACCAAATTTATACATTTGACTTATGTAAAACATAAATAGTGGACTAAACATTGGTATACATCCAATGTTTCGTCACTCAGGCAAAGAGTAAAGTACTCACCACCTTGGCCTGACCATCAGGCTCACCTTCCTGTGTGTCGTCTGGGCACACGTTATCAAACCCAACATGAGTAACGTGTTGGAAGTCGGTGGGGGGTCCAATCAGGTCCTTCCTGATGGGCACCAAATGCAAGGAGAGAGAAATTGCAATGGTTTATCAAAACATTATCTGAACTAACAAAATTTTAAAAATCCATTTTGCACGTCGCATCCAAACCTTAATATGTAACAGAATATTTTTTGCTGACTATATCTAACGCCCTCGTCTCTAGTAGCAATGTCGTCTTGTGCTGTACTACATACCTGACTGGTGGTGGGTGGTGTGGGCGGCGGACAGGTGGGCGTCTGCTCTCTCTCTGGGGCTTGACACCTCCGGCCCGGGCCTCAGTGACGCCACACACCAGCTCCGGGGTACCAGACTCGGCCATGTGTTGACGTGAGTCGTGAGTGTTGAGCTCAGCCGCGTGTTTTGTCGAGTCGCGGATACCGAACTCCTCTACGTTTCTTAGCGAGTCCCGGGTACCGGACTTCACCCAGTGGCGTCGCGAGTTACGGGTACCGGACTCCGCCATGTGTCGACTCGATTCAAGGGTTTCGGACTCAACTGCATGGCGTCGCGAGTCGCGCGTTCCGGACCCAGCCATGTGTTGTCGCAAGTCATGGATATTAGACTCAGAAACGTGTCGACGCGAGTGACGGGCTCCGGACTCAGTCACGTATTGTCGTGGGTAGCGGGTACCGGGTTCAGCCTGTCGATGAAGTAATCTCGTACACAGAAGCTTTAGTAGAAAACCTGATTATCTTTTGTTTCAGCTGATGTGATTTAAGGACTAATATAGATTTCGTTTTAGAATCCTATGTAACTTTATCTTTACTGGTATCATAAATCATAACACTCGTTTAACAATACTTAGAACTTAAGCTAGCCACAATTATGAGACAGATCAAATTAATTCCGAACACACATGCTCTTTGAAACTCCTTTGCTTGATATGCATTATATCAAAGACATAAACAATGCAGAAACACATCAAAATCTAGTGTTTAGCATCGTATCCCCCCGCCCTCAACGTGAATATAGGAAATAATTAATTTAGAAAACCATGATCTCAGATTCGATCCGAGTCTTATCTCCAGGCTGAAGAGTTACGACTAGTACTGACCTTAATGGGAAGATGGTCCGGGTAATAAACTCAAGTGTCCAATTGATGTCACACTAACCTTAATAATATAATTTACGTAGTACTGAACTCAATAGCAAAGCGTTAAGACTAACACCAGCCGCACTGGAAAAAGGCTGAGTGATGTTTAACAAGTACAGCAGTGCAAGCTGTTCACGTCTTAAAGAATAACCGGCTTGCCATTATTCTTGAAGACCAAGTCTGGGTTATGGAAGATGTAATATCGAAAAAACACTTCCGTAGGCCTCCTTTCCCTCCCAATGTTACTATATAAACGCCCTAAGGTTGGTAGCTAAACACCCTGATGTTACTATATGTAAACCACCCTAATATTACTATGTAAACACCCTAATGTTACTATATAAACACCCTAATGTTACTATATAAACAGCCTGATGTTACTATATAAACAGCTTGATGTTACTAGGTAAACACCCCCTGAAGTTACAATATAAACAGCCAGATGTTACAATATAAACAGCCTGATGCTACTAGGTAAACACCCCCTGATGTTACTATATATAAACAGCCTGATGTTACTAGGTAAACACCCCCTGATGTTACTATATATAAACAGCCTGATATTACAATAGACACGGTGATGGCAGGAGACCACCACCAACAAGGGGCCTATAGACTGACCTGAGGAGGCAGGAGGCGGGAGGCGAGGAGGAGCTGTGAGGGGTGGAGAGGGGTAGTGGAGCACAGTGAGTCAGTACGCGGGTCCATCATGGCCACACACCCAGACGGTGGGTCGCCAGCATGTCCTCGGCTAATATAATGTAATATTCCACAATATATGACTCACTCTTGTAACAACTGTAACAACCATTATGATTAGATGCATTATTATATTTGGCATTACGAGTGAAAATATTTCAACCTCCAGCATTAGTCTCGAGATGTTGTTAAGACATATTGTTATGATAGAGAAACGATATTTTATAAGGTTCCTCAATAGTCTCTTTACCTCTTTTTTCTCTTGTAATTCTCAGTATTGGTGGTGGAGAAGGGCGGCCGTGTTGGAGATTGAGGAGGGAGTTTGATATGGTGTTCAATCTCCCACAAGTTCTCTAAGCCCGCATCACTAACCTCGTCTTCTTCAGCTAGGAATGTAACAAATAATTCCATTTAAGCCGCTTCAGCTTATATCAGTTACTATTTAAAGAGTTTTCATTTTCCTTCACAAAAAGTGCCCGTAGCCTACGCTTATTTTTTTTATGGGCCACGTTTGATTAGTCAACTCCGGTTTACTGATAACTGATGGCTGTTACATCATTGTGACGTCTTGAAGAAACTAACAGCGTCACCCATCATTCATGATCATATCTCTGTCAATTTTGCGTCACAAATAAAAGCAGTTATAGTAACATTCGCCAGTTTAACAGTGACGTCTAACAACTACAGCCAACATTCCAATGACGAGCACATCCGTGTTAGCTTTCTTTGTTCTTAAATGTCACTCAAATGTATAATATTAACTCCCGGTAAAATTAAATTGCATAACTAACCCTTTGAATAATTAAAAGTGTTTATTTTACACTATATTACTATTAAGGTCAGTCTTAATCTCCTGAGTGAATAGTCTGATAAGTTTGCTATATGGATAGAAAGATGGGAGGGGTATATGGATAGGTCGATTGGAGGAATATATGGATAGGTCTAAGGGAGGGACATATGGATACTTAATCACTTAAAGCAACCTTGGAGTTTATGAGATGAAGAATACGATATAACATCTGGCATTTACAGTGCCTGCTGTCAGATGACACAGCACTATAATACAAAAAATTATATTAACTAAATTATGTCATGCTTTCCTTATAAAATATAATATGTAATAAAATTGTGTATTGTACACAAATTCAATGAAGAAAAGGACTAGTTAGGGCTAAATACATCAATTACGTTCTCTCTTGAAGACTTTTAAAACATTCTCTCAGGTGTTTATACAAAACACAATATATTGAGATCTTGGAGGGGTAGAAATAGCCTAAACTACTCTACCATTTTGAGATGTATTTTTATTGTTTCAATAAACGTAATTAAACTTAAGATCTACATGGCTGATTCTCTGTCATTTCGCAATGTTTGTTTTAATTAAAAAATGTTTAACAATCTACTCGAATATTATACTTTCATATATATGCAGGCGATGAGTCACAATAACGTGGCTGAAGTATGTTGACCAGACCACACACTAGAAGTTGAAGGGACGACGACGTTTCGGTCCGTCCTGGACCATTCTCAAGTCAATTGTTTTCATATATAATTTAATCACTCACGATATTTAGGCTTATCCATTCCATCACATTTTAGGTTCACAATATTTATTAAGTGGTCTAAGCTGTCCCCTCACAGTGATTAATGTTTCCAAGTGTTGGCGTCAAATTTGACATCCACGTTTTATAGCTCAGTAAGTTACCTAACTTCGATTGGGGGGTATATGTTATTTACACAACTGACTTACACTGCGATTTTTAAATGTGTAATCTAAGATCTTTAAGTTAAGTGAATATGGAAATCGGCATAACAAAATTTAGCAAGTCAGCCTATCATCACAATGCTATTTCAACATTGTACTTTTATATTCGCAGCCCTTTTTATAAATGACATACACAGCACACTCCCAATGTTTAGGGACAAACACCCAACTTACACCATTCATTAACAACAATTATGCACATTACCAGAGGAAATATTTCAAACCATTCAACTTGTCACAATTTTCGTACCACTATTCTGAAACTCCACAATATATTACAATTTAGGGTGGTCCACAATGTTTATATATATATATATATATATATATATATATATATATATATATATATATATATATATAATCTGCAGCTCATCTAATCACCATAATTAGGTACACACGGGAGATAAGATACACACTGGCGAGGTTTTACAAAGCACGGGGGAAACTGTACCTAAACAGTGCTGGTGTAGGATGTCCATGGCCGGAGAGCGGGAGCCGTCCGTGTCCTTCCCTCCTGACTGTTCACTAACAACTGACTGCGTTTATCCACTCAACAAGCTGTCAGGGCCGCCACCTCGTTGCCAGTCTCACCAACCACACGAAAAACAACCAATTACCATATTTAAAGGGCTGTCGGACACTTCTTAGGAGTCTTTAGTAGTCTTAATTTCATTAGAGCTTCTCCGATATAGTGCTCATTTTACAAGTTGTTAATTTTATTTTGAGACTGATGTACGTATAGCGGTTAGTTCTTGCTTTTGAAGGAGCTGGTATGGTAAAAGTTAGTATCCTAAGATTCGTCAAAGGAATCCATTGTATCTAATCGCATCCGTGATAACGCTGATAACAAGAGCCATTACTTATAATATAAAACATTCTCTATCGGCTACGAGGGAGACACACGTAATGCCTCTTGCGTTCACAAGATATTTAAACCAAATTTCAACATTTACTTGGATGTTAATGCTTAATAACATCAAACATGCAGTCATCAACCAGCTCAGATCACTATAAATTATATAAGGCATTATAATAATTGCTTGTTTTTTTTTTATACCGAGGGGTCATGTTTATTGCTAAGTCGCTCATCAACATACGATATGAGTGAACATACCGCCATATGCTTCATTAACATCTGTATTGACAAAATGAATATACAATTTTGCCCAATCTGAGGTCTTATTACAGTGAGGTGCTGCTCTAATTTACAGGATAAAGGTTCTTACACAAGACGATTGGTCTAAATTATAGATTGAAGCACGAATATAGCTCATGAGGCTACAATCTACTAAAGCAATATCATACTGTACATTTTTCAATTTGACTAATTGAAATGCAACCACACAAGGCATACACACAGAGTGAATTCATAATAAACGGAGCTAAAAAATAAATTTCGTTTTTCATTCTTTAATATGGCCAATCAAATTTGGGATAACTGGTTAGGCTGTTTTCCAATATACTACATTCAATTAAATAGTTACGTATTTCATTGCACAATCATAGAGATAGTATTGGGAAGCGTCACTCATCATGTGAGTGAACATACCATTATAGTGACAATATTGGGCAACGTCAATCATCATGTGAGTGAACATACCATTATAGTGACAGTATTGGGCAGCGTCAATCATCCTGTGAGTGAACATAATTCATACATACCGCCATAGGACACAGTATTGGATAGTCCCTCTTCCTACGAGTGAACATGCCATTATAGGGGCAGTACTGGCAGTGTAACTCATCCTGTGAGTGAACATTTCGCCACTGAATCAAGATAGCGGTGAAGTTCATTTTATAAATCCGTGGATACCCTCAACTACTCAGGTTAAGGACCAATAACCATCTGTGTGACCGCACAGCCTCGCCCTTGTCAAGTTGTTGGGGTTGTTTGAGCACGTTCCCTTTCGCCTGATTCCTCTGTTTACTTAGCAGTAAACAGATACCCGGGAGTTAAGCAACTGTTGCAGGTTGCATTCTGGGAAGTGGCTAGTCGTTGTTGGCTAAAGAGATTTCGACATTTTATAGCCTCTCATTCCCCGACATCAAAAGGTGGTGTATGCTATATACACTGAGAGGTGCTGTCTACTTCTATATACACCATGAGATACCCTCTAATATACAACAACAACCTCTAATAGATACACCAAGAGGTATTGTCTGCTTCTATGTACACTACGAGCGGATGTCTACTTTTATATACATCGAAACGTGCCACTCACATAATCTGAGTGGTGCTGTCTTCAATATACACACATAAAAGTACACAATAAGCTCACAAGATGAGTATGGGGTGCACAGCAGACTAGCAGCCGCTGGCTGCAGCAGTCAATGTGCACCATACAGCAGCTCCTGCTTCACCCTTGAGGACGCGCGGACGTCTGCTCTGCCTGGGGACCACTGGGACACAGCAGGTAAATTTACCCACTGGGTGTATTCCAGACACTGCCGTAATCGGCTGAGCTACGACAGGGTTAAAAAAGAGTTGAAACCGAAGTTCTACTAAACTTACTGGATCCCGTAGCCTCTCCGAGGCACAAACCAGGGTTTTACACAACTCCCCTCTGCACCCGAGCTATGTCAATAAGCCGTTCTCCCTCTTCGCCCTTACATCATTACACACAGAGATCACACTAACGTGATGCATCAAATGAACAAATCCACAAGTTTGCCCACTGGGGTCTCTAGATACTGCCGTCAGGCATTCCTCTTCAACGATTCGACTTGATACGGCTTAAAGTCAGTGAACTAACTAACTTTAAGAAAACCATCAAATTCAAGTTCCCGAGCCACAGCACTCGAATCTGGGTAAAATTAAATTTAGCAGTGATGGCTACATTTTCACGTCTAAAAGCCATCATATTTTACCACAAAAGCTTTTCATGATTAGTTTATAATTTAAAAGATTAACTTAGGGTCACCATATCTATCTACGGGGGCAGGAAACAGGTGACTAAATTGTCTAAGGCTTTGACAACCCAATTTTTTTGAATAGTCCATTAACTTTTTCTTGCTCCTGACCCATTGTTTCCTTCAGCATGGCAATAGTTCGCCCACGTGTGTTTTACACGGGCCTTTGCAACAGACATGTTCTAATTACTTAAAATCAACCCCCCCCCCCCTCCACCAGATAAAGTAGTATATATACTGAATATACTATTCTTTTATACTAAAATATACTATTCTTATATACTAAAATATACTATTCTTATATACTAAAATATACTATTCTTATATACTAGAATATACAATTCTATATAATAAACATACTGAATGTAAAGTCAGTATTTGACTTAAATAGGCAAATACTGACTTTAATCGTCATCTTAAATAGATGACAGGATGGATTATTTATATATACCCTGTAATAAACGCTTTATTCTCAAATTAAATTTATTGATGCCTAGAAAATGCCTTAGGCCTAGAAAAGGTTATACTTAAGGTAATTGTGCTACTTTGATTTTGAGAGTGTTTACAGTACGGCGGTAGTGGAAAGGGTTACAGAGGCACATAATGGGCTCAGGGACTAAACTCCACAATTCATTTAGCTAAGCAAGTTACAATCTTGATGAGCTAGTTGAATCGAAGCGACGAAATTGTAAAATGTGACTGAGCAAAGCCTCGTGTAAGGAAATGGTGTTCATTAATGCTGTCTTTACAATCTGGTTCATTTTTTTTAATTAAATAGGAAGAGATAATGAATTTAAAGATTTTATTATTCACCGACGACTATACAATAATATACTGTTATATATATACCGTCACGCATTAGAATAACAAATTAACTCAAGAAAATAAACACCAGCGTTTAACATCTGGTTACTTTTTAATGATTTTTTAATTCAAAAATAGCATCTACGGCAACATTATTATTAATAATAATAGTAATAATAACAACAACAGTAACAATAATAATAATGAACAAATCCACAAGGGCCTTGAAGAGGGTTCGAATCTATGCACTGAGTGTTCCCAGACGCGCTCTAGTCTATTGTACCACCACATGGTCAAAAGAATTGCAACCTGGAGTGCTACTGCCCCCCACGAGGATCCCGAGGTATCCACTGAAGCCTAACTGGGGTTTCACACAATTCCCCCCCCCCTCCATGCACTTGGGCTCTGTCAACCAAATAGTTCTCCCTCTGACCTCTTCTTCTTCTGATTATTACACCTCAATCCACACAAAATGTGTTTATTGAGGTCAAAGGTAGAACTATTTGGTTGACAGAGCCCAAGTGCACGGAGGGGGGGGGGAAGTGTGAAACCCCAGTTAGGCTTCAGTGGATACCTCGGGATCCTCGTGGGGGGCAGTAGCACTCCAGGTTGCAATTCTTCTTTTGACCATGTGGTGGTACAGTGGACTAGTGCGCGTCTGGGAACACTCAGTGCACAAGTTCGAACCCTCATCAAGGCCCTTGTGAATTTGCTCATTTGATATATCACGTTATTGTGATTCCTGTGTGTAATAATAATAATAATTTTAATAATTAAACAATCACTTCAACAATTCAAATATACTGAAAATGAAGGGCTAACACAACATATATATAATAAGCGCATTACTACAGATAGCGCACTGTACACAAGTGCAGCTCTAGCCTCCAACAGCCAAAGTAACTAATACGAGACGCAAACAAAACTAAAGTGACATTAACAAATATATATATATATATATATATATATATATATATATATATATATATATATATATATATATATATATATATATATTTAGTTATGTATATATGTGTGTAATAATAATAGTAATAACAGAACCCAGCCTCCCTTTGACAGGGAGGCTGGGTTCAGGCAATATGTATGGAGGCTCCCTCATATATATATATATATATATCATTGAATATGACTGTATTGATTATTTTCTTGTTTAGGGCTTCTATCCCTCTGACTAGTGCTTTTGCATTTTGGTTTAATTGGAAGAGAATTTCTCCAAATGTCATCTTTGTTCGAGGTAAACTAAAAAAAGAAAATAACTAACTTTAGAATGTATTATACTTATTATAAATTTACACATTTCGAACCTACATGGTTCATTCTCAAGTGATGGAACTGCACTGGGCGTAATGGATTTATACCATTAGGGAGATCATAAATATTTCTTGAATAAGTCGTTCCACAACACTGTCGCTTGGATAGGCGACTTCCTATGGCGTCACCTGCCACTTAAGTTTCATCTAATTTCGTTATAAAATTAAGTTATTTCAGAGCAAATATATTCTTAATGTTCTACATTCAGCACCAACATTATAGTGAGTAAATATATCATATTTCTTCATTACTTGCGTAATACTAGGAAGCTTTGGGTAATTAGACGAACCCCCCCCCCAGTGTGCGAACGGCGCCTCCTCACACAGCCAATTTATATTGGCGTCCCCACGACAGCATTCTTAGCCCATTTTGTTATATATATATATATATCAATAACCTTCCAAGTGCAACTTAATACCTTCATCTCAAATACTAACCCAATTAATACGGTAAATACTGATATATAAAAAAAGCTCCACGTGTGGTTAATAAATATTAGGAAATTTATCTATCAGTTTGCAAATAGCTTTAAGAATTAACAACACACAAATGGAGAGCAGAGGACAAGGGAAATTCATCGGTATACATATACACAAGAAATTGAGCTTGAATTGTTATATACAATAATAATAATAAGTGTTCAATACTGTAAGCATTCTCTCCAAAATCAGCAACAATGAACGTCACTAGACGAAATGATGGTTGGTTGCCATGTACGTCACTAGATCATTATTGGTTGCCGGAGGGAGAGACTAGTATTGGAAAGATTGTTGCCTCCATCACGTCGGAGGCGGTGGTGATGTGGAGGATGTACGTGGTTGGGTGGAGGGTTGAAGGGGTGTTGTGGAGGGTGAAGGTGGTGGGGTGGAGGGTGAAGGAGGTGGGGTAGAGGGTTCAGGCGGTGTTGTGGAGGGTTCAGGCGGTGTTGTGGAGGGTTCAGGCGGTGTTGTGGAGGGTGAAGGCGGTGTTGTGGAGGGTGAAGGCGGTGTTGTGGAGGGTGAAGGTGGAGGGGTGGAAGGCGGAGGGGGAGTTGTGGAGGGTGAAGGTGGTGGGGTGGACGGCGGAGGTGGCGGAGGAGCGCCTAATGGAATGCAAGACAATGGTCTCCTTTTAGGCTTGCGTGGAGGAAGTGATTGTAGAGACATTCTACGAGCAACGCTGGAGACAGCCGCAGGTCTTGCATTGCCGATGGTGGTCGTGGAGGCTCCCTCACAACTTACGGTCGAAGTGGTGGAGGAAGCAGCCGGCAAGTTGGAATCTAAGGAGGTGGAGGAGCGAAGAAAAGGAGTCGTGTCGTCGGAGGTCTTTGAAGCAGCGCGAGAACCGGCACTCGAGAGTTTGAGGGTAAACGACACAATAACTGGAAGGGAACTTGGTTCCTGGCTTGTGCTAGTGACTGTCGACAACGTTTGATGAGTAATACTGGAGACAGAAGGACCTGGCTCTGTATTGTTGGAGGCGAAGGATTTAGGATCTGTATCTTTCGATGTTGTGGTGGGTAGACTGGGACCAGGATCTGCTGATGCACTGGTGGTAGTGGTGACGGAGGTAATGGTGCCTGAATCTGTTGACGTTGTTGTGATGGTGGAGGAACTATGACATGGATCTGTGACTTCCATGGTGTTATTGGAGGAAGGATAATACGGGCTGGTAGTTGTGGTGCAAGTAGTAAGGCCTGACTCAGAACCCCCGTCTGTGGTGGACGCACCTGACTCTCCGACTGAAGTAGTTAGACCTCTTGGGTCTTCTACAGCGCTCAAAACAATCATTTCTTGCAAATCATTTGAAGAAGTTGATTCGCCTAAATTGGAGGACCCAGTTGTCTCTTCAGACTCAACGTAGGAACCTTTTTCTGAACGATCGTCAGTCTCTTCTCTTAGGGAAGACTCCACGGAGTGCTGACCAAACGCTAGCTGAGTAAAACTCATGGCTGCAAAATCGTCTGTCAGATCAGCAGAAGAATTTGTATCTTGTGCTGAAGCAACAGTCCCTGATGGCGTTGCACTTAGGGAAGTGTTTTGCTCTGCGTCACAGTTCGAATCAAGGGAAGACCCCTCAGTAAATGAATTGGGAAGGATAGTAGTTGAGAGTGCCTCAGCGAATGAGTTTGTGGTAGTGATGAGTGTAGATGCAGAAGACAATGAGTTTGTGGCGATGGTGGCGGTGTGGGGAGGAAACTCAGACGTGGGTGGTTCTCCACTGGGATAACTTGTGGTAGTGGTCATGCTAGGAGTAAGACCCGACGATGTCTCGAGGGTAGAGTTCACGGTGAAGAAAGATGCAGGCGTCAATAATGCCTCATTGGAATTATCTGTGGAGATAGAGGTAGTAGCTTTGGGAGTGGTGGTAGTGGAAGATGTGGTGATGGTGGTAAAACCCAGAGACAGGTGCGAAGAGGAGACATTGGGGACGACGGCGGGGAGTGTACTGTCAGCCGAGTCTGGAAATATTGGCGCGGTGATGGTTGGCGCACTGTGGGCCTCCACTGGACTGGGAGGAGGTGGGGGAGCGGGCCGTTTACTGGGATCCACACCCTGCAGGAGGAAGCTTGCATTACAGATATGCAAATGAGACACATTACAGAAATAAGGACGTATTGTGCCCAATACTGAACATTATCAAAATCCTCAGCAAGCCTGATTTAGAGACTCGCCACAATGTTATTGAGTCAGAAACACACACACGATAAGTGACAGACTGAAAAAGCTTGTTCCTTAATTTAGTATGAAATGCAGGGAGCAGCATGCCAGCCAGAACACTGAGCAATACCGTAAAGACTTGACAGAAAAGTTAGAAAAGCTAACTAAACCAACAAGTCCTCCACTATTCCGTCCACAAGTGTTTCAACTAAAGTGTGTTCCACTAAACTGTCTACAAGTGTTCCACTAAACTGTCTACAAGTGTTCCACTAAACATGTACTAGCGCCTGCGCATGATGACAGAAAGGCTTGTGGTTGGCGGGAACTGCTGTGATTGGCTTAGCCATCACCAAGCACCTAGGAAACAACTCAGTTAAGGCGCAGCCAGTCGCCCAACGACAAGCTGACTTAAGGCCAACTTAAGTTAAACAGCTCTTCTAAAGCAACTACTACGTATAAGTTGAGCAACACATCGTTCATAAGTGTCAAGTAGCTGTCATACTTGTAAAAGTACATAACTTGACTGATTTAAAGTAACACTATTACACCTCTTGCTTAATGCATGAAGTATTAGTGTACATTAACATAATTAACATGCCATCAAAATTTAGTTTCAACTTCCATGTGATTCATAATGCAAATATTCTCGCGTATGCCTTTTTCTATCAAATTCTACTCGCACTCACCGAATTAAATATTTATATCTAGCGTAGATTCCACGAGTCCCTCGCCCGAGCCAGCTCACACGAACACTTGAGTGACAGTCGAACAGCTGTCATCACTGCCTTTGTGACTGAGGTGCACATAATCGGCTGAAAGGCTTTGTGCTTAAGACTGGCCCCAGGCACTATTACGTTCGACGGCAATGCGAAAGTCGTTTGACCATGTAATTTTTATATTGGAGTCCTGTTTCATATACGGGCCTGACAGCTGAGTGGACAACGCTTCGAATTCGTAGTCCTGAGGTTCCGGGTTCGATCCCCGGTGGAGGTGGAAACAAATGGGCAGAGTTTCGTTCACCCTGATGCCCTGTTCACCTAGCAGTAAATAGGTACATGGGAGTTAAACAGCTGCTACGGGCTATTTCCTGGGGGTGTGTAACAAAAAGGAGGCCTGGTCGAGGACCGGGCCGCGGGGACGCTAAGTCCCCGAAATCATCTCAAGATAACCTCAAGAGAAGTTGCGATAACATCTTGCACGTGCAACCGATAATAATAGGTAGATGTAAACATTGGCAAGAAAGTTAGCTAAAGGTGTAGACGTCGACAAAGGGTGCGGACAGTCAACTTACCCTCATGTGTAATCCAGTGTTAGGTGCCGTTGGTGCCTGCTGGTGTGGTTCCTGCTGGTGTGGTTCCTGCTGGTGTGGTGCCTGCTGGTGTGGTGCCTGCTGGTGTGGTTCCTGCTGGTGTGGTTCCTGCTGGTGTGGTGCCTGCTGGTGTGGTGCCTGCTGGTGTGGTTCCTGCTGGTGTGGTTCCTGCTGGTGTGGTGCCTGCTGGTGTGGTTCCTGCTGGTGTGGTTCCTGCTGGTGTGGTTCCTGCTGGTGCTGCTCCCACTGGTGCTCGTCCTCCTCCTGCTGCTGCTGCTCCCGTTCCTCGTTTGTTGTGGAGTAGCGCGGGTAAGCTCCCGGGTCGAAACCAACATGGTAAAGATGCTGAAAGTTGGTCGGGCTGCTGATCATGTCTTTCCTGGGGGAGGGGGAGACAAGAACATCATCACCATCATGGACTATCACCATCTTCATCATCACAACCAACCATCTACCTTACCGACGTGTCTACCAGCTTTCCCAAATGGAAAAAAAAATTCAGTTTGATTTCAAAGGCTCTTATACACACAGAAAACGCAATAGTGTGATGCATCAAATGAACAAATCCACAAGGGCCGTGATGAGGGTTCGAACTTACGCCGGATCATTCCGGCTGTAAGTTCGAACCCTCATCATGGCCCTTGTGGATTTGTTCAGAGTCTCTTATGTTATCAAACATAAAGTGTTTTGCCAGATGGCTGTAATTTGGTGTTTAAGTCATTTAAATGTACGGAGAAATCTGTGAAAAACATCAACCTAAAAATCCACACAACAGAAGATAATTCTTGAACCTTTTTCATGCATCAAAAACACGAATTTCATCCCAAAACTCAACAAATCGTCTAAGAACAAAACCTCTACTAAGCTGCACACATTTGGCCGTAATGGTAATCTGTAAATATTTATTGACTATGGGTGGGGAGTATGAAGAGTCAGGGGGCAGCACTGCATGCCACGTCGTGCCACCGTGGGCATGTATGCCATAGGTTTGCCTCCCTGTGCTTCAGGCCAACGACGGACCTTTCACTAGGACGCAACAGGTGGGGGTAACAGAGGTAGGGATACTTTCCCAAAAGTGTCGCCCAGCTGGGGGATCGAACCCAGCACACAGGATCAGATTATAGTGGTTACTTAGTCGGCACAGTGTTTGGAACCACCAAACCATACTGGAACCACATCACTGAGAATTACACCAGAGGTATTTACGAATCTCTTTCATGCGGTTGTATTATTGGAACCATGACAGTTGGATAACACCGAAGCCACCTCCGCTGGTCTCTTTCAGGAGACTGCATTTCTGAGATCATATCTATGAGTTACATCACACATTTACGTCAGTCTTATCCATACAACTGTATTATTGTAATCACAAAGTGAGAATGACATCGCAGGTACTTACACCAGTGTCTTCCAGGCAGCTAGTTTACGGGTACAGGTCCTATATAAATAAGAACAACATCAAAGGCACTTACGTCAGTTTCTTCCAGGTTCGTTTCCTGTCTAGTGTAGTCATCTTATCTCCAGGCTGTGGTGGGAAGCACAGTTGTGGGGTCTGTTGGGGTCGCGGTGACTGTGGTGGTGACGGTGGTGGTTGTGGTGGTGATTGTGGAGGTGGGCGTGGTGGCGACGGTGGTGGTGGATGTGGTGGTGATTGTGGTGGTGGATGTGGGGGTGGTTGTGGTGGCGGTGGCTTTGCTTGCTTATGAAGCTGCTCTGGCTGCCTTTCCTTTCGCGTTTTAGTCCCCTGGCGTTGCTTGTGCGGCAGCTGGTCACGGAGGGGCGCCACTCCTGCTGCGCCGTTTGTGTCCAGGTGGTTGGTCTCTGCCAGCTGCTTCTTCTCCTGAGTCAATGCTGTCTTCTCCTTCGGGGAAGGTGGTGGACGACCTGTACATCGACCGCGTCTCATGAAAAAACTGCCAGAACCTCATTTACCTCACCTTCCTTCTTTCTTTTCCTTCTCTTACGTACACACTATATTTATAAATATATGAATGAACAATAATGATATATACAACAACACATGTAAACGAGGACGTTAGTATTTTACCACAAATTCAGATTGAGACAGACAGAGGACTCACCTTCGGGCTTGCGGGGCGCGGCTCCCGCCACGACCAAGGCAGCAGCAGCAGCGAACTCCCTGGCGTCCACCTCACTGGCGAACTTCAGTCCCAGCATCCTACCCTATCACCGGGGAGGAAAAACAACACATAAACTGAACGCCTTCATGTAAGGAACGTTGAACTCATAACATCGCAAGTTAGACGTAAACGCAATAAAAGTTTACGTCCAATTTGCGACGGAGAAGAAACGTTATGTAACGGCAGCTGATGCAGTAAAGGAATGGCCGATGCGTAGCTGTTTTCGTCTGGAAAACGAGGCGAGCTTTGTCTTCCAGACTTAAGCAAGGCGAGCCGACGATATACAGGAGTACTTGAAAGTCTATTAAACCTCCAAAGTTTCACTACATCACACATACACCTCATTCATGCTGCCATGGGTGAGTTTTGTGAGAGTCAACTCTCCACGACCCACCACGCACTCTTCCATGGCAGATCAACACACACACACATCTGATGAACAAAAAAGACTACTTTACCAGACACGTATTAGTAATTAACTTAAGCAGGCAAGTCATTATCAAAAGACGGCCTCAAGCTGGGGAGATTGTGTAGAGTAACTAACTGAAAGAGCATTCCAACCTATGGTATTCATTACAGGTTCGTGTCATAAATAAAGTACTGGCACGAGAAAATTATTTTTGTCTGGGATCACTTGGTATGTAAGTACCAGAAGTACATGAGCACGGGTGAGTCTGGAAGCCTCACCCGTGCTGGGAGCTGGTGAAAGAGCCTCACCTGTGCTGGGAGCTGGTGGCAGAGCCTCACCTGTGCTGGGAGCTGGTGGAAGGTCCTCACCTGTGCTGGGAGCTGGTGGAAGAACCTCACCTGTGCTGGGAGTTGGTGAAAGGTCCTGACCTGTGCTGGGAGCTGGTGGAAGAGCCTCACCTGAGCTGGGAGCTGGTGGAAGAGCCTCACCTGAGCTGGGAGCTGGTGGAAGAGCCTCACCTGTGCTGGGAGCTGGTGGAAGAACCTCACCTGTGCTGGGAGTTGGTGAAAGGTCCTGACCTGTGCTGGGAGCTGGTGGAAGAGCCTCACCTGTGCTGGGAGCTGGTGGAAGAGCCTCACCTGAGCTGGGAGCTGGTGGCAGAGCCTCACCTGTGCTGGGAGTTGGTGGAAGAGCCTCACCTGAGCTGGGAGCTGGTGGCAGAGCCTCACCTGTGCTGGGAGCTGGTGGAAGAGCCTCACCTGAGCTGGGAGCTGGTGGCAGAGCCTCACCTGTGCTGGGAGCTGGTGGCAGAGCCTCACCTGTGCTGGGAGCTGGTGGCAGAGCCTCACCTGTGCTGGGAGCTGGTGGCAGAGCCTCACCTGTGCTGGGAGTTGGTGGAAGAGCCTCACCTGAGCTGGGAGCTGGTGGAAGAGCCTCACCTGTGCTGGGAGCTGGTGGAAGAGCCTCACCTGTGCTGGGAGCTGGTGGCAGAGCCTCACCTGTGCTGGGAGTTGGTGGAAGAGCCTCACCTGAGCTGGGAGCTGGTGGAAGAGCCTCACCTGTGCTGGGAGCTGGTGGAAGAGCCTCACCTGTGCTGGGAGCTGGTGGCAGAGCCTCACTTGTGCTGGGAGTTGGTGGAAGAGCCTCACCTGAGCTGGGAGCTGGTGGCAGAGCCTCACCTGTGCTGGGAGCTGGTGGAAGAGCCTCACCTGAGCTGGGAGCTGGTGGAAGGTCCTCACCTGTGCTGGGAGCTGGTGGCAGAGCCTCACCTGTGCTGGGAGCTGGTGGAAGAGCCTCACCTGTGCTGGGAGCTGGTGGCAGAGCCTCACCTGTGCTGGGAGCTGGTGGAAGAGCCTCACCTGTGCTGGGAGCTGGTGGCAGAGCCTCACCTGTGCTGGGAGCTGGTGGAAGAGCCTCACCTGTGCTGGGAGCTGGTGGCAGAGCCTCACCTGTGCTGGGAGCTGGTGGAAGAGCCTCACCTGTGCTGGGAGCTGGTGGAAGAGCCTCACCTGTGCTGGGAGCTGGTGGAAGAGCCTCACCTGAGCTGGGAGCTGGTGGCAGAGCCTCACCTGTGCTGGGAGCTGGTGGAAGAGCCTCACCTGTGCTGGGAGCTGGTGGCAGAGCCTCACCTGTGCTGGGAGCTGGTGGAAGAGCCTCACCTGTGCTGGGAGCTGGTGGCAGAGCCTCACCTGTGCTGGGAGCTGGTGGAAGAGCCTCACCTGTGCTGGGAGCTGGTGGAAGAGCGGAGAAGAGCAGAGATACCGAGCGCCCTTCGTCACTTCCACCTCCTGCACCCGCTGCCACTCCACCAGGTCGTACACCTGAAACAAACACAGATCTCTCCTTTACATCTTGACGAAGGTGACACCCCGCCCCCGCCCTCCCACTTCTCCCAGCGTCACACGGGTGAGAAACCTCTCTTTAGAGTTAAACACCGGAGAGAAGACATTTACTGGTTGCCTCAGGGGGGGTCCAAATACAAGCAGGTTAGTAGTCTTTTTTTCTACGTTAAAATACAGGCAAGAAAATTTTGTTGTGCTTGCCACAAGAGATTATTTTTTATTCATGAAACTACTGTAAACTGGACCTGAAGGGGCAGTGAATTACTGTACTGGAGGAAGTATAGTCCTTGTGGACGTGGAGGACAGTGAGCCACTCACCTGGAGGAAGTAGGCCTTGCGGGCGTAGTCCTTAGTGAGAGTTACGACGCCCGTGTGTAGGGGGTGCCAGGTGGTGTGTTCGGGGGGGTCCGCCCCCATCACTGTCACCACACCCGTGCTCACTGCCTGCACCATACATCAACAACAGTCACATCAACTACATCAATAGCAACAACAATAGCAACAATCAAAACAAATGCAAGACTTCTTGTTATTGCTTCATGCAACAAGTCTATCCATCAATCAATACAACAAATCTAGCCATTACCTCATGCAGCAAATCTATCCATCAAATCAAATCTATCCACCATATCCCCATGCAACAAGCCTAGCCTCCAATTCAGTGAATCAGCTGACTGATGTCAGCGAATCAATTGATCGATGTCAGTGAATCAATTGATCGATGTCAGTGAATCAATTGGCTGCTGTTCGTAAGTCGATTGATATCAATCGGTGAGTCAGGTAACTAATGTCAGTGGGTCAACTGAATCATGTCAGTGGTCAGTTGATTGATGTCAATGAGTCGATTGATTGATGCTTCTTATATTAATGAATGAGTGACTGATTGAGTGCTGGAGTCATTACATTAATGAGTAAATGAGTAAATGCATGTGTGATATCGTGAGTGAGTGAGTGAATGCATGAGAATGGCTGATTAGGTGCACGAGTGTTTGAATGCGTGAGTGAACGAATGCATGAATCCGCGAGGGAGTGAGTGCGTGAGTAAATAAGTGAATGAATGAGTTAGCGAGAGAGCTCACCTGAGCCTTAGAGCCGAGGAGGGCGAAGATCCTGAGGTTGGCCTCGTGGCTGAGCACCGAGGAGGAGCGGTGCTCCCCCGGCGCTAGACTCTTCCGGAGGGCGCTCATCCCGCTGGCAAGAATGGGCTCCTCCTCGACCTACTCTCCCTCAAGGTCGGCCAAGCGTCAGGAGGAAATTCTAAGGGGGTTGGACTTTTCTAAATGGGTGGGGAGGAAAGGTCCTGGGAGAGGGAGGGGTGTTTAGGAGCAGCTTGGATATTGGGCATCAGTGGAGATTGTTTTGAAGGGTAAAGAGGTTCTTTAAGGGATTATTCACAGTAGTGGGCTCGAAATATTAAGAGTTCTGGGAGGGCTTTCTGTTGCCTTGAGTTTCTTCGGGAAGTAGATGTGTAGGATGGCTTCACTGGGTCATAACGTCGATACCTACAGGGATATACAAGGGTTTTAGCACCCACAAACACCGCACTTGACTGGTGGCTAGATAATAATGACTTAAAAAAAAAACGCAATATTACTAATTCAAACGACACTTCGTCGAACACTGTCCTAGATGTTACTGTACACTCACAGCGAAGCATTGCGTACTACGCTCGTTTCTCGCTTTGGCCTCTATTTAATTCAGTACTATTTCTACCGTTTCCAGTTGTAGGTTGAATCAGAGCGGAATAGTAGCACAAGATGAGACTCCCCAGGCTCCACAGTCGGAGGCACTCCCTCACAGAAAATTACCCACAACTCAACGTTTTCGGTTTTCTGATACAAACACAGTGGTTGATTTATGTCTCATATAATATTCGCAAGACGTTCTGTCAATTAGAAATGTCCAAAAAATATTTCATAAGGCTGGACTAGAAATTGTCCAGAACCGAGCCAATGTATACATAGGGCGTGAACGCCCTTAACAGGAAACGTTTGGTTTGTAGCTGAAGTCACAATAACGTGGCTGAACAATGTTGACCAGACCACACACTAGAAAGGAAAGAGAAAACGACGTTTCGGTCCGTCCTGGACCATTTATCAAGTCGATTGGTTTGCTTTGCTGGTGGGTTTAATGTCTCAACCACTGGAGAGTTGTTGACACCAACTTGCTGACCAACGAGCAAAACATTCTTTAGTCTTGAGCAAATATCTTTCCACCTGTCAGTACTCACCTAGTTGTGTTTGCGGGGGTTGAGCTCTGGCTCTTTGGTCCCGCCTCTCAACCGTCAATCAACAGGTGTACAGATTCCTGAGCCTATCGGGATCTGTCATATCTACATTTGAAACTGTGTATGGAGTCAGCCTCCACCACATCACTTCCTAATGCATTCCATTTGTCAACCACTCTGACACTAAAAAAGTTCTTTCTAATATCTCTGTGGCTCATTTGGGCACTCAGTTTCCACCTGTGTCCCCTTGTGCGTGTTCCCCTTGTGTTAAATAGACTGTCTTTATCTGCCCTATCAATTCCCTTCAGAATCTTGAATGTGGTGATCATGTCCCCCCTAACTCTTCTGTCTTCCAGCGAAGCGAGGTTTAATTCCCGTAGTCTCTCTTTGTAGCTCATACCTCTCAGCTCGGGTATTAGTCTGGTGGCAAACCTTTGAACCTTTTCCAGTTTAGTCTTATCCTTGACTAGATATGGACTCCATGCTGGGGCTGCATACTCCAGGATTGGCCTGACATATGTGGTATACAAAGTTCTGAATGATTCTTTACACAAATTTCTGAATGCCGTTCGTATGTTGGCCAGCCTGGCATATGCCGCTGATGTTATCCGCTTGATATGTGCTGCAGGAGACAGGTCTGGCGTGATGTCAACCCCCAGGTCTTTTTCCTTCTCTGACTCCTGAAGAATTTCCTAATTTCAGTGGTCTAATGTATTAACTCCCGACCCTATTGTTTTTTGTCCTATGGTCTTATATATTATGTGTAGATGTTCCCTCTCTTCTGATTCCCCTACTTACTAACTCATCTTGCACTAAAGAAGTATTTACTCACATCCGTGGCTCATCTGCGCCTCTAGCTTCCACGCATTTCCTCTCACTACGTTCTTATTTAAACTAAACATCCAGTGTATTTCTATCAGCGATACCCCAGAGTATTTTGTATGTATGGATCATATCCACTCAATTTCTCTTCTTCTCGTGACAATAGGATCTGTTCCCTTAGTGAATTCCCGTAGCATTCCCGTAGCTCTGTCCCATCAATTCCGGGAATGTCTTGTAGTAAATCTTTTTACTTTTTCTGTCTATGTTTTGTGCTTTCTGAGGTGTGGGTTCCATGCCGGTACTGCATAACCAAACCTTTGGCCGGACACATGTTGTTCTGAAAGCGTCCTGTACTATGTTCCTGAAGACTGTCTCGATGACTCCCAGCATATGTTGTTGCTATTATTCTCAGTACGCGTGCCTCCGGGAGATAGGGATATCTATGTCTACTCCCGGAGTCTTTTTCTCTCACTGACCATGGTACGTTTCTTTCTTTCATTATGTCTTCTTCCTCTATCTGCAAATTTCACAAAACCTTAATTTATATTTATGAAAGTATATCTATATTACACCATATGAGAGAAATTCAATACGCACTTTTTAGGACAGTCGCGGCACGGCTCGAGGATGGCACGAGCTTGGATAATAACGTCCCGACACTTTGACTGACAAAATTCCCTGGGGGAAAATGCCAGCTACACATGGTTAAGGCTGCCCCGGAATAAGCGGTAAAATAATCTCCATTCACGTAGGTTAATGTTCCCGAAGGTGAAGGGCTGGTGGCATAATTAGTGATCGCTTTCACGGTTATTAAGCTCACAATAGTACCCGAGGCTGATCCAGTCGCTGACAGTGATCGGCGTTTATCTTGTCTGTCTCCGCTCCAACATCCGGATAGAGCCCCGGCCAGGCTCAAGTTGCCAGATTCACGAAGCAGTTACGCAAGCACTTACGAACCTGTACATCTTTTCTCAATATTTGGCGGCTTTGTTTACAATTATTAAACAGCTCCGAAGCACCAGGAGGCTGTTTAGCACCAAGTACCAAGTTGCCAGGGGTCAGATTCACGAAGCAGTTACGCAAGCACTTACGAACCTGTACATCTTTTCTCAATATTTGGCGGCTTTGTTTACAATTATTAAACAGCTCCGAAGCACCAGGAAGCTCTTTATAACAATAACAATAGTTGATTGACAAGTTTTCATACTATAATAAATTCCCTTTTAAATTCCTTTGGTTACATTTAATAAATGTAATCAAAGGCGTTAAAGATTGAGGAAAGATGTACACGTTCGTAAGTACTTGCGTAACTGCTTCGTGAATCTGGCTTCTGGTTTGCTGTGATGTTTAACTCCCCAGGATGAGTCATGTGCTTCCCCGGTAATTCAACCAGGAGGTTTGGCCCAGGTGGTGGGCAGTGTTATTCTAGTATTCACGATTCTCATCTCAAAACACTGACCAAAGGCGCTTCCTATCTCCAGAGCTCACCAATGTAAATTAATAAAATATATTTATGCTTGACACAAACCTTATTACGTTGGAAACTTTTAATAAAAAAAAGAGTTGCATTCGTTTATGACTAGAGTCAATTCTCACAACGCGTCCTGATATCAGTGCTATACTTATGTACCTGTGTATACCTATGCAATAATAATAATAATAATAACAATAATAATAATAATAATAATAACAATAATAAAAATAATAATAAAAATAATTATATTACTATGCTAGAAAAACCACATATCTATTGGTGACCCAATAATGTCAGTAGGCTCCTAGATGCTTCTTCTATTCGATTACAAATCCCTCTGGGCGTTTGTACCACCTGAAGATGTGACGAAATGTAAACACTGCCAACAGAACTATTCCCTACCAGAAATCTTAACCAAATATCGAAAGTTTGCTTATTGAAGGTAATACATGGACGTGATTGTAAACTTGCCACCGACGTCCATGCAATGGGTGTGAGGTGTATACGAAAATAAAAATGATATATATTATTATTATAGCTCACCATAAATGTACAATGGGTATATAGCTTAATTAGACTGTTGCGGTCCAGTTCTTGAACTCATTGTTGATAAATACATTAAACTATGTAACTAATATAGAATTATCAAGACTGTAAATTAACTGCTTAGCTAAATAAATTTTGTCACCAAATTGCATGGTTCCAAGGTATAATTTTCATTACATACATACAGGTAAAGCACTTATACAAGAGTATTAGACAAATATATCCATTACCATGAGAAACCACACTCCCCCCTTCAATCCACCTGGATAGTTATCCAGATATCTGTGTTGATCTGAAAGCAGCTGTAGAGCCTGCTACGGCCAACAGCTACAGAGCCAGCTACGGCCAGCAGCTGTAGAGCCAGCTACGGCCAACAGCTACAGAGCCAGCTACGGCCAACAGCTACAGAGGCAGCTGTAGAGCCAGCTACGGCCAACAGATGTAGAGCCAGCTACGGCCAACAGCTACAGAGCCAGCTACGGCCAGCAGCTGTAGAGCCAGCTACGGCCAACAGCTACAGAGCCAGCTACGGTCAGCAGCTGTAGAGCCAGCTACGGCCAACAGCTACAGAGCCAGCTATGGCCAGCAGCTGTAGAGCCAGCTACGGCCAGCAGCTGTAGAGCCAGCTACGGTCAACAGCTGTAGAGCCAGCTACGGCCAGCAGCTGTAGAGCCAGCTACGGCCAGCAGCTGTAGAGCCAGCTACGGCCAGCAGCTGTAGAGCCAGCTACGGCCAACAGCTGTAGAGCCAGCTACGGCCAGCAGCTGTAGAGCCAGCTACGGCCAGCAGCTGTAGAGCCAGCTACGGCCAGCAGCTGTAGAGCCAGCTACGGCCAACAGCTGTAGAGCCAGCTACGGCCAACAGCCTCGCCTCGACACAATGATGACAACACCCACTTAACACTCCACAACGTGTCCACACATAATACTTATTCCAAACATTCAAAAAACCCCGCATTTTAAACACAATTCGTCTACCAATCATATTTTTGTATCTTATCTTTGGTAATCTGTATGAAATAAATTATAGATAGCAACTATATACACACAAGCTTGGTAACATTTAAAAACAGGCTGTTATAAGTGGCTATATAGCTCTATCCTGCCTCAGGGAGACATAGATTGACATTCTGGGTACAAGTGACAGGATGAACAACCCAGCGGGTTTTCTTCCTATTGGGGATTGTACATGCTGCTATGGTGGTGTCCACTCGCAGGATAAGTGGTGCTGCCCAATAAACTCAAAATTTAAAGAAAAAATCAATGTCTATTACACTTGTGGTATGGCCACTGATGCAATAGGTCAATGTAAACAGGATCACAGTTGTCCCAGCAGGTAGGGTGCTCCTCATACCTTGAAGAGTGCTCCTGTTCCACGGTATATAGCTGTGGTTATGTGTTCTCTTCGTCCCCCAAGAGTAATATATGATCTTCCCGCTGGTGTGAGCTTGGACAGACGACGGTGGACGGGGAGGATAGAGCTAATGGATGGGAGTATAACACTGGTGGATGGGAGGAGGATAGCACTGGTGGAGGAGAGGATAGCACTGGTGGAGGAGAGGATAGAGGTGGTAGACGGGAGGAGTGACGAGGAGAGACAAGACTTCCTGACGAGGTGGGTGTCCAGGGCTGCCAACCCTCCAGCACTGCGCTATCGCTCTCACTAACCCCTTATCTCTCTCTCTCACACACACTCATGTTGCTCAATATTTACTTCACAAATACCACCTCCCCTATTTATAAGCACCACATCGTTTAACTCAACTCATTTGTAATCATTAATTGTATTTGCTTAAGTTACATCTATGTACACTTAGCAGGCAATTACGTCCATTATAATTGGAAAGAAATATGCAAATGTGTGACATTTCCTCCCGTCAATATAAAATTTTAAATTTTATATTTACGAACTTTGTTGCTGGTTATATGAGATTACCGAGAAAGTTATACAAGTTTAATCTATTTATGCTTGTTTGAAGGCATTTATAATTAAGATTATTTTACTGAAAAAAATTTAAGGCATTGATAATTAAAAAAATTTTACTTAAAAAACTTTTGTCGATTATTATATAATGTGATATGAAACGGGAAATTGCACAGGTCGTAATTAAGGTTTGTTAATTGCTGATAACAGCAATAAACAAACGTAAATTTATACTAAAATATTACGCTCCTGCGTAGGCTAAGGTTAATCCGCGAGGATTACAGGCATCACAAAAGAAACTTTAAGTCTATATTGCTATTAGTAACCATATTACTAAGACGACTCTGAAAAGCTACAAGTCGAGCTTCAGAATATACTGATAAGGATGTGTTGCATTGGTCATCCGGGAACGTCAGGAAATACCTATATAACTTTTATCAACCCTAAAGTGTATTATATATATATATATATATATATATATATATATATATATATATATATATATATGTCGTACCTAGTAGCCAGAACGCACTTCTCAGCTTACTATGCAAGGCCCGATTTGCCTAATAAGCCAAGTTTTCACGAACTAATGCTTTTTCGACTACCTAACCTAACCTAACATTTTCGGCTACCTAACCTAACCTAACCTATAAAGATAGGTTAGGTTAGGTTAGGTCATATAACTACGTTAATTTTAACTCCAATAAAAAAAAAATTGACCTCATACATATTGAAATGGGGAGCTTTATCATTTCATAAGAAAAAAAATTAGAGAAAATATATTAATTCAGGAAAACTTGGCTTATTAGGCAAATCGGGCCTTGCATAATAGGCTGAGAAGTGCGTTCTGGCTACTAGGTACATTATATATATATATATATATATATATATATATATATATATATATATATATATATATATATATATATATATATATATATATATATATTATATAATTTTAATTTGTGAGGGTACCACCTCTGGTGCCAATGTGGGGACCCATAGCCTCGGAGAAGAAAATAAAAAGTATTCAGAGGAGACCTTGTGGTTTCTCACTGAACACTAATATTATCTTCTCCTACCACCCCCATTCTTTTGTAAGTACACATATATATTTGCTTTATTTGAACTTTGTTACAAAAAAGGAGTTACATATAGGTTAGAAAGATGGTTATCATAGGTTGTCGAGTTCCTCCAGCTCCTCAGATTGCGGGCAGGATGCAGTGCGCATTTCCCCTCTGTATCGCCACGCTGAGGTGCTGGAAAAGAAAGCTGGCAGCTCTAGGGTCCCTTGTTGTTTCAATGAGCCTAGAACCCAGTTCCTTCAAAAAAAACTGGTAGCACTTTTACCCCAGGCGCAGAGTGTCTCAGATATATATATATATATATATATATAGAGAGAGAGAGAGAGAGAGAGAGAGAGAGAGAGAGAGAGAGAGAGAGAGAGAGAGAGAGAGAGAGAGAGAGAGAGAGAGAGAGAGAGAGAGAGAGAGAGAGAGAGAGAGAGAGAGCCAGTTTTCTCTTTCGGCACCTTAGTGTGGCGATCCAGAGAGAAAATGCTCACTGCATCCATGGTTCCTGCCATGGATGCAGTGAGCATTAACACATACTACCTGGCATACAAGCCATGTATATATAAATTAAATATATATTATATGAGACACAAAGGTTGCATGAAAGTGTAAGCCATTAATCATTATTAAGAATTCCATTGACCCAACCAGAGGATTTGAACCCCTTGCTGTCCAGATTCACCCTTTGGTGCACAGAGCACCATAACCACTAGACCAATTTTTTTCTTCAGGGCTACTCCTGCACGTGCCCTAAGCCTTTGGCTGACCCACTAATTGTTACTTGTTTGTTTCTGTCTTACTAATAAACAATTCCACAAGGGCCGTGATGAGGATTCGAACCTGCATCCGGGAGCATCCCAGACACTGCCTTAATCGACTGACACATTACATAACTTTGTGTGTTCTGTCTTACTAGACCAATGATTGTGGTGGTCGATATATACACACACATCAGTTATTTATTGAAGATATGTTTTGGGTTAAATGAACTGTATTCAAATTTTTATAAGAAATAATCCTTACATATATGTATAGGAATCAGCTTAATATACTACCAATGAGTTTATATGCATTTGCATATGAAATTTCTGCAAAGGTTATAAGAAGCAATTTAATTTACAAAATTTATTATACATTAGTGTTTCATGTGCAGTCTCCTGTACATGGTCTCCATAACACAATTCTCAACTATTTATTTATTTCATTTTAGCTAAATATTTACCTGCAGTACAGACTAGTCAATCACATAGACATGTATACTTCACTTACTTTACCTCCCTCCATACTCTTAAGATTTAACTAATCCTAATCATTCAGGATATTACCCATCTATACCATTTATACTGTCAAACATGAGACAGACACAAGCACTCCACATCCCAGTAATGCTAACATGTTTAGTCCCCAAGCATAGTTAACACACACTGTATACTTTTACTGAAACTAATCTTAAGTTTTTTTAAATTATCTTTCACAAAAAAAAATGTGTACTGCATTATATTATACAGTATTACTTAGCTGAAAATAATAATATTTAGTGCAGGTGAGATTTCAGTAAACAAAGCTTGATAAACCCAATTAAGAGATTCTTCAAAAGTTATGGTTTCCCAATGTTAAGGACAGGAAGCCTATTTGGCTTACCCAAATTTCCCTAAGCCAATGATCAATCTACCTCAGGAAGTAAACCACAACAGCCGCTTAACTCCCAGGTACTTATTTACTGCTAGATGGACAGAGTCAATGGGTGTATGGCAACATACCCAAATGTCTAGTCCTGCAATGAAATCTAACTCAAATCCAGTTGGTTATAAGCAGATTGAGCTAATCACTAACTACTATCCTGTACGTTACATTCCCAAACAGAATATGTAAAACAATAAAACAAGACATTTGTAAGGGGCTCTTAATAGCACTGAAAGTTTTTTAAAAACCTTAAAGCAAGTAATGAACACTGATAAATGATAAAAGATATGGACATATCAATCTAAAAAATATATCTAAATATGTATAAAAAACATTATATTTAAAAATACATACCCTGCAGAGTTATTTAATATTTTCAAGAGACATCAGTAGACAATGTTCCCATTAAGAGTGAGGTGGTGAGAATTCCAGCAACTCATTCTCATTATGAGGATTGAACCACAGTTAGCTTAAAGAGTAATAGGCAAACTACCATTCAATTTTCACCTCATAGAAAGAAGTAAACAATTCAAAATATTGTCTTCCAAATCTGTTCAGATCATTAATAACAGTTTAATTCACAAAAGATACTGAATAAGTATGCATTTAACAAATACAATTTCTTCCAAGTTTCTAATTACAGTACAATACACTATCTGCAAAACATTTTACATCAAGAAAACAGTATTTAATAAAACATTAATAAGATTTTGGGGTAAATTTTAAACATTCTCAGTCCTAAGTACAAATAAAAGTACTGTACTGTATTAAGTTTTTAACCCCTATAATATTAATATTAACTAAAAAAAAAACAAAAAAAAGACTCCATATTAAAATATCCGGAAACTAATACTGGATATATAAAAGAACCCCAATACCGTCTACTGCCTGATAATGAATGACAGTGAGCAACACATACTGCCTGGCATACAAGCATATACCAATATGCACAAATGCAACGCCATACACCCATTCACACACACACACACATATATATAATAAAAGAAATATTATAATATATATATATTATATCATATACAAGTATATATATATAACACGTGTGCATCTACATTAGCTGATACCTATCTACCTTACAGCACAGTTAAGGGAGGCGGGACAGCCACCTTCAGAGACCCAGAAAACCAACAAGTACAGGGACCTAGAACGTTGTTACAGGTTCGTGCCGATAGGCTCCGAGACTCTGGGTGCCTGGGGTAAATGTGCACTTAAGTTCCTAAAGGAGGTGGGTGAGGACCTCATTGGGAAAACTAAAGACTCAAGAGCGGCCAGTTTTCTGTTCCAGCGCCTCAGTGTCGCAGTTCAGAGGATAAATTCGTGCAGTATCTTGAGAACGCACCCGACTTCCGAAGAGCTGGACAAGGTCTTCGAACACTGGTTGTTATATTGTTATAATGTGTGTGTGTTCTCTGTAAACTGTAGCAATGCAATAAAATAATTTATATATATATATATATAGTATGTGAACAATCATATGTACCCAAGCATGCACATACTGTATGTACAACTACACAGTATATAATTATCTTTTCCATACGAAAAGAGTTTGCACATCTTTGTGCTAACTCCATTGACACATGATTAGGGAGTGCACACATGTTATAATGTTCACAAAATAATGTATGTCTGTGTGTGTGTGGGGAAGGGAGGGGGGTGCATATGTTACGTACAAATGCATGCAAATTCATGTCTACTTCAAACTTTTAGTCTAACTTTTCAGCCACCTAACAAGGTTAATGAACATGACACTCTTATTTTATAAAATATATACATTTTTCAATAAAACACTAGACAGACTAGTTTCTAAAGCTCTTGGAAGAACACAGGTTTAATAAACATTATGGAATATATGCATACTGTACATACATTACATTATACAGTACTCACACAAATCTTAAGTGTAAAAGGCAAACAACGAAGTCTCCGGGTTGGCACCCAAAATGCTCAACAGGACTCCTAATGAAGTAGATCAATGTAGCCACTAACCTTGATACTGAGGATGCATATGTAAGTGATTTACCTTCGCTTGCTTAGACCCATTTCCATGACTGTGAAGCAGCTGCATCATCTTGTCACTTTTTCATAAACACAAACATATATCCAAAGGCAGGAAGAGGTTGCATTTAAACAACAATATGGTGGAATTGGAGTGGGAAGATAATGAACACTATGACAAAATCACTGATGCATTAAACGAAAAACAGAATACAGATGTGGTATACACAGACTTTGCAAGGCATTTGATGAATGTGACCATGGATTGATGGACATTGGAGTGATGTATTGATAGCCCACAAAATGAGGTCAGAGGGAAATAACAGGTAAAGTAGGGCAATGGATATTACATTTTCTATCAAACAGAATGCAAGAGTAACAATCGACTAAAAAATATCGAGTCCAAGCACAGTTAACGGATCTGTAATTCAGGACACAATCCTTGCACCACTTTTTCCTTATTCTCGTATCAGATATAAACAAAAATACACGTCATAGCTTCGTGTCATCTTTTGCAGATCACACAAAAATCAGCATGCAAATTACTTTTGTAGAAGACACTGAAAACTACAAGCTGGTATTAATAAGTTTTTGATTAGGCAACAGAAAATAACATGATGTTTAACAGTGATAACTTCGAGGTACTTAGGTATGGAAGGCCTTGAAGCAAAATACGGGGTACAAAACACAATCAAATCTGCCCCATAGTAGGAAAGCAACAAGTAAAGGATCTAGGAATAATGATGTCTGATGATTTAACATTTAAGGAGCATAACCAAGTAAATATAGCATTAGCTAAAAAATGATAAGATAGATTACAAGAACCCTCAAATTCAAGGGACCCATTGAAATGCTCATACTATTTAAATTACCAAGAGTTGTCCCACCTCGAGTACCGCTTGATACTCACTTTCCCCTTCAGAGAAGGAGAGATTGCTGAAGTAAGAGGGAATACAGAGAACATATACGGCATGCATGGACATGATAAAGCATCTAAATTATTAGGATCATCTCAAAGCTCTCAAAATAAAATCTCTACAAAGGAGATAAGAGAGGTATAAAACAATACATACAAGTACATGGAAAATATTTTAGGGTCCCGTCCCAAATTTTCATAGTAAAATAACATGTTGGAGTGAACAATATTGAAGGAAATGCAGAATAGAGCCAGTGAAGAGTAGACATAGGAATAATCAAAGAACACTGTGTGAACATCAGAGGTCCACAGTTGTTCATTATCCTCCCAACAAGTATAAGAAATATTGCTGGAACAAATGTTCCAACAAAGTTGTTGGAACAACTTTGTTCCAACAAAGTTCCAACTTTGTTGTTCCAACAAAGTTGTTGGAACAACTTGAAGGTACACTTCAAGAAAAGCTGGACACTTATTTTGTAAGAAGTGCCGGACCAACCGCGCTGTACTGAATACGAGAGCCTGCGGGCCACTCCAGCTAACATACTGTTGGACCGGATGTTCAACTCTCTCACAGGTCAAGGCTGGCCCAGGACTGGGCGTGGGGAGTAGAACTCCCAGAACCTCATTCAGATACATTCCAAGTACAGGCTGTTATGAGGGTGCAGTAATATTGAGGGCCTTACTATCAACCTGCCAAAGTTGTGTGCGCTTCATTTAACACTTAGAGAGCAGTTATCACCAAATGTTGATACAGTACAAGGGGTAAGGCAGTTATCATTATATGATGATTTGAACTATTATTGTCTGGGTTTTACACATGTGATTATGTGAATTATTAAGTTATTCAACACACAATCTTGTAAATAAATAGAAACAAGTGATAAACAATCAATTAAACATCCAAGGAGAACAAAAAAAGCAGTTACGCACCCCTCAGTGTCAGCACAGCAAAGTTAGCACCGTGTGTTGACAGACGCCAGACCACATGTCCACTGTGCAGCCTTTCACAGCTTCTCCACCCAGTAAAAATGTACATAAAAATATTTTTATGTTTTTTTACATTCTACATTACAAATTAATCATTCTATAATAAAAATTTTTAGTTTTTTTTCATATTATGCACACAGGCAGGTGTGACCATTTTTCAATAGCCGCTCTCCAAGGGGTTAATATCTAGGGTGTTCAGTCACACAAACTAGTATGTAAAAAATTTATATAACAGAATTCTACTTATTTATTAAGCCATGACAAATTCAGATCTGAAAAGAATATACTGTACTGTATACATATTTCTTGTGTATTGTATATGGGAGGAGTAAAAAAAAAAAAGTACAGTATATAATTATCCAAAGAACGCACCAAGCCAGAAAGACCATATAACACCGTCTATATTGATGGATGTTCAAAAGGTCCTGAATATGTACTGTATTTGGGAAGAATTTTCACATTTAAAACAGTCTCCAGATAAATATAACATACTAAATTATAATTCTTCAAGACGATTCAGCTAATGCAATAAACCCTACATGAATTTCAAACAAATGTTTCCCATCTAAAACAAAAGCAACATTGTGTATGAATAATATTATTGTTTACATTCCTTGATTTGCTAATGGTCAGAACTTAAAAAAATACTTACACGCCAGTCTCTTGTACCACAGAACATAATACTTATTTTAATTAATTAAGCAGAATTAAACATAATAAAAGAAACCACACTAATGGCTTCTTTTAATATGCTTACATGTTTTGTAAATAATTACTGCTACTGTAGATTCAAATGATCACACTCAAAAATGATAAAAATAATTTTGATAGGTGCAAATAATTTGAGATTGACCAGTGTACCCTGGATCATGGGGTACATCCTCACTCAAAGAATGTGTTGTTGTCATCCATGATGCTAATAATATGACTAGGAGTGATCCTTCCTAGGAATTTCACAAAGAACTCCACCAAACCTTCCTCTCACTCAGTTTAAACTTGTGAGTTGCTAGAGTTGTAGATGCTGTGTGTATAAAGCACAGTATATGTATATTTTACTTTTATATATACATTACCTGCATCCACCTGCGTATAAAGCAGGGCACGTCTTTAATAACAAGTTTTGTGCCAATAAGAAAAGAATTCCAATGAAGCATCTACAACTAACATCATTCAATAATTTTTGTTGTTTTTACTTTACATGTTCTATGCATTATTTACAACAGTTTTCTCAAGAGCTTTTTTCTTATAGTAATTATTTATGTGTATATGTAATTATTATGTGTAATATGGGTAATTATTTACCCGTTATAAAAATAACCCAGCGACAAATTTAAATAAGCTTTCAAAATACAATTTTCATTCTTCTATCACTAACAGAGTTGGAAATATATACCGATACCTCAATTTTGAATGCGGATTAAGCCTACTTTTTTATACACCAATATAAATTCTTCTTACAAATCTTTCCCTTTTTTCAAGTATCATCATCATCCCACTCATCTTCCTCGTCGTCGTCGTCATCAGAGCTGTCATCATCAGACTGTATAACTAGCGCACGACTAGTCAGTGCACGATGCAGGTCCAATGCCAGTCCTTCTAGCTTGGGTTCAGATGATTTGACTGCACCTCCACCATCACCAGGCTCCTCCACCTAAGATACAACAATATTAATTCTCTGATAAAATATATTTTCAGATTTTACTAGTAAAGTCATGATAACATAAAAACAGACAAGGACAACTTGACAGAATTACGATTCAGGAAATAGGAATAAACTTATGTTATAGCTTGTTACCGAGTTCTAAGGTAGAAAGGTGTATTGCATATCAGTTACCTATCCTAGGCGAAGTTAGACATTTACAGCGTTAGAGTTTGTGAAGGTGATGGAAAGACTCGATACAGTACTGTATATGTATAAATGTATTAAAAGCCCATTTTTTGGATGAAACCTACATTCTTTCTCAAGATACCATACACAATGTTCTGAGAACATGAACACAGTATACAGTACCTTGAGAAAGGTTGTAGGTTACATTAAAAAATTAGGTTTTTAATACATTTATACATATATGTGGGTCATTCCTTCACCTTCATTCAAGCACTACAGCATTGTAGTAAGTAAGAGTTTGTTTTGGGTATTGCCACCTTTTTAATTTATTTATCAGGCAAATATAGAATTGGTGATTAGCTGTACTATACCTTTACTAAGTTTCAGGTGCATTTTTACTCATTTGTTCCTATATAATGAAACTGGGAAGTTCTGGCACCATTGTTGTTAAATCATTATGACTCACCAGTGTACAGTATTACAATTTTTATTTTTTTGAATATAGTGTTAGCTTTTAAAGGGTAGTCTTAATTCGTCTTATTATCTTCAACATACAACTAGATAGCAGAGTGAAGCATATTATCTTATTGAGTTGTAGACTGAATTGGGGGCCAGGCCTGAAGGAGATATTTAGGATTACAGTACTTAATATGCTGATAATTATAACAATGGCCAGAGTGGAAGTTTCCATAGTAGACTATTACCATAAAAACCTTTTATGTACTCTGCTACTCTCCCCTAGTATATAATCTTTGTAATATCTTTGAACAAATGAACTTTTGGAAGAATCATATATAATATACTTAAGTTATGAATAACCCATGTAACTTACAATCTTAAGCTTAATTCCTGATCTAATTTGGTCCATCAGCTGACTGCGGGAGTCCGTGGGTGGCGGCCGTTCAGAAGGATCCACTTTCTGTTGGGGAACAAAGTAAGTTATAACCAACATTTTGTAAATTCCTTAGGAGGAAATTGGAAAGATTATCACAGGCTAAAAAAAGGCAAGCAGAAATTTATGTGTACTTTTAAATATGAAACTGGCTCGTTTCCTCATGCACTAGCCAAAACAAATATTTTAACACACTGTTTATACCCCCTTTTTTGCATGTTTATAAATAATGTTTGCACACACACACACATTGTTTACAAGCAGCACAGTCAGGCACAACAATAACCTGGTATGTGGGGGTGAAGGTGCTGAAGCCCTAATAAATGAGAAGCACAGCTTCACGACAGATCAAAGATAGTCCATCAAGTCTATAATTCTGGCACGATTACTGCCACAGAAATGAGAAGCGAGGATAAAACATTTATTTTTCATTACGTTTACTGTATACAGCATATACACAATGGGATATAAAGTAAATATAAAAAACATCGAAACAAACAAATGCAAATTCATTACTTTACATTCCTTAAACTAGCCAATTTTTTATTTAATCTGTTTCCTGAATATTAAAGCATTAGAAATTATTTTTTAAAGAAATATTTCTTCTACCTACTACATCTTTCTTTCAGTATAACTCCTGAAAATACCTTAATTTTATATTGTTGAATCTATGCTCGGCACATGATGCCCATCATTTATATTATTGAGGAGGATGTGATGTTTAGGTTCAAATGCTGGCGAGATACTGTTTGGATTTTTCAAAAGAGCATAGTACACAATTTAACTTTGCTAAATAGTAGATACTGTACTTTATAGCATGGAAAATCATGCCTATTAATATCATAGGCACAGCTTTCTGACTGGCTACCTTTTGAAGATGCAGGCTGGAGCCCATAGCATGGGAAAATGAGATAGAAATAATTAGGTTGAAAATAAAGGCAAGCAATTAGGGTGAAAACAAATGGCAGACATGGAAACTTTCTTACAAGGGAGTTTCATTGGCCATTGCTTTCTGCGCTTCTCGGAGGAGACCATGTTCTAGCTAGTGGTCCCAGGTAGGCATGACAACTCCTTTATAACTGAAGCCCCATACTAATATTAGCTAATATCAGTCTAATAGCTCCAGGGAGCCGACGGGGCTCCCCACAGAAAAGGGTGTATGACATCCAAAATATATGCTATACTACACAATGAAATCACAATAATGATATGTCTAAAAGAAAATCTTTGGAGGCGAACGTAATTACCCACACCAGTGTGTCTGTGCGGGTAACAACTAAAAACTGGATTGGGTATCAGCTCGGTGCCTCCAAACTCTGTGAAAGTTCGATGAGACTTCAGGCTGTGTTACTTTTGGCCCATTGTGATCTAATGGGTAATGCCTGCACATCTGGGGCGACCTAGAATGTGGGGTTAATTCCACCGAGCTGTTCCAAACATTTTCTCATCTGTCACACTACTATGTGACATACGAAAGATCTGTCAGGCTACTGTGCAACATTCAAAAGATCTGCTACATTACTGTGTATTTGCCCTCAATAACATTCTTTCTTTTGGCAGGTAGAAAAAAAAGTACGTTCTAAATACAGTACTCTAATTTTACCTTAAGCTTCACTTCAACTGAAAAAATGGCAACAAACACAAGCATAACAAAAGCCAGGCACAACGTAGAAAATAACACACATAAAGGCGATGAATAAAAAATGCATTTTTCATTCTGAATAATACCAGAAATACTATCATACTGTGTAATAAGATACCTTTTGAATACACAGAAATGTGTTTTCAAATACTGTAATTGTTTGTGTAATTGTAATTGAACTGGTGGCAACCAAGTGTGTCAGGAATGAACACGAGGAAGCCTGGTGAGATGGACTGTGTTGTGGCTCAGGAGCTGGCATCTAGTGGCAGGAGGGGTAGGCACCAGACAGCCCAATCAGTAGTTTGCTTTGACACTTCTTGACACACTCAGGGTTGCCAAGGAGGGCTTGTACTTGTGTATAATTTGAGCTTTCTACCACTGACTAGAGCTTGAGGGAGCCGGTCGGCCGAGTGGACAGCACGCTGGACTTGTGATCTTGTGGTCCCGGGTTCGATCCCAGGCGCCGGCGAGAAACAATGGGCAGAGTTTCTTTCACCCTATGCCCCTGTTGCCTAGCAGTAAAATAGGTACCTGGGTGTTAGTCAGCTGTCACGGGTTGCTTCCTGGGGGTGGAGGCCTGGTCGAGGACCGGGCCGCGGGGACACTAAAGCCCTGAAATCATCTCAAGATAATCTCAAGACAGATGATATGTTATGTTCCAGTGCTACATAGCACCAGTCAGACCCAGCAAGAATGCTTTAAAAGTCCCCCTGTGGTGCCAGGATCTTGAATGTTACACCTACCGGGCTTGGAACATGTTTCACTCCCTTTTGCACAATCTTTCCTTAGGGGGCAGCCTAGTGGGATTCCCAGGAAAACTATTTATTTCCATCTCTGAAGAATACACAGACTCCCAAACCCCATTGCATCCTTAAAAGTTATACAAGTAAGACTGACATTTTAGAATAATTGCCATGCATTTAATTTAAAATTAAAATGCATACCATGATTCTAAATAATATTTATCAGATTACCATTTTGACAAACTCAACCAATTACAAAGCAAATGGATTTTGAAATTATTTGGCAAACTCAGATAGCTTTTATTGTATTAAGTGTAGAAAAGATCAATTTGTTTTACCAATGTTTGCCAAAAGAAGAGATGCAATATTAAAAGTAAAATCAATGCAAGGAATGTTAATTCTATCAGCCAGTGATGATCCATACAAAAGCACTCTACACTAGCAAACCATGACATTATAACAAACTTTTGTTTGTTATGGCAAATGTCAGTTTACTTAAACTGTTACATATATTACTGTGAAATACATAAAGCACAGCTTGACAACAAACTGCTTTACAGTTTGCTATTATTTAATGCCACAGCAAAATTTCTAAAGGAAAACTAAACTACAATACATACAGTAATGAAAAATAAATGAACGAGCTTAGGGAAAAATAGATGCCCAGTGTTCATCCATGAAGAACAGTGTGTGTGTATACACCAGGTAAGTACACTTTTATGTATGCATATGTGTGTATATATATGTATGCAATGCATACATGTATAATTGTATTATGTATCTACAGTATGTATGTACTCACCAAGTTGTGCTTGTGGGGGTTGAGCTTTGGCTGTTTGGTCAAGCCTCTCGACTGTCAATCATCTGGTGTAAATTCTTGAGCCTATTGTACTCTATCAAATCTACATATGAAACTGTGTATGGAGTCAGCCTCCTCCACATCACTGCCTAGTGCATTCCATTTGTTAACTACTCTAACACCAAAAAAATTATTTCTAATTTCTTTGTGGCTCATTTGGGTACTCAGTTTCCACCTGTGTCCCATTGTTCGTGTTCCACCCACGGTAAATAATTTGTCTTTGTCCACTCTGTCAATTCCTCTAAGAATTTTGTAGGTGGTGATCATTTCTCCCCTTACTCTTCTCTCTTCCAGGGATGAGAGGTTTAGTTCCTGTAGCCTTTCCTCGTAGCTCATACCTCTCAGTTCTGGGACTAGTCTGGTGGCATACCTCTGAATCTTCTCTAACTTTGTCTTGTGTTTAACTAGGTATGAACTCCAGGCTAGAACTGCATACTCCAGGATTAGTCTAACGTATGTGATAAAAATCCCAAACCATCCAAGTGGTTAGGCGCTATTCTTTTCCCCCCATCTCATCCCAAATTCTTATTTTGCCCTCTTCCAAGTGTTATATAGTTGTAACGACTTGGCACTTTCCCTGATAATTCCCTCCTCTCCCTCTTTACACACGTTTCTAAAGGCAGTTCTTATGTTAGCCAATCTAGCATATGCTGCTAATATCCTTTTGATGTGGGCTTCTGGGACAGGTTTGCTGTAATATCAGCCCTCAGATCTTTCTCTCTATTTGACTCTTGCAGGATTTCACCTCCCAGATGGTACCTTGTGTTTGGCCTGCTTCCTTCACCTAATTTCATTAATTTACACTTTCCTGTGTTAAACTTTAGTAGTTATTTTCTAGACCATTCCTCCAGTTTCTGTCTAGATTCTTCTCAGATTTTTTGCATCATCAGCAAACATTGAGAATAATGAGTCTATATCCTCTGGAAGATTTGAAACAGGATGGGTCCAAGTACAGAGCCCTGTGGGACTCCACTGGTGACATCTCACCACTCTGACGTCTTCCCCCTCACAGTTACTCGCTGTTTACTGTTGGTTAGATACTCCCTTAACCACTGGAGCACCTTAACTTTTATTCCTGCCTGTTTCTCCAACTTTTGTAACAGCCTCTAATGGAGTCTGTGTCAAAGGCTTTCCTGACGGTCTAAGAAAATGCAGTCTGCCCACCCTTCTCTTTCTTGTCTAATTTTTGTCACCTGGTCATAGAATTCTATTAAGCCTGTGAGGCACGATTTACCATCTCTGAACCCATGGTGGTGGTATGTTACAAAGCTCCTTCTCTCCAGTTGTTTTACAGGTCTTTTCCTATTTTTTTTTATCACCTTGCATAGTATACAAGTTAGGGAACCTGGGCTGTAGTTCAGTGCCTCTTGCCTGTCAGCCTTTTTGTATATTGGACTACATTAGCTGTTAATGGTAGACTTACAGGAAAACTGAAAGCTGTCTTCCAGCTTTCCTGTAGGTCTACCATTTCCAGTGACCTGTTATACACCATAGAGTGGCACACTTAGTCCTCCTGCACCCTATTTTAGTATTCATGGTGAAATTCTGTCAGGCCCAACAGCCTTTGTCACATTTATCTTCATCAGATTCCTTTAGACCTCATCACTGGTAAGCTTAAATTCCTTCAAGGTTGTTTGGTTTGCCTCCTCTTCTCTTAGTACAGGGACTTCTCCTTGCTCTATTGTGAAGACCTGGAATCTCTTGTCGAGTTCTTCACACACTACCTTGTCATTCTCTGTGTATCTGTTCGCCCCTTTTCTCAGCTTCATCACTTGTTCCTTCACTGCTGTTTTTCTGCATGCATGTATGTTATGTATGTACTGTATGTTATGCATGTATGTAAATGCAGTATAAGAATAAAATCTGATAAATGAACATGAAATTATTATATCTTCTATTTTAAAAAGTTGGTCACTTTTGTGTCCAAACAGCAGCCACAGGCTACCTTATGGGAGAAAGTCAAAATAATAAGCTTAGCAGAAGAGCGATTTTAAGCAGAAGCTACAATGAAAACAAACGTTGAGATGAGAATACCTGGTGACCATGCTGACTACTGGCCTGTGGCGAGGGGGAAGGGAAAAAGAGCTGGCTCAGTCGTTAACTTTAGAGTCACTTAATACGCCACAGTTATAGCTGGGAGAAATGCTCCTGTCCTGTCTGCTTTTGTCAAATGAAACTGAAGGGCAAAACTAGTGATATAATCTTACAATTTGTGCCTTAAAATCTATGCCCTTCAATGAGTTATTAATAACAACACAAATGCTGGATTCAGCCTTGAAATTTTGTGCAGCAGAAAGGCAAGACAAGAGGATTTCTGAAATACAGCTATTATAATTATACTAGGTTAAAATGTGTACAATCATCCTGTATTAGCCAGACCCATTATTTACTGTAAAAATTAGTCTACACTACAGGATTGCATTTCTTTTAAACTAATAAGGGTATTCAAAATCCTAAGAAAAGGTTATAGCACTCCATCTGGTACTTGGATGGGTCACTATGAGATGACCCATCCAAGCAGGTCAACTAAGACATTACTCAAGAGGTGTCTCTTAGCACTTGGCAAAACATTAAGAAGGGACTCCTCTGTTAGGAACACTAAATTACGGCAGTAATTGATTAATGGTTTGATGTAAAACAGTGACATAAAAGATTAAACTTCTGCATATCAATACAGGAAATAATTTAGAATTTTGTACATTCTTCCCTTGTCTATCAGAATCTGTACTGACAATGCCATGCCAGTTTCAAAAAGATCATTTAGTCAGGACAGAATTAATAATCATTAAAATGTCACTAAAAGAAGCAAAAACTACACACAGGAGCAGAGCCAAGACCCCACCACCACCACTGACCTGTTAATCTACTAATCTACTAACCTGCAGTTTCAAATAGCTATCAATGGTGCTTCTTATTTTTGTAAATTAATATAATTGAAATTACTTATATTGAATTCTGCATTAATTGTTTTCCATCTCTTAAAATTGGTCGTGCCTGTTCCCTCTACTACTGTCTCGGACAAGGATTGTTTAGTGTAAAGCTTGGACACTAGGGAGGTTATGTTATGCTTTGCTAACACAAACCACAATGAAACAAAACATTCTATTAATTGCTAACCAAAAATTGTAAACAAATTAAGATACAGAATTTATTATGGAAGTTATAGCAAATTAAAATGATTTTTCACTATATTCTTTGTACATACAACACACAAAAATATTAAAGTACTGTATTCCTTTTCTAAAGACACTATCACTACCTAAATACAGTACTGTATAGTACTAGTAACTGGTTAACCATTAAAAGCAACAAATGCCACTGAAAAATATTAACTGACATGAATAACTCTTAATATAAAAATAAAACAAAAATTGGCATTGTTTCTCTACATCAGCACTTTCAAATTGGTTCAATCAGAACAAAAATTATAATTCAAGGGCAGAATTATAATGCAGGACGGGAATTATAATGTAGGGACCAGAATTATAATGTAGGGCCAGAATTATAATGTAGGGGGCCAGAATTATAATGTAGGGGCCAGAATTATAATGTAGGGGGCCAGAATTATAATGTAGGGGGCCAAAATTATAACATAGGGGCCAGAATTATAATGTAGGGGGCCAGAATTATAATGTAGGGGCCAGAATTATAATGTAGGGGGCCAGAATTATAATGTAGGGGGCCAGAATTATAATGTAGGGGGCCAGAATTATAATGTAGGGGGCCAGAATTATAATGTAGGGACCAGAAGTATAATATAGGGGGCCAGAATTATAATGTAGGGGGCCAGAATTATAATGTAGGGACCAGAATTATAATGTAGGGGGCCAGAATTATAATGTAGGGACCAGAAGTATAATGAAGGGGGCCAGAATTATAATGTAGGGGGCCAGAATTATAATGTAGGGGGCCAGAATTATAATGTAGGGACCAGAATTATAATGTACGGGGTCAGAATTATAATGTAGGGGGCCAGAATTATAATGTAGGGGGCCAAAATTATAATGTAGGGACCAGAAGTATAATGTAGGAGGCCAGAAGTATAATGTAGGGGGCCAGAATTATAATGTAGGGGGCCAGAATTATAATGTAGGGGGCCAGAATTATAATGTAGGGACCAGAATTATAATGTAGGGACCAGAATTATAATGTAGGGGGCCAGAATTATAATGTAGGGACCAGAAGTATAATGTAGGGGGCCAGAATTATAATGTAGGGGGTCAGAATTATAATGTAGGGGGTCAGAATTATAATGTAGGGGGCCAGAATTATAATGTAGGGGGACAGAATTATAATGTAAGAGGCCAGAATTATAATGTAGGGGGCCAGAATTATAATGTAGGGACCAGAATTATAATGTAGGGGGTCAGAATTATAATGTAGGGGGTCAGAATTATAATGTAGCGACCAGAATTATAATGTAGGGGGCCAGAATTATAATGTAGGGGGCCAGAATTATAATGTAGGGACCAGAATTATAATGTAGGGGGCCAGACTTATAATGTAGGACCAGAATAATAATGTAGGGGGCCAGAATTATAATGTAGGGGGCCAGAATTATAATGTAGGGGGCTAGAATTATAATGTAGGGACCACAAGTATAATGTAGGGGGCCAGACTTATAATGTAGGGGTAGGGGGCCAGAATTATAATGTAGGGGGCCAGAATTATAACGTAGGGGGCCAGAATTATAATGTAGGGGGCCAGAATTATAATGTAGGGGAGGATAATAATAATGTAGGGGCCAGAATTATAATGTAGAGGAGAATAATAATAATGTAGGGGAGCCAGAATTATAATGTAGAGGTCAGAATTATAATGTAGGGGCCAGAATTATAATGAAGGGGCCAGAATTATAATGTAGGGGCCATAATTATAATGAAGGGGCCAGAATTCAAAAGATCAATTAGTAACTTGATATTACAGTATATAATATATAAATATTAATGCTTCTGGAAATCTACGAGTTTGATTTATAAAGAAATACTGTACTTGGCAAGTTGGTTAAATCTGGTCAAATATTTGGGGTTATCTTACATGCATGCTGACGAAAAGGGTTTATATACATTTAGTAAACTCAGCTGTTATAATAAAAATATCCAAAATATATTCTAATTACAAAGTTATTCTACAAATCAAAACTTGGAACACACATTTATGAGCTCTCACAAATACCTTCAATGTGGGGCCAGTGCGAATCTGATCCAGGAGAGCAGACCGGGCATCCATATTGGCTCCGGCAGCGTGGAGTCCACCAGGAGGTGGTGGTGGTGGTGGAGGGGGAGGAACTCCAATAGCTGGAGGTGCAGGTGGGGGTGGTGGAGGAAGCGGAGCAGCTGCCTTATTTCCGTGATGGAAAGTGGGGATGGTAGATGTGGGAGGTGGTGGTGGTGGTGGATGGCTTGATGTAGGAATGGGAGGTAGTGGTGCAGTCTTTTGTCCTGAGGAGAAAATGCATATTGTTGACACATTGAAAATGCATAAATGTACATTGTATTTCAGCCACGTTATTGTGACTCCTCGTCTGCAAGATGCACATTGTCATAACATCTGGAAGTTATCTCTCTCTTTTTCAATATGGTAACTAGAAGTTCTAGAAGTAGCTAGAACAAATGGCTCAATATTTTTTTTAATGAAAGGGCTACCAAATGATAAAAAAAAATTTAAATAGGGCATATTCAAAGAATCCCATCATCTTAGAATCCCTGTCCAATATCAAAGGATGGTAGCCCTTTTTATATAAATTAACCAAACTTGGAAAAATGGAAGCAAGGAGACAGTTGACAATTGGATTCATTTCTGTTATACTCCAACTATAAACTGAATTGTTCTTGACAGTCATGTCTGTGCATGCTATTTGAACTCTACATTTTGCAAGGCACATTTATATACATGTCGCTAATTTGCAAACCCATTATTTTTTATGTGGTTCACCTGCATTATATTACATTAAAGTCAAATTACTGTATCTCACAGACATTACATTTAGGCATGGGTTGGTATCTAATGTGAGGCAATCTTATCTTGAGATCTTGAGATGATTTCCGGACTTTAGTGTCCCCGCGGCCCAGTCCTCGACCAGACCTCCACCCCCAGGAAGCAGCCCGTGACAGCTGACTAACACCCAGGTACCTATTTTACTGCTAGGTAACAGGAGCATAGGGTGAAAGAAACTCTGCCCATTGTTTCTCGCCGGCACCCGGGATCGAACCCGGGACCACAGGATCACAAGTCCAGCGTGCTGTCCGCTCGGCCGACCGGCTCCATCAACTCGGCAAGAATCAACTTTGCTCATCAATAAAATGGTAGCAGAATTTTTTTCATGGGTCAAGGTAAATTCCATTACACCCTCTAGACCTATTATATCGACATTTGCATCATACATATAACCCAGACAATAATTGTTTAAATTGTCTATTGATGATAACTGCAGTCCTCTAGGATCACCAATAGACGATAACCACAGATTAAGAGAGGATCAACCATGACACTAGCAACATATCAAACCCTGAATATCACTGCCGTACATATTCTATATGATAAAAATTTATTACAAATAACATGTATGAAAATGCTACTACTCTAGTTATTTATTTTAAAAATAATTGTCGAGTACCAAAATATCATACAATAACATACCGAGCTAATATAAATCAGCAACCTACCTGCAACAATCTGTCCTGGAGGTGGAGGAAGCATTGGGCCTCGAGGATGAGGTGGTGGTGGGGGTGGAGCAGAGGAAGGAGGTGGAGGAGGAGGATGGCCATGATTATTGGTGCGTGGAGGTGGAGGTGGAGGAGCAGCCCTGGAGCCAATAACAGAGTTATGGGATGGAACAGTTGGCGGTGTTGGAGGGGGTAGAGGTTTAGCTGGTGGTGGGGGTGGAGAGTGAGAGTTCTCAGTGTGTGTGGTGTCCAATGGCTGAGATGCATATTTCTGAGTCTCCTGCATGGCCTTCTCCACACCGCCATTCCTCTCGATGAAGTCATAGATGAACTCCCTTGTACGGGTGTCCGACAGCTGCTGCTGACTAACACCAACCTGTAGCACATTGTGTTCACAATAAGTCTCTAAGAAAAAAAAAAGTGTCAATTTAATATTTTATTTCCAAGCCACATATTCCCTATTCACCATCAAGATATGCAAGACTTGTCTTTGATCACTGCATCTAGTATCTACATAATGAACATGTGCCCGAACGCTTTGCATAATAGTGGCTTTAGGCATTGTATGTACTAGCTCTATCTATAAATCCATAAACTTTTGTATTTCACCTTGTATGTATTTACTTTACCTGAATAAATATTTGTATTTGTATTTAATACAACCAAGGACTGTTTTAAGGGTATTGTGGCATTATATTGCAGCCCATCCTCCAATAATAATAATAATACTGCCTCTATTATGGATGGATGGATGGATCAAAAAGTTCATATTTTGTAATAATGAATTAGCCTAAATACCATACTAAAAATAATAGAAAAATATAATTAAAGAACCTTACCTCACCTAATCAGTCCAAGTAATCCTAGGCTAATATATACTGTCCTAGACCAAATACAGTACATATATGAGCAATACTAGGACTTATGCATGTGTAAGTTTTTTGTGTCCTCTACAAAGCAAATGGTACAAAAATTGTTCCTATAAGTACTATTAGGAGTATGGGCTCAATATTGTAATATTCTTTCAAAAGTAGCTTAAGACCACCTATTTATGTAAATTCGAATAACAAACTTTTACTTAAAGTGTGATGGTAGTGGAGAAAAATATTGAAATTTAAAAAAATTTATCCAGTAACTATAAAGCTGCAAGGAATATATGAAGGAAGAGATAAACATAAATATGAAAATATCAATACCCAACATAATACTGTAATAGAACAGCCTTGATAAGCCAACAAATTGGCCACTCTACCTATTAAATCTGTCAGCTCCATTATAATACACTTACCATATTAAAGAAGCCTTCAAGCTTATCGTCCACGTTGAACTGAGAAAATCCGGTGTCAGGATTGAAGCCAACATGTGTGATGTGTTTGAAATCAGTTGGCATGCCAATCTCATCTTTGCTGCATATATATATACACATAAACAGTACCATTAATAAAGTATAACAAAACATACATACATATATATATGTATATATATGTATATATATGTATATATATGTATATATGTATATATATATATATATATATATATATATATATATATATATATATATATATATATATATATATATATATATATATATATATATATATATATATATATATATATATATATATATATATATTTCTTTAGTTTTCAAAAGATACACCATTTCCAAACCTCACATTTGGTAAAGATATTATTTCATAGCTAGATAAAAATATTTGTTAATTATTATTAGAAATTCTAAAGACTTTTGCAAACAGCAATGTACCTGAGTTTGTTCCGATTCTTATTTCCTTTCTTGTTGTTCTTCTTTTTAATGTCCTTATAGGGGCTTACATATGGAGGCACATATGGTGACTGAGGCTGCTGCTGCTGCTGCTGCTTTTGTTGTAGCTGCGGCTGATGCTGTTGCTGCTGTTGCTGGTGATGGTTAGACTGCTGATGCTGTAGGTGCCTCTGCTGATTCTCAGTTTGTCTTCTTCTCTCTAGAGTTCCACGATAAAAACATTGTTACTTAACTACTCTAATTGTCAGTGTTATCATACTGTACTATACTTAGTACAAAATTAAGATCAAGTTGAAGCTTTCAAAAATTGTAGGCGTCATATACAGTACAGTACACAGTAATGTTATAAGAAAAATGTAGAATCTAAGCCAAAATTTGTGCAAAAGGAGGTAAGACAGTACTCAAGGCACATGTAACTCCAAGATATTATTGCATCTTGCAAGAACAGGTATGAGAAGACAAGCGAGATAAAATAGTAATGGAAATTTGCATTAACCATACAAAGGCACAACAAGCAATCTAGACCTTTGGTCTATCATCTTTATACAACTTAACTTAATAAAATAAAATTAATAACAAAACATTCTGAAAACGTCATGGCACCACAAGCTGTACACATCATAAGGAAAATTTTGGTCAAAGGGGGATAAAGTGAAAGGAGGAGAAGTAGATAAAACTGACCACTGAAATAATAATCAATAAATTCTGACATTTGTTACCCACCTTCTTTCTTTCGCTGTTTGGCAGCTAGTCGTTCACCAATAGCCTGGTTGAAAGCATTAGCTTCTCCCTCATCAGCAAAGTTTAACCCAATCATCTGATCCTGCAATCAAAATTAAAACAAAAATTTAAAACAGAAAGGTTGCTGTATGATCTAACTACTGGGGGGTGGGGGAAGGTCATTTGCTGCATTGTTTGTTGACTTTGTGAACTTTGCAGTTGGCTGTTTTGCTTCTCTTACTTTCTGGGAATTTGATTCTTCAGTGGGGGTGATGATGAATCCCCTGCTCTCTGCTTGTCTTCGAGGAGGCCAGGTTTTGGCCTGTGGTTCCAGGTAGGCTATTAAGGACTCACAAGGGCTGATGTGACTTACAAAAATATTTGAGCAAAGGTATTTTGTTCCCCCAAGTAAGTAGATTGAGAGAAGGAACCTTGAAGTATACATAACTCATGCATGCAACAGAAATGCATAGTCTGCATGATTGAAATAATTTGATTAGAAATATATTATTTGATGTGTTTCCTACTAACCCTTCGTAGCTCTGGCAGTGAAAAAGAGCGTTCTCGGGTTAATCCCAGACGCATGTTTATTTGAAGCTGTGGCAGCCCTATAAGAGGGAGTCTTCTTTCTCTTACTGAGCGATACACTGTAGATGCTCCGGCTCTTGAAACTCTAACTAGATTCTGCGTAATGAGTTGCACTATCTCAGGAATATCCAGTTGATCACCATCCCAGACAATTTCAATATCTCTAGTTGCCTTCCACAGTGTGTCACTTGTTATCTCACGATACACTGAGATTTTTAAACCATCTATTTCATCAAAGCCTTCATCCTTGGACTTATGAAGTAGAGTATGACTGATGCACCGCTCCATTGTACACAAAATATGATTCAGTAATGTAATAATTTTGAAAAAATACAAATATTGGGTATATTACAGGTAAGTACTAGTACTGTACTGAAAAATTAACAAGTATTCCTTGGAATAACGCTTGATATAAAGCAACTCATGACCATTCCACTAAAAAGTGCCACTAATACAGCCAGTACTAGTAATATCCAAGCATACTGCATTTTTTGATTAAGTCATGTTTGAGTTATGATAACTATCAGCCTGTGGTTTCCTTATCACTTCAAATTACAAGCTGACATAATTACTAACGTAAACATTACTGAATCATGAAATGTTGAGTAATGAACATCACACAAGATCATTCACAATATTTATAGCTTAAAAACCAGCTATCATGGAGATCTACTGTTATAATATACAGTACCAACATTTACATATCAAACAAGCATGATACTGTATATACATAAAAAAACCAGCATTAAATGTAATGAAATCCCATTTTCTAGGTGAGCCCCATAGGCTCCCTGGAGCTATCAGGCTAATGTGTGATATATTTGACCGGGGCATTATTCTATGGAGTTCGACCTACCGTGGACCACGAGCCAGAACCTGGCCCCCCCTTAGAGAGGTTGCAGGGAGCAATGGCCCTGGAAACCTCCCCCTGAGGTTAGGAGTTTTCCTTATCTGCCATCGGCCAGAGTTAGGCACCCAGAAAGGTAGGCATAACAAAAACCTCACATGGTAAGAAAAAGTACAAAGAAAAACTGAACAGAGAGACAGAACTCCCTCCAATCCCCAAAAAACGAGCAAACAAGCAAATGTCACACTCCACTGCCAAGCCGCTTGTCCGCGCAGCCCTCCCCTCCCCGTGCCGGCTACTCTATGTGACATCTGGCGGAGCTACGTGACATCTTCAAAAGAAGACGGATCCATCACCGAGGTATAAACTCACAGCAGGTAAGCCATGATAGCCCCCCTGAACCTCCTTAGGCGGGATTCAAGAAACCAAAAACCTCGGAGAGGAAGGAACAGAAGAACCCAGGGGAATCCAGAACTGAATCCGGGTTGGAGCCGAACCCAAATCATAGTAGTACAGGAAAGGGGGGTAAGAAAACCTCCTCTCCTTGCAACAACAAGCCCCGCTTTGAGGGTACTAAAACCCAAGTGGGGTTAAATGGGGCCCAGCCCCCTTCCCCCCCCAAGTTAACTCCTCCCCAGCCCCCAGATCCTCCATGCCAGGTCCGAGGACAGAGCCGTCCTCCACACCTTCTGCCCCTAAAGAAAATGCAGAGTCCTGAGGGAAGGCTGAGAAGAAGGGGTCTGCTGGTAAGACCTGGAAGCCTCGGTGGGAAAAGCAGGCTCGAATGCCTCTATCGCCAACCCGGAAGGGGCAGTATCTCAAGCTGCCCGAACCTCGCTTCCATGTAAACCCTGCCCCGAATCCGAAACACAACACCAACTAGGGAAGGACTAGGGAGCACGGAAGAAACCAAAGTTGAAGCGACTGACGCCTCCAAGTCCGGGTCCCTATAACCCAAGTGGGGCAGCCTCGGGACATCCAGGTGAGCAACCAACCTAGCACACTGCAGCAACTGATATCTAGAATGCAGTGCTGAAGCTGCCTGTACCCGAACATCAATATCAGTAGAATGGGTAAACTGAAGTACGAGCAAGAAACAGGACTTGCAAGACTCTGGGTCAAAGGTCTCATTGACCCAGGCAGCATGGCAGGAGGCAAAACTGGTGAGTGTCACCCTGAGATAAGGGAACAGAGCAACTGTCAAACTCACACTCGGCGAGTTGGAACCCAGAGGACGCATCCATAGGTCTAAAGAGCTCCAATGGGGTTCTCCAGGGCCCTTAGGCTGACTGCTAAGGGAAGCCCAGGCAATGTATTGCTAACTGGTTGGGCCCAAACTACCAAGAGAACTGCTAAAAACCTGAACCCCCTTGCGATGAGTACAAGCACGGGGTGCCTAGCGAAGTACCACCAATATAACAGAAGGTGGATAAACCAAAGGGCAGGCCCCCGACCATGAATGTACACTACTGTTAGGGGTACAAAGGGTTCTAAACACTAAAATTAGGGTTCACTAGCTGGTGTAGGATTACCTCTCTGGTAACACCACCTCTGCAACATTTGAAAAACACACTCAAACTTCTCATTATTCTTTAAAACAAAGCATATTTCCAGAGTATTTGACAGTTTCAATAAAAAAATTAATTTTTGTCTCCCAATCTAATTCGTCACATTTTTCACTTCACTCAGTGTAATGGTATATGCACACCATAGCCACTGCCCCTTCCCCCCTTTCTCTTCTCCTTCTCTTCTCTCGCTTGCCTTCCCTCCCTTTGGGTCATCCCTGTCTTTTGTCACGGTCTAACCCTCGGGGTCATAAACAGCTTGAAGCCAATTGCTCCCCCTCGCTCTCCGTCCATCTGTCCAGTGACGAATTGAAAATAGTACCCCAGGGCTAATAAACTTGTGATCTCAAGTTACACGTGGGTGCCCAGCCAGCAGTCCCTCAAGAAAGTCGTTGGTGTCTTCCCAGTTTTTGGAGTTTTCTGTCAAGAGGAATTGACCCTTATGGTCAAGCCTGATCCGGATTGGTTAAAGACATGTAGGCCTGTGAAGGCGGGGCCTCACAGGGTAGTGCCTGCCCATGCCATTGGCCCGGTTTCTAGATCACCTAGTCATGTTTAAATCCCTTGGCCATAGGCTTGTGATAAGCGGAGTTAATTTGGGCCTAGGAACTAGGGGGTGGAGCCTGTCCCACTGGTAAGTGTTTTAATATAGAAGTGTTAGTGTGTCTGGGGGCCTCGACTGAGGTACAGGTCAAGTGACCTGCGGGCAGCCAATCAACATCCTTTGGCAAGCTGCAGTATTGAAGGTATTGTGCACTGATTCATGTCCGCAGTAGATATCCATTGTGCCTCTAGGGGGAATAGAATAGGGTATATGTTCAAATTGACTTAATTTACATGTTTCATAAAATAAATTGTATAACTTGTCCAGTGGTATTCACTTAACTTCCCTTTGATATATTTCTCTACTTGGTCATTTTTATGTGTTGAATTGGAAAACCCCATGTTCTCCTCCATTTAATGGATATTAAAGTTGCCCTTGGATTTAACTAAGTAAAGTAAATTAAGCAAACTATTTCCCAAAATTTATTACTGAAATTCATATTACCCGGGAGTCCCCTGATTACTGATTCCTTGCCTTCCTGGGGAATCGGTGATAGACACATTCAGGTATGGTTGGACGGGAAGGTGGTGGCAGTGTTTAATGATTTCTTTTTTTATTATTAGTTTAATTAATAACCCCTATCCTTGTTATGTCCTCTTCTTTTAATATTCAGTTTATATTCGTGGCCGTCCAGTGAGGGGTCATAATAGACTGCAACAGTGTTAAACTGGGGTATTGGATGAAGGGCAGAGGTCAGAGAGATGATTGCAGTGCTCTGAGCGATTACAATGGTAATCAGGGTTATTACAATGGTTAAGGGTTATTACATCAGGGCCACTACTGAACTTGCCTTAAATGGATAATAATATCACCACATAATATTCTAGTTATAGGATGCTAAACATGATGATTAATAAATAAACATGTAATGCCTACCTCTGCTTCAAACTGGTGGAAGAAGGGCATTGAGGCTGTGTAATTAAACTGATTATACAGCTCCTGCTCAAACACTCGTTTGGCTGCCACAATATCATACACCTGTGGAAAGTGACATACAATATATGGTAGTGAATGCACATATTAACTACAATGAAGACCAACAATTACTTAAACATACGGAATTTAACCTACGTCAGAGTAGTTTAGGGACACGCCGAGTTACGTCCCTAAAAGACAGTGACATTTTGCCTTGTAATAGGTATTTCATGAATACCTGTAGCTTTCCTTTATATGGGAACATCAAGCTAATAGAAGCTAAATACTGTAATAAGAATTTTGAAGAATATTTAACCTCAATAATAGAACTAACCTGTATATAATAAGATCTTCGTACATTGTCCTTGGTGAAAGTAGCAACACCAAAATGGCGTTTGCGCCACACATTGTGATGAGGACCATCAGTGCCAAACACCTGGACAACTGCAGTGCTCAATGTCTATAAATAAATAAAAGAACATTTAGAATTTGGTTATTGTAATATTGCAACATAAAAAATATATAATTTACCCACTAACAATAAGCATGGTGAAAAAATAAATTAGAATTTAAACATGCCTTACGATGCCTAAGAAATTGCTTGTTCCGGTTGCGATAAGGACAGGAATAATAATAATTAATAAATAATAATAATAATAATATTATACTATTATAGTTGGCTTATAACCAATTGTTTCCCTGTTCAATGCCAGGAAAAGGCAAGATGTTTGAACACATTTCCTTAAATGGAACTGTTCACTGTATCTGGAAATTATTCAACTTTAGAGCTGCCACCTGGGAAAGGTCAGTTATTGCCAAGAGAGACCTCAGTAAGCTTAACAATCTTCCTGTCCCTGACAATGGGAAACCAGTATAATGTAGTACTTTTAAATTTAAAATCCCATAATTTTTATTTACACAGTTTTTACGGGAACATACACTATTTCCTACACTAAGCAAATAATGCTATTATTTGTATTATTTTGCCATATTTTTGAAGGGACACACAGTAACTAAAAAAAATTTTGCAAGGCAGAGAGGAGTTAATCTCCTCTCTGCTCTCTCTCTTCTCCTCTCCTCGCATATTAAAGTCTGACTTTAATATGCGCATCATCAGTGCCTGCAGTTCTTATAAAATTGCAAACATAATTAGTACTGCATCTTACAAATATAATATCCAATTTACATAACTAGCCTTGAATATCATAACTTACAATGAGCATAACGAAACGAGACCAAAACACTTCCTTACCTGACACCTTGTGCCAAGGAGCCGGAAAATTGTTTCATTTTCATCCCGGCCCAGGAGTGTAGAAGGTTTGTTGGGAGGTGGTTGCTTGCGGTTCGAGCTCATCTTTATGCCAGCAAGGTACTACTTGTATCAGATCTGTCTGCAATAAAACTAACAAGTTTAATTTCAGTAGAGGTACAGTATCAGACAGTACAGGAACTCGTGATCCTTTTATTTCAAGAAAATTCCACTTCAGTGAATGCTATGTGGCAGCAAAGTGATGCAATTGACCTGTTAGGCTAAGAAAGGACAACTCAATAAAGTACAGCATACTCTTAATGATATCCAATCTCTCTTGTGCTGCATTCAACATAAAAATTTACCAAAAGTTAACAGACATCGGGGCAAATGTCAGTTGCTGATCTAGGGGGGACCTCAGTAAGCTTATATACAGACATTCTTTTCTTGACAATAGGAAAAAACTCAATTTACTGTAGTAAAACTGTTCAGCCTACTTACAAAGCTGTACTGTACTTACATATGTAAGTACGTACATATGCGTACATACATATGCAAGACTCGGTGAAAATACAGTTAAAATTATAAGACACAGTAAAACAAATCGGCACAAATAATTAGATGCTCACAGTACCACTTGCTAACTATCCACTATAAGCTCCAAGTCTCTCCACACACTGAGACAGCACCACACATGAGCACTCCCTTCTCTTTCCTGTCCACTAATCTTTCCTCCGAAGCAGTGGTAAAATTTACATTTCCTGTTTCTTTTGTTTTATCAGTTGTTTTTACACTTTTTATCTGGTATTTACCTAATTTTCATATACCGTACAGTATTACATTACACTTGCTACTTGAATGACCCACAGGACATCTATGTAACCCAGCTCTACTATGGCACTTCTTCTGCAGCTAATTGATACAGTACAGTACTAGCACATAACATGCTAATATTAGCACAGATAAACATTGTAGCATTAATCTTTACAATGCCTCCAAATTAAAGATTTCACAAACCAGAATTCCACTTTACACACAAAATCTATGTTATAAGCACAGTAGATTAAACAGTATATCTAGGCTTCACACAAAACATTCATTCACTTTACTCTAACTTATTTATTAACAAGTTTAATATATAACTCTGCAACTAAAAAAAAAACTACAGTAACTACACATTATAAATATAATACAGGTTTACAGTAATTGATTTTATTCATTTAAATTAAGAAAACCACAAGGTGCGTCCTCAAATTTAAAGATATAATTTCCTGCCTTTTCTCCCCACCATAACAAATCTCTTCCTCTCACTCTCCCTCCCCTACCACAGCTTCCTCTCACTCTCCCTCCCCTCCCCCCAGCTTCCTCTCGCTCTTCCTTCCCTCCCCCCAGCTTCCTCTCGCTCTTCCTCCCCCTCCCCTCCTCTAGCTTCCTCTCACTCTCCCTCCCCTTCCCCAGCTTCCTCTCCCTCCCTAATCTTCCACTTACTCTCCCTCCCACTCTACTACCTTTCTCTTGCTCACATCCACTGCCCCCCCCCTCCCCTCTCACTTTAGGAAATGAATAACAGGATGCCCAAGAGAGAGATAAGAGCCACTCAAAAAAAAGCAGACTGTCTTTATTTCTAACAGAAACTCCTAATATGTTCAATAAGGCCCTCTTGCACTTCTGAGCTTACATTTACACAATAAAATTATCTCACCTTCATTATTCAATAGGACACGTTTCAATCACACAAGGGCGACCGAGACGGGTAACATATCACTTGGTCAACATATCCCCAGATACATATGGGATGATGTGATGAAAATAGAATGCAATGATTAACAGGTTACTGTATGAATACAGGAGTATAAAGAGTGTGGTTTGTGTAGTAAGCACAGGTTGATGAAGAGCAAATTGAATTTAGTGGAGAGTGTGATTATAGTGGCAGTTGTGGTTGTAATGTAGGTTATGGTTGTAGTGGCAGTTGTGGTTATGGTTGTATTGTAGGTTGTGGTTGTATTGTAGGTTGTGGTTGTATTATAGGTTGTGGTTGTATTATAGGTTGTGGTTGTATTGTAGGTTGTGGTTGTATTGTAGGTTGTGGTTGTATTATAGGTTGTGGTTGTATTATAGGTTGTGGTTGTATTGTAGGTTGTGGTTGTATTGTAGGTTGTGGTTGAAGTGGCAGCCGTGGTTGTAATGAAGGGTATAGTTTATTGACAGTTGCGATTGTATTGTAAGTTGCAGTGGTGGTGTTTGATTTAGGGACCATGACAACAGTTCCCCTTTAGAGTCAAAAGCAAAGCCAGACAGCTATATACAACAGCAACATCTATATACAACATCGACAGAAACAAAACACCTTAGGGTGGATACACACACTGGTAATCAAGAATTTGGAGGAGCACCAGGAGTCCCTGAGGGAGGCAGGCACTGACCCCCACCCCACACAGAAAACACCGAGTAGTCAAACAAAGTAGCGGCAAATGTGATGGCCCCTCTTAAACTCGTACCCAAATGGGCAAATAAGCATAAACGTCTTCCAGTTACCTCTGATAGGGTAGAAGCTAGAAACCCACCATTCCCTAATGGCACACCAGTTGCCCACCAAGACCCTCCATCCTCTGGCACCTCTTGGCCCAGTTGGCGCCAGACACTGTCTCCCCATCTGAAAAACCAACCGGAAAATGGAAAATCTAACAACTTCCCTCTGTCCCCAGACGATAAGTGCAGTAGGTGTCACATCAATCCAGGTTGTCAAAGGCGAATCCTAACAGCAGTACAGTAGAGAGACCCAAGAAATAAAATCTCCTCACATGTTCCAGCAGTCCCCAGGCAGTGTGTGTCCAGACATCTGCTCGCCATCATGGCTGAACCAGGAGTAATGAAGGTTGTGGTTTATTGGAAGATCTGGTTGTAATGGGTGTAGTGATAGAACTGGTTGCAGGTCACAAGTGCTATACTAAAGAATGGTAAAGTACTGTATACAGTATTGAAGTAATCTACCATTCTTTAGTACTGAATGGTATACAGTACCTCAGAGCAGAGCTCTGATCTATTAGCTGATTAATATAGAGGTGGAAACTATGAGGTAAAAGGACTGAGGATTGACAGATGGTAGAACCAAGCAGAAATGCAATTAACTGCAGGTAAAGTGGAGTCATGGCAAGTGTGGTTGGAAATGTATGGGTTAGAAATACCAGTAAAAATTGCTGGCAAGGAGCTTTTTCAGTGGATTAATTAAGCCCCATTAATCCTTCCAGGGCTATTGGTGCCTATTATATCACAGCAGAATGGTGGATTCACTGTTCCTGAAAACCAATGGACAAGCTGCTTTCCTGTAAATAGTGTCAACATTTTTACAAATACATTTTAAGTTTATTTAAGGACCTAACAGAACAGAACACCAGAACAAGTTGTGTTCATTTAATACTCCATTAAACAAATTATCAGTTCCTAGGCTGCCACCTTTTCCCACTGTAAAATAAAAATATTTATAACCCCAGAATATTTGTCAATCCATCAAGGGAGACCTGCCAGCCACGCCAGCTGTCAGGCACATGGGCAACCCCCCACCTTTAACCTTCATGCAGTAAACACATGGCCAAATTGTCAGCCATAGCACCTTTGTTTCAACCAAAAATATACTGCATCAAGTAGTTCTGTACTTCTTTAACACATACACAGAAAACTACCACAGGCTCAGAAACTTATACATCAGTTCAGGTTGAGTTTCACAGGCCATGGAGCTGGAGCTCGACCCATGGAAGCACAATTTAGGCGAGAGCATTTAGGAGAATACACAGAAGGAAATACTGCCACCCTCGGCTCCTCCTCGTCAAAAAAAAACGAGTGATTAATTCCAGCCCATCTGGACAGTTTCCGGGAGTGAATTGTCACCGCCAGCCTATAGTGACCTACTTCCGCCCCACCCTGTCTCCTGACACGGGCTTCCTCCTCAGCATATCTCTCTCACTCACTCTCGTCAGACACACCAGACTCCCGTCCTCCTGCAAGCACTAGCAATAGTCTCAGCGATAACCTACCCTATACACTAAGGAGCATGAGATTCTGTCCTCCGTAAGCCTTGCCGACTCAAGTTGTGTACATGACTAGTTGGTCTCACAGCTGACAGATGGCGCGGGGAGAATGTAGACAAGAAGGGAAACACACAACGTCCCCCACAAGTCTTCATATAACAGTGTGCCGTCACTTGCTCCTCTGATTATAAACCACAATTACATGAAAAATATTTTAATTTAATTTCTTCTACATTAACTGAATAATTAATAGATTGTATATTTAAAAACTACGGTTGTGTAAATACAACGTTAGGTGTTTATATGGCTTAAAAGACTCCCCGTCCTCAGACCAACTCCATTCTATCCAGTACTCACCTAGTTGTGATTGCGTGGGTTGAGCTTTAGCTCTCTGGTCCCGCCTCTGAACCGTCAATCTACTGGTGTACAGAGCTTCTCAACCTCTATCATATCTTCATTTGAAACAGTGTATGAAGTCAGCCTCCACCACATCACTTCCTAGTGCATTCTATTTACTAACTACTCTGACACTGAAAAAGTTCTTTCTAATGTCTCTGTGGCTCATTTGGGTACTCAGCTTCCACCTGTGTCCCCTTGTTCGTGTACCACCTGTGTTAAATAATCCATCCTTGTCTATACCCTGCCATTTCCCCTGAAAATTTTGTATGTGGTGATCATGTCTCCCCAAAATCTTGTGTCTTCCAGCAACGTGAGGTGCAGTTCCCTCAGTCTTTCCTCTTAACTCATGCCTCTTAGTTTTGGGACTAGCTTAGTGGCATACCTCTGAACTTTTTCCTAGCTTCGTCTTGTGCTTGACAAGGTCATAGTCTATATACACGCGTGCTAGGTTATACGCGTGCTAGTGGTTGTACAAGAATGTAAAAACTCTTGTATATATAAATAAAATAAAATAAAATATAATAAAATTCTGGAAGAAGAACCTCTGCCGACCACGTGACAGACGGCCACTTGCCACTGCCATTCAGTAATTTGACACCTCAATATTATTTCGACAAACTCTCAGGTAGAAACACCCTCACAAAGGCAACCCTCAAATTCATATAATATAAATAAGGAAATAATGGGACTTCAGTGACATAAAATCACTTTATATATGCATACAAAATATGAAATAATAATAGCCTTTGGAATCAGATGAGAATGTTGCCGGTCTGACCAGTGATAAACATCGTCAGTGTTGACCTGGAGAGCGAGGAGGGAGGTGTTGCTGCGCTCTAGTGCTGGATTATTACCTCGCTACCCTCTCATAACCTCAGATTAATCATTAATAATCTTACTCACGTGTTCCTTATAAAAGGTAAACAATTAGACGAATGTTAATGCCTCGGAATCAATGTTTTCTGTATATACTTTTCCACTAAAAACTCCTAACCTGGGAGCGGACATAGGGTAGTCTACACCACCGTGGGTGACAGTGGCCTACACCACCGTGGGTGACAGTGGCCTACACCACCGTGGGTGACAGTGGTCTACACCACCGTGGGTGACAGTGGCCTACACCACCGTGGGTGACAGTGGCCTACACCAGTGGTGGCCTACACCACCGTGGGTGACAGTGGCCTACACCACCGTGGGTGACAGTGGCCTACACCACCGTGGGTGACAGTGGCCTACACCACCGTGGGTGACAGTGGCCTACACCACCGTGGGTGACAGTGGCCTACACCACCGTGGGTGACAGTGGCCTACACCACCGTGGGTGACAGTGGCCTACACCACCGTGGGTGACAGTGGCCTACACCACCGTGGGGACAGTGCCTACACCACCGTGGGTGGCCTACACCACCGTGGGTGACAGTGGCCTACACCACCGTGGGTGACAGTGGCCTACACCACCGTGGGTGACAGTGGCCTACACCACCGTGGGTGACAGTGGCCTACACCACCGTGGGTGACAGTGGCCTACACCACCGTGGGTGACAGTGGCCTACACCACCGTGGGTGACAGTGGCCTACACCACCGTGGGTGACACCACCCATAGAGGTGTTGGTAAACAACACTCTATGGGTGTTGGTGGTGCTCTCAGCCTCCACTACTCACTACCCACCATACTGGTCCACTTAACCAGAATGAGTTGAGAGGAAAGGTTATGGGGATTAAACCTCACGTTCCTGAAAGACAAGAGTATGGGAAGACATGATCACTGCCTACAAAATTCTCAGAGGAATTGACAGGGTGGACAAAGACAAACTATTTAGTGTGGGGTGGAACATTAACAATGGGGCACAGGTGGAAACTTGGTACCCAAATGAGCCACAGAGACATTAGAAAGACATTTTTCAGTGTCAGTGTGTTCACCACTGTATGTGGCTCTCCCTGGCCCACTCCACCATATATGGCTTTCCCCGGTTCACACCATCATAGGCTGCTCCCCATGACCCACACCTATGTACGTGACTTCCCCATGGCCCACACCTATGTACGTGACTTCCCCAAGCCCACACACACACACTCACACTTTAGGAGACCTCTTGCACTGATCGGTAGAGCGATGGTCATGTTTCTTGCCGAGTGGCGTTCGAATCCCCGATGGGGGATATTTTCCTAGCTGGCAGTAATGTGCTTTTTTTGAGCGACCTCTGGGGTCCTCAGCATCTTCAGGTCGAGCCCCATAATTACCGCTGTACGCCACTCTCCCCGGCTCACACCACCATACGTGGCTTCTTCCTTCCATACGTGACCACATTGTACTTGGGTATATTTAAATGATGGGTATTTAGTATGACTTCATTATAAAATAAGTGAGGATGGTGAACATTCATGACTGTATTTCAGATGAGCGTGGTGCTGGTGCTTGGGTCGGGAGGCCGGGAACATGCAATGGTTGCTGCCCTTGCTGCCTCTCCTGCAGTGTCATCAGTCCTCGTTGCTCCGGGTAATGCTGGCACTCACTCCATTACCCGAGTCACCAACATTCCCCTTGACATCACAAATCATCAAGTAAGAAGCATATTGCATTTTTAGGATTATTTGTTATTTATTATGCACATAAGTATCCTTATGATGTGAGAGGATTACATTACTTGTTTTGTTTTCTTATAGTTTTCATTCAAAATAAGCAATAGCATGTTTATATAAAAATGCTTATATAGATTGTTTTCTTTTAATGTCACTCAAAATAAGCTGATCATATTTGCTGTTACTTTTCCCAAGCTTCCATAATTTAATTGCCGACTGTCACACTAATGTTGACGTCAAAATTATAACCTAAATATACTGTACTTCATTTTTTATGCTACTGTATCAACCTAAAATATTCTTTGCATCCAGTACTGTATTGTAAATTGACCTAAAATTTCTGTAAACCCCCAAGTTAATTTTAAGATTTGGCCAGAATGCTGTGCATAACTATAGTGGTTTTGTGTAAAGTTATGGACGTACTACTGTAAAAATGACTGTAAATGCTATAAAATACGCAATACAATATAGGTTATACTGTATATATTTTTCAATAAGTTCAGTGTGTATATTAATGTTATTGAAGTACAGTAGTAATAAATACTTTTTTTATAGTACAGTATGGCAATTTTAGTGACTGCTGTTATGAGATATGATCATAGTGCAACTCTCTTATTTTCCAGGCAGTTGTTGATGTATGTCGTGAACACAAAGTGAGCGTGGTGGTCGTAGGACCTGAGGACCCGCTGGCAGCTGGTCTGAACAACACACTCACTGCTGCTGCAATAAAGGTTGGAAAACTCTCCAATTCCAACTTACAACTTTAGTCTTAATTTTATTTGGATTGCAATAGTTAATCAAATCTTGATTAAAAGTGAATGAGACAAACTTTATACAGTATAGGCTAGACTATCAGGGTTGTCCGAGTTTTGGCATTTACGGCTTCGGTGGGTAGGTAGTTCCATGGGTTTATAATCCTGTGGGTGGAAAAGCATCTCCTGTTCTCAGTCCTACATTTCAATCTGCATTTGTATTGTGAAATATGCTTGGTGTAAAGAATCAAGGAATTCTTTCTTCAGCTGGATATGATTTTAGTACCTACTATAGGGATAGGACTGAATTGGTTTGGTACGCTCCTCGTCGTCTAATGCCTCTGTCCACCTATCTGTAAATAGGTACCTAGGAGTTAGTCAACTATAGTGGGGGTTGCATCCTTGGAAGGGTCAATAGTACAAAAGTACTGTAGTACAAAAGATAATTGTTGTGTACTCTTATAGGTATTTGGACCAAGTAGAGAAGCAGCACAGATTGAGTCCAGCAAAGCATGGGCTAAGGACTTCATGGTTCGTCATGGAGTGCCAACAGCCAGCTACTCTACATTCACCAATCCTCAACAAGCCAAAGACTTTATAAAAAAGTAAGAATTATCAACTTGTACATTAAAAAATGTTAGTTATGGTTCTGTGGTATTTGAAAAGTACTTTAAGAAGACTTAATACATTACTGTATTAACATGTATTGGTAATAATTTTCATAATTCCCATAGCGGGTCATGGCCAGGTTACGTGGTAAAGGCCTCGGGACTGGCAGCTGGGAAAGGTGTCGTTGTTGCTGGTTCTACTGCAGCTGCATTGGAAGCTGTAGATACTGTTAGTAAAAGCTTCGGCACTGCAGGAGACACAATAATTGTAGAGGAGTTGCTACTTGGAGAAGAAGTTTCTGTAAGTATCAATAAATAATTCTAGATGGTCTGGTTTCACCCATGGTAGTATATTTATATGATTAATGTCAAACAGGATAGTTATGTCAATTCTGCCTCTTGCATTATTATAAAGTTGAATATGCTTTTAACTGCCCTATCTTTGTTGTCAGTGTTTTGTGGTCATGTTAGTTCCTAGATAGGAAAATTCAGTCTTTTAGTGAGTTTAAATACAATCAGGACATATCAACTAAGTATATATGTATTTGTCATTGTTGTATTTTAATTATTACTGTATTATTTTCTCATTTCTCGCTATTGTGGGGTGGGATAGCATCATCAGCCCTGAGAAAAAGGTGATTGTACTATATAAGAAAAAGTAAGTCTTTTTACATGTCTTACAATATAGCATCACATAAAAAAACTTCACTAGCAACTCCTCCACAGCAGCACCTCTATGCTTCTTAAGACTAGGTGTACTGTGCTCAATATGGGTCATATACAAAAAACCCTACATGCTTCCTCTTCACAAACTGCTGCCATCTAATCTTGATTCCCACCACATCCAGTGCACTGTTCACATACAATTCCTGCTTTATCACATTCACTCACCATGTCTGCCCATCTTCTCAGGCTGCATCTTCTTCTCTTACCCTCACTTGCTTACCACTTACCCTCACTAATTAAAAATCATAAATTTATTAAATTTGATCAAATCATTTTGTACATTCCTCAATCCTACAATTTAGTAACTTACACTCTTCTTTGCATTGCTTTTTCATTTACAGTACAGGGAGTCCTCGTTACACAAATGCCCACTATACGAACTCATCCATCGAAATAACCTCCCAAGTCCCCGTGTGTGTGTGTCAATCCACTATAAAATCAATCAAAATGTTCACATGACCCACTAGTGTCATGCTAAGATCCACACTGCCCCAGTCAGCAGTACTGTGACCATTCTCATAAAGAGCTAATCCTCTTAGAAAATAAAATTCTGATAGAGCAACGTAATTTCATATGTAGGTGTTTGAGCAATTAGTGTTGGCAATGAACTAATGTGGTGTTGTTTTCCTTGAAACTTGCCATCCCTTTGATTCTTATGTTTATTCTTTCACCTATTCCCCTGCCATTGCTGTTGTATGGCAGGCAGGCAGGCAGGCAGGCAGGCAGGCAGGCATTCTGAGTCAAACTCAGTAAGGCATGGAGTCTGAGTCAGGCAGTCAGTCTTAGTCTCTGTAATTATTCCACCTGTAAGAGGATGCCCAAGAAGTGGTTAAGGGAGGTGGGGATTGTAGGGTTTTGGGGAAGGGGATATGAAGGTGATTGGGGTGGAGATGAGAGGATGTCATTAGTGGGGGATTGGGAGGATGTGTGTGTATTTAGGTTAGTGATGGAGGGAAAGCAGGAAGGGTGTATGGGAAGAGACAGGAAGGGTGTTTGTGTGGTGGAGGGGAGACATGGGAACCTAGGAGGGTGTGTAGGGAAGAGACCAAGACACTGCTGGGTACTCCATCTAGTTTATATATAATATATGTAATCCTCAGGCACACACTTCAGCTTCTTCACTGATGTACCTGTTCCTAATTTCTTCACCAGTTAACTTTCTCCCATATTTCCATTACCTTCTCCACCAATCTTCTTGCAGCATCACCTTTTAAAGAGCATCATGTATTTTTCTTGTAGCACCCTGTCTGCCTTTACAGTTAGGTGACCCTGCCTTGCATATTCTCCAGTGTTTACTACCCAACACAACCTCTTATTTTTATCAGATAGTACAAGTATTTTAGTTTTCTTTACAAAAACTAAAATACACAGCATAAAATACACTAAAATACACAAAATTTTAGTTTCTGTGGTCCTTGGTAAGCATAATGTGTAGTCCTCTTATTCACTTTGTATCCACACATTCCTCATTTTCTGTGGGGAGCCCCATTGGCTCCCTGAAGCTATCCAAACTGATATGAGCTATATTAGTTTGGGGTCATCAGTCACAGGAGTCCGTATGCTTACCAAGGACCAGTGCCTCTCTGAAGGGGCCTGGTTCTGGCTTGTGGTCCCCAGTAGACATAAGGTCTCCTGTGACTGATGACCCCAAACTAATATCGAACACATGAGTTCGGATAGCTTCAGGGAGCCTCTGGGGCTTTCCAAGAAAATGGCGTTTTATTACATTATGTTCAACGCTATATTTTTTTTTTTTTTATCAACTGTTCTTGCTGCTGCTTAATCGTGTCATACAGTGTTCCACATTCTTTTACTGTACCAGTTTGTTCAATACTTGCTCAGCATTCTGAACAAATATTATTTTAAGCTAATTGTCTTATAATCATATAATTAATTTGGGTGCATTAGCCCCAGAAACATTACAAGAAAGTTGCTGGTGAATGAGGAATTATAGCTTTCTGCTTTTCTTATACACTCAAAAGGGCCATTTGATTATACAAATTAGGGCAGCTATAATGTACAGTACATGTTGACTGTACTAAATACTATGAGCAATAAATGAGGTTTCATCATGTGTATATTATCCTGTAAAGAATATTATTGCCATTTTAAGAGGTCTGATTCATCTGAAACTTGGAAAAAATGTTTTAGTACAGTAAATTATTGTACAAAATTTTACTAAAAATTCTTTTATTAAACTTTTCACAGCAATGCTTGGGTTTCAGGTGTTGTGCTTCACTGATGGAGATACTATAGCTGTGATGCCTCCAGCTCAGGACCACAAGCGGCTTGAAGAGGGTGATCAGGGACCAAACACCGGGGGAATGGGAGCTTACTGCCCTTGCCCACATCTCTCACAACTAGAACGTGAAACAATTAAGGAAAGTGTGCTTCAGAAAACTATTGATGGATTGAGGAAGGAAGGAACTCCCTTCGTGGGTAAGTTTGCACTTATTCCCTATAGATTATTATTCTGAGCATTATAAGAGCAGTTTCTTGGTGTTTTACATTATATGATCAATTGTTTTAAAATTGGACAAGTTTAGTCAGAAAAGGCATGGCAAAATACTAGTTTGGAAACATGGTTTTAAATATGAGACATGTCTTCCCAGGTTCATATTGTATGTCCAACCACTTGAGCTGGACAGTAGAGCGACGGTCTCGCTTCATGCAGGTCGGTGTTCAATCTCCGACCATCCAAGTGGTTAGGCACCATTCCTTTCCCCCCGTCCCATCCCAAATCCTTATCCTGATCCCTTCAAAGTGCTATATAGTCATAATGGCTTGGTGCTTTTCCCTTGACAATTCCCTTCCCCTTCCCTTCATACTGTATGTAAGGCTGCTTGATTGTTTCAAACGTAGGTTAGGAAATATTTGAGTGTGTGGGGTTGGTTTATAAATTAGAGCTGCCTCACATGGGCCTATATTCCTTGTGCAGTTTACTCTATGCTTATGATCTTTTGTTATCCTAGTCCACCACTTATTTTACTTGAACGTCTGCTAAATCGATGAACAGCATGTTCATGGTATTATTAATTTCATCAAATAATGTGGTTGGGATAGACATGTTAGCAGGTATCAACACAACCCTCTGATATACTCAACAATGAAAGTTTACAGTAACCTATGGTTTATGTTCATTTACAGTTACCTATGGTTTATGTTCATTTAGTTACCTATGGTTTATGTTCATTTACAGTTACCTATGGTTTATGTTCATTTACAGTTACCTATGGTTTATGTTCATTTACAGTTACCTATGGTTTATGTTCATTTACAGTTACCTATGGTTTATGTTCATTTAGTTACCTATGGTTTATGTTCATTTCAGGTGTATTATATGCAGGTCTCATGATGACGTCCTCAGGACCAAAAGTGCTTGAATTTAATTGTCGCTTTGGTGACCCCGAGACCCAAGTTCTCCTACCCCTTTTGCAGTCAGACTTGTATGACATTATCTTGGTGAGAAGTGCTGTCATTTCATAGTGTGTGTTATAGGAAGAAGTTATATTTTGGAGAGGTTCCACAAGCTCAGACTTTGTATTTGTAGCACAAACTAATTTTAGGTTTGCTCCCTTTTTCTGAAAGTTAGTTTATAACTTTCTGCTCTACAATACAGGGATGTGTTGAAGGACGACTGGCAGAGGTTCCTGTTAAGTTTGACGAGACGAAGAGTTGTGTGGCTGTGTGCTTGGTCAGTGGCGGCTATCCAGGAACCTACCCGAAAGGCAAACTGATAACAGGTGGAAAATTCTGTATTTATTTTTGATGCAGTATATTGTATATACCATTTTTGCATGTTTTCCATTAATACTTCCCTCATGAAATTTATTTAGAGCAAGCACACTTTTAAACATAGTTGTAAGATATATTGAATAGCAATTTTTAAAATTCAGGATTTGAAAAACAATAATTGCCCATGTGTAGCTTGTGAGGTATGCAGTATATAAAGGTGTGGATATTTTGGCATATAAAGTATATAAAATAAACTATACATATTGTGGAGTATACAGTATATAAAACAAATTGTAGATATTGGGAGGAGGATGATGTGAGAAATTGAATTTACTTTTGCTTGCTCAATAATAAAGACCGAACAGAACCCTCTTCCTCACTTGGTCACTTAGTTACTTCCAATATATGTGCATTACTTTAACTTAGAAATACAGAACAAAGGAAAATTATAACGAAACGCATCAACACGAGAGTAAACACTCAGTGGCCGGCACAATATTTTGAATTTGCATGACTTAAACAAGCCAACAGTGGCGTGCATTATATTTAATAAAAGGGCACAGGGGAATGGGACGTAATACAACAGGGAATAATTTCATTCACCAGATTGACTACTGTACTCCAGTCACACTGAGAAAACAGGGTAAATACCCCTCACACAGTGAGGATGGGTTCCTCCCAGTGCACCCAACATGCGCCCTCAGCGGGTGAAGTCTAGCTCCTCTGTGTTCTCGTGGGGTGTAGAACACTACCCTCATAAAAATGTGTGGAAAAAACTTACTCACACAGAGGTGCACATGTTTTCTAATAAACAATTTAACATAGAAACACTGATAAACGAAACATAAAATTTAGCAAAAATAAAATAAACTTATATTGTAACCAAGATTAAACATTTAGGTTAATAAAACTAAATCTTGGACTTTATATACCAGTCATTTCAATATTGGGTTTTGTTGTGATGATTAATTTAACATGGCATGGCATTGTGGATTATGTGTACATCACTGTCAGGTTAAACTGCAATAATATAGCCAGTGACCATATGGGGGTCTTCATAGACAGCCTCATCATTGGCTACAGAGATCTTGAGCTTATTAGGGTTCCTGTACTCAATGATGGTTCACCAGTATTGTATACCATTATTTTGTAACCTGTTTTTAATAAATATCTAGCACTAAGGAGACAAATACTCTGTGTGAGTGTTCCATTGTCCTCCACAGGACTGCCTGAAGCATTGAAGGAGTCCGGGGTGCGGGTGTACCATGCTGGCACGAAGCTGGAAGGAAACACACTTGTCACGTCGGGTGGTCGTGTCTTGGCTGTTACTGTTACAGATCCCAGTCTTGTAGCAGCTGCCTCCAAGGCTACAATGATAGCAAGCAAAGTTTCATTTGAAGGAGCATTCTTCAGAAAGGATATCGCTGCCAAAGCTATTGCTAGGTAAAACTGATTACTCTTATATTGCAGGACAATTTTTACATTTAATTTTTACTTTTCACATTCTATGCACCTATATTTTTGTTCAGCGTTGCATTCAAGAGATTGTGTGTTGAAGAGAGAGAGAGACAGAAGTACAGTGTAATTACATAATTTTAGGTATGCAATACTGTTTTAAAGTCATAGGTTATTATACGTAGAGCAATGAATTTATAAAAATTATACTATACTAATGAATACTGTAGTATGGTATATTTGACCATTTCTTGGCTTCTTTCACATGGTGTCCCCTAAGCTACTTGAGGCTGAGCAGTAGATCCAATAAATGACAAAGTACAATGATCTGGTACACAGATATGAACATTTTTACAATGACTTGTTCTCAGTTCATTAAAATGCAGAATTATAATTTTAATATTGTACTTAATACAATACTTATTTCACTTTATTAATGGGAATACAGTATTATTTTTCTGTCCGAGAGGATGAAGCAAAATGACAAATTGTTTTAGTTCATTAGAAAATGCTGGAATATAAGGTTGCAGTACTGTACAAGAGTTGACCAGACCACACACTAGAAGGTGAAGGGACGAAGACGTTTCGGTCCGTCCTGGACCATTCTCAAGTCGATTTGAGAATGGTCCAGGACGGACGAAACGTCGTCGTCCCTTCACCTTCTAGTGTGTGGTCTGGTCAACATACTTTAGCCACGTTATTGTGACTCATCGCCTGTACAAGAGTTAATAAATGTTTAGCTAATATTATAATTAGTTCTGGCCCAAATGTGACAATTGTGGGTAATGTGCAGGAATGAAGCAGCCTGATGGTTCTCCCTGTAGCTGCTGCTTGTCATCTATTGTAGATGTCTAAAGCTCCACAAAAGGTGGATTGTGTTATGAAGTAATTAATATTTATGAGTTTATTTGTGCTTATAATGCTTGGAACTTTCATCTAGGCTATGGTAGGAAGAACTTTGATCTTCAGGTTTTTCTATGCTTTGATTCAATTTATTATACCTTTCAAACTGAGCCATTACTAAGGGACATCAATCCGAAAGTATGCCATAGACCATCAGAGCGTTCATGAAACTGTTCAGTATTTTAAGACTACTGGGCATCTTGATGCAAAGGTAATGTTGATAACATTGAAATATACTGTAATTTAAATGCAAAAACTTTAAATGTTAGTAAAAGCAAAAATTGGACAGATTGGGTTAGGAAGGAAATCACTAATAAAAGCTGCTAGAAGTGAAAAAAAGTTTAAATGTAAAATATAATTGCAATCTTCTTGAAAGTTTAAATTAGATAGCAATATATATGATGCAGTGTCACGGGACCATAACATGTAAATCTAAAATTGTAAGAGATGGGTGGACCTGAAGTGTGTGTGTAGGGAGCAGAGATTGAGTGTGAGCAGCACACACGAGGATATGGTAAAGGAAAGGACTAAGTGGCAGTGATTTGTAAGGAGGATAGTGAATGCATTGTTTGTATTGTATATGACAACTGCTACAAACATTGTACACTTAGTCTTATGTTGTAGTGGGATGCTGATGTGGATAATTTGCTGGAGTTTGATGCTTTTTCTCACTGAGTATGTAATATGTATGATTGCTGAATTTTTTATTTTTTCTGTATGTGGTGATTCTTCCCTTATCCCATTAAAGTTGTAATTGAGATAATGATTGTTAAATTGACTTTCTGTATAATATTTCAGATGTTCTTTTCTTTGTGGTACCCTGAGTATTCCTTATGCAGGTTAACTACAGGGCCAGGTGGACTAACGTACCGGGACTGTGGTGTGGACATTGTTGCAGGAGATGCTGTAGTGTCTGCCATTAAAGATATGGCAGCTGCCACTTATCGTCCGGGTGTGATGGGTAGCCTGGGAGCATTTGGGGGCTTGTTTGACCTCCAGGCAGCAGGTTACTGTGATCCCATATTAATATCTGGTACTGATGGTGTCGGAACAAAGCTGAAGGTATGACGGTTTGCTTCGTGAACCTTAGTTGTTTCTCTCGCTGCCTTTCCCTCTAATTTTGCCATTGTCAATTTTGCCACAAGCAATGAAACTTAGTGGTTCACTATGGTGAACAAAACATGCAGATACTGTACTCATATATAACGTGTGTATAGCATGTAAAAAAGCAAAACTATTTGTTTATTGTTTTATAAACATAAGAATTGAATCACTAATGTGCACATCATACTTTTGAGTATAGCGATGGTTCACACATTTTATTATACAGTACTGTATAAATATATCACACTACACACCATTGAACAATATTACTGTACTGCAAAAATACAGAAAAAAAAGACATTGAAATAATTAGGTAATAATATCTTTGTGGCAACTCTCGATTGACATCGCGGGTGGAGGAGACCAGCGCGGGACACTCACTGTGTCAACGTCTCAATTTTGCGAAACTTCTTACCAAGTGGCGTTTTTGTTATGCCTACCTTTCTGGGTGCCTAACCCCGGTCGATGGCAGACATGGAATGCTCCCAAACACTTGGGGGTTTCTATACAATTCTTTGTCAACAGAACCTAAACATCTACCTTAACCTAATTTAGGCCCAAATATATATCAAGTTTTAATATAACATAGCCTAAGGATGTGTTTCAGTACTAAATGAATTTGTTATCCATTCATGTTTGGATAAACAGTATCTTGAGCTCTGTCTCAACATGTAGGGTAACCTCTTTTCTCAACAATTCAGTGATCAATAAACAATTCAAGGTTTTTGTTTATTTAACATTTTCAAGATATTCTTTGTGTTGGATGCATATGACACTGCTGTTTAAGATTAAGATTGTCTATGCATAATATTACTTTCCTAAATTCTCTCACTTATCACTCTGGATCAGAAAGTTCCTTAGTTCCTTGCATTGACTTCTTCATATTATGTAACTCCCCAAAGATATTTGCCAGATTTGCAAAAAGACTTTTATCGTAAAACTAATCTGTATTGCTGCATCTATTATCAGTGAGGAAGATAACTAATTTTGTTTCTTAGTTCAAATACACTTTGCAGAACTTTAGCGTGAGAGCCAGTGTAATATAATAAAGCAGTTTCTTTGCTCCCTCATCTTCACCTAACTTTGCAGAGAGCCTCCCTTTCAGTAGACTGTTAAGTTGACAATTCTGACAGTGTTTTCAAAACTTCCGAGTACTTCATTCATACAGTATTAACAAAATCCAGTACCTACTTATGAACCATACAGTGCATCCATTCAGCTTGAAAGGTCTTCTTTCTCAGGGGGCAGTGTCTAAAGTCTTGAAATTTGTTTCACCACCAAACGTGCTTTATAACTGCATAGTCACAGTTGTCTCATTTCATTATTTGCTAATATAGGGCTTTTCAAATTAGTACTGAATTCAATAAAACTAGATTTATGTAAAATATAAAATTTAGTATATTTAGCCAAATAAAAAACTAAAGTACTGGATTAAAATATAGTTGTAGACATTAGTCATCTCCCACAAAACTGACAATAAATAAAATGTTGACTGGTCTGGTTAAACAGTTGTTTGCATCTTGGCACACTCACATGGCACCGAGTGTGCCGTGCGAGTGTGTCTGGAACATTTGTTCTTGTACTTTTGTACATATGTGCAGTATGTGATGGGTTTCCCCCTATATGCAGTACATTTATTTTATTCTGAGACTGATGAATACCTACTAACTAATTTTATTCTGCTTCACCAGGTGGCACAGGCAGTAGGTATACATGACACAATAGGGCAGGACCTGGTGGCCATGTGTGTCAATGATGTCTTGGTGCATGGTGCTGAACCTTTATTCTTTTTGGATTACTTTGCAACGGGACATCTGGAGGTTGGCGTGGCAGCCGATGTTGTCAAGGGTGTTGCAGATGGCTGCTCCATTGCTGGATGTGCTCTGATTGGTTAGTAAAACTGCCTTGACAACATTTTTTTCAATTTTGCAGAAATTATACTGTTTTTCTGAGGGGAGCCCCGTTGGCTCCCTGGAGTTATCGGATTCATTAGTCTGGGGCTTCAGTCATATGGAGTTCTATGCCTACCGGGAACCACGAGCCAGAACTTGGCTCCCTCAAAGAGGCAAACGAAGCAATGGTCTATGAAAACTCCTCTCTTTGAGAGTATATTCATGTCTGCCATCAACCGGGGTTAGGGTATCTAGAAACGTAGTCACCCTAAAACAGACCCCAACTGGTAGAAAAGTGCAACCCATGACCAAAAAGAGCCCAAGAGCCCAAGTTTTCATAGGCCATTGCTTCCTTTGCCTCTTTGAGGGAGCCAGGTTCTGGCTCGTGGTTCCCGGTAGGCATAGAACCCCATATGACTGAAGCCCCAGGCTAATGTATCTAATATCATTGTGATAGCCTCTAGGGGAAACTCTAGGGCTCGCCAAGAAAATGGGGTTTCGTTACATTCAATGCTGGTTTTATTATAAATGTTTTATTAAAACAGTGTGTTTATCTAATATAGCATAATAGATCAGTTTTCTAGACTGATATAGATAATTTTTTCTTTTTGTATAAGACTTAAAGTGTCCATATATCCTAACAACAATGTGTACCAGACTGGCCTTTCAAACTGTGTTGTAAAGAGCAGGATGGCAGGATGGAACCCACCATCTTGGGTCACCCCACATGCATGTCTTGCTCCAAAGATTTTTTTTAGATACCTGTATCACATTGTGATTTTGTTGTGTAACATGTTATTGTTCATTTAACAGGCATTTCCTCGTAGTTATTGAAGTTTTAGCTGTTGCAGCATAGTACAGTAATCATATATTTTTTTTGTTTTTTGTAGGAGGCGAGACTGCTGAAATGCCTGGCTTGTACTCATCTGGGGAGTATGACTTGGCTGGGTTTACAGTTGGGGCTGTTGAAAGAACAAAATTATTACCCCGAAAAAGTGAAATTGAGGCCGGAGATGTTCTGCTTGGTCTAGTATCATCTGGCCTTCACAGTAATGGTTTTAGTTTAGTGAGGAGAATTGTTGAAGGAAAGAACCTAAAGTACACAGATCCTGCTCCATTTTCTCCCGGTAAAACTCTAGGTAAGTTTTCTTTCTCACATAATTGCTTTATAGCCATTTTAACTGGAAAATAGGAAATACAGTTCATCTATATACTGAGTAAACATCTCAGGAATTTAAATAGGCAAGACCTTTTGTTTTGTAAGTGACTTAAATAAAAAATTTCACAATTGTATTAAATCTCAATCTATTTTCAAAATATGATTTTTATATGCTGTACTGAGTAATTTGCATTTAACTTTTTTTTTCTGTATACACCTGTTATTTGATATACAGTACTGTATATGTATGTGTATTTCAATCTTTTAACTTTAACTTGCTATAGTGTATTTCACAATGTATGCATCAAAGTTCTGTTAAATATTTGCCTGAAATTATAATGGGGCAACTACAATTCAGTGATATTTAGTGTTATATATACAGGTTATATATAATAAATTGTAAAGTCTTTAATGAAGTGAATTACAGTACTGCATACAGTACTATATACTGTCATTAATATTTTGATATGAACAAAACCAAGTATCTCTTCTAAAATCAATTCAGGAAATTAAATATGAATCCTTCTGAACCTACTCTTTATTTTAGGTTCTGAACTTTTGACACCAACAAAAATCTACTCAAAAGTAGTATTGGCTTCCCTGAAGAGTGGTTTGGTGAAGGCTGCCGCCCACATCACTGGAGGTGGCCTAACAGAGAATCTTCCACGCATCCTCCCGGACAACCTTGTAGCTGCTCTTCAAGCTACCAAGTGGCACGTTCATCCTATCTTCTCCTGGCTTGCTGCTCATGGTAGGCTTGCTTGCATTGTTTACATTTAGAGTACAGTACATATATATAATATATACTTGTACAAATATTTTGCTTTTGTTATTCTGTGTATTCACAGCTATGTACCAGAATTTGTTTGTGATGGTGGTGATTAGATATGGTGAATAACCACCTTTTTGGGCTAAGCATTTGGCACCTTCTTTTGTCATGTTTATACCTAAAATATTATATTTAATATTTCTGAATATAGAGTTCTTAATAAATGACTTTTTTTTTAAAGGAAGCATGATTACTGTATAAATAATTAAATTACTATATAGCCTTTTTCATTATTGATAACAAATTAAACTTCAGTAACCGTATACAAAGTACAGTACAGTAATATTATATGTAGAAAAAATAAGTATGCATACTTTGAAAATCAATACTATGTAGCTTTCTTTATAATTTCCTTATCTCACTGTATGCACATGGGGTTCTACAACTCGCTTACCTCGGAACTATAATTACTTGACAAAAATTGGTTCTTAGATCATTAACAAACTCAAACCCTAAACAGCACCCTTATTTAAATCCTTCATAATAATTGCCCTTTCTGTGGAGAGAGAGCCCCTTCGACTTCCCGGAACTTACCGGGCTGATATGCATATATTAGACTGTGGCAACAGTCCTTCAAATGGAATTCTAATGCCTACTGGGGACCATGAGCCAGAAGCTGCTCCCCCTCAGAGAGGCATGAGGAGCAATGGCTTATAGAAACCCCCCTGTGTGGTTGGAAGCATTCTATGTCTGCCATCAACCAGGTTAGACACCCAGAAAGGTACGCGTCCCAAAACGGACCCCAACTGGTGAAACAATGCTACCAAAAGCTGAACTGCTAAGCAGAACTCAATCTGAAAACAAGCAAACATGCATATTTGATAACACCACTAATACTTGTTGCTTTAGGCCAGTGTGAACAAATCATTTGGTATTGAAGAGGAATGCCCAATTTGGTTACCCATACTTCAGTGCTTTGTCTACTGCATACATAGTAATGCAGGGAGGTGTTCCTTATGTTAAAATTTGTTTGTATTGATCTCTTGGTTTGATTGGTTATACAGTACATGGTACGTGTTTTTTGTATAATATGGTAGTACTGTATTTAACTTTATTAAGAAAACCTTATTCAGAAATACAGAATTATTGTAATATAGAATATACTGGTTCTGAACAGTATTTAGTAGGCAGACTAAAAATATGTATCTTCTTTCAGTAATTCGCTAACTGTAGTATAGTTCATGAAATTTTTACATTGGAACTGAAACAGGTGTGAGCAGCAGTGAAATGGCTCGAACCTTTAATTGTGGAGTGGGACTGGTGCTGGTGGTGGCGGCGGGAGATGTGGCACAGGTTAAGCAGTTAATTCCTGACAACGAGGTCCTGGTCATTGGATCACTTCAGCCACGGACAGAAGGTCAGAATCTTATAATGTTCTAGCAATGTGGTGCAATACATATCCACCTTTGCAGCCATTGACATAAGTGTATTAATCTTACTGATACAGTTGAGGAGACTGGTCATTCATCCTTCACATCTAGTTCCTTCTAGATTTTGAATGGTTTTGCAGGGTGTTCACAAGTTATAATTGAAGGACTGGACAATGTGCTGAGAGTTGGTGCTGCCTCCATGATGACCTTGTGCCCCTCACTTGTGACCCCAAGCAAGAGAGTTGCAGTCCTTATCTCAGGCTCAGGAACTAATCTTCAGGTTGGCTTTCTCTGAATTATGGTCCAAGTTTGACATTTTTAAATATTCTTACTCCAGAAAGGTAAATATATATTTCGTTATTGGGCATTGGTGGCTTCCTGAAGATATTTTGCCAAGAGTGCTCCTAGCTACTAGGTCACATCACGCGTGGGAGTTCTGTTGGGCCTACTGGGGACAACAGTCAGAACCTGGCCATCTCCACCAACAGAGGTGCAGAAAGCCGGTGACATTCTGCCACCTCACCAGGGAAGGCATCCAAAAAGTCAGAGAAGCATTATAGACAAATACAACGTTCATAGGAACCAAAGCCTTGAAAACTAATCTTCAGGGTAGTAAGTCCACGGGGACTTAGCAGTCCCCGTGGCATAGTGGTAAGATGCTCGCCTGGCGTTTTGTGAGCACTTTGTCCTTGGTTCGTATCCTGGCCGGGGAGGTTTTACTGGGCGCAAATCCTTAACTGTAGCCTCTGTTTAACCCAGCAGTAAAACTCTGAAGCTAAATCTTTGTTAGTTTCATAGTAGATCCAGCTTTGCTTGTGTGTGTGTGTGGGTTTGTCTCGTTCTAGGTTAGGTTGGGCCCCCAGCCAATTAGTGTCTTGACCAGGGTCCCGGTTCTCCGGGCTCCCTTGACTCGGGGTCCTGGTGATCTTGGGGACATTCCTGTTGGTTTTGCCCCAAGTTTGGCCTTGGCTGGGCCTTATTTTGAACTCTCATTTGGTGTCACTTCCGTCCTCCACTGGCCTTACTTCATCTACAGCTTTGCCATCGACAAGTGTTGGATCAGCCTAGTTGGTCGTGCGGGGGCCTGAACTTTGTGTGCACGTTTCGTGCTAGGTGATTTACGGCTCCAAGTGTTGTATTGGTTACTCTAGTTCCACCGTTTCACTGCTGCTGAGACTGTTGTGCTCGGGCCCTGCCTGCCCTGCATTTGATGTTGCTTCACCAGCTTCTTCTTTGGGCTTTCTCGGGGTTTGGTCCTGTGGTGCCATTCCCCACCAACCCAGGTGCATCATCTCTGGGTTGGGATTTAGAAACCATTGCTCACCGTGTCTTCCAAGGTTGGTGGTCAGGCCTGTTCTTTGGGCACACAGTATGGTGTGAGAGTTTGCAGTCATGTTGGCAGGCTTTGAGGAGGATTCAGTTTCCTTTGGGCTCCATTCCAATTCCTCCCCAGTTGTTCATTACCCAATCCGAGGAGGGTCACTGCGGTTCCCCATTTGGTGCTAGACGTTATGTGTGGCCTCTGGATTCTTGGTGTTTGGTTCTCCATGCGGTTCATAACTGAGGAGTGCCCGACATTCTTGGAGCCAGGTTTTCTATTTTTCGCCATATTTCCACGAAGTGAACCGTCGATGGCACGTCCTTCTATTTGCTTTGCAGGATGTAAAGGCACCCCAGAGTGCACCTTTTTGTGTTTGCATGGAACAGACATCTTTCTTCCTATGTGACTCAGGCGATTGCAAGGCTCTCATGGTGGATGCCTTTCGACTGGGCTGGTCAAGATGGGGGTGAATTCACCTCATTCGCCTGTTCAGTTGTTTCTCGGAGTTCTTTCCAAACTGGAGTCGTTCTCAGGAAGAGGGGTAATCCTTCTGGCTCTTTGGTTTCTAGCTTTTCTTACCTGATGTCCAAACCCAGGTGTTTTCCATGGCTCTGCCTCTTTCAGCAGATCGGTCTGGCAATATACCAGTACCTCGCTGGTTGGAACTTCTTGGCTCTTCGCATCTGAACTTTTTGATGTGTATCTATCATTTGTTTGGCAAGCAGGTGGCTGGGTTATTGATGTCCCACCTGCTTCTATCTTAGAGCTGACAGTGTGAAGTTGCTTAGCGCTCATTTTGCCCCCTTGCTCTCCCTCTGTCATCTTCGGTCTCTGTTCAGGTTGTGTTTTCCTTTTCATCGTGGTTTCTTGACAGGCAACTCATGCCTAATACTTTTGCATTTTATTGTTCAGCATTGGCAGAGCCACTGTTGCTGATGTTCAGTATTGATACCTCTTCAACACCCTTCCACAAGCTGTTTCAAGCATTTTTTCTCCAACTTGCTCATGTTCCTACTGACCCATCCTGGTTACTCAACTGTGTCCTTGCCTTTCTCTCCTCTCCCCCATTTGTAGTTTTCCCTTCGGTCTGGGATACCTTTCTGAAGGTGGTGTTTCTGCTTCTCAGGGTTATAGGGTTGGGCAGCTTCATGCTCTTCTCCAGAGGGATAAATTTTGTTCTTTTGTTCCTGGTGGGCATTATATTCATGTGTAGCCATGAAGAATGAGTCGTCAGGCTTCCAGAGGGGTCTTTTGGTTTTAAGGCTTGGTTGGTTTGGCTAGGGGTGCATCATATGCTGTGCCTAGTGGTGGCTCTTCACCTCGACCTTTGTGCCACTGATTCTGCCTCGATGGAGACACTGTGGGTTGATTGTTCTTCCTTGATTCCCTCTTCCATGGCTCATATTTCTCAGATCATCCACAGTATAAGTCCAGATAGCCTGAGGTCTACCCTTGTGCCAATGATGTTCTTAAATGTGTTGAAAAAAAGTCTGTTAGAAAAGCAAAGTTTCTGTCGTCTGAATAGGTAACTGTGTCATGACCCTCGTCCTTGGCTAAGAGGAGACCTTAATAATCCTAACAGGTTTTTTGTTCTTGATAATGCTATGCCATGTACTATACACAACTTGATTTAGAGATGCACATAGATGAGGGAAGACTATTTATAGACAATAATTCACTTGCAAGGAACTTAATTTTTGTGGAATTTTCGTTGGAAATTAGTAGTATAAAAATTAAGTGCTCGAGTTACACAGCAATATTGCATAAAACGCTATAGGTGAAAGTATAAATCTATATAAAATATGTAATTCCAGGCACTGTTGGACCACACACAATCAGGGTTGAGTGCAGCAAAAATTGTGCTGGTGATTAGCAATGTTCCTGATGTCAAAGGCCTTCAACGAGCAAAGGACGCTGGTGTTGCTACAAAGGTGCAGTGTGGTGGTGATAAATTTGTATACCAATGAAGTGTCAAAATGTGAAATTAATAAAACCAAATTTGCTTCCTTAGTATTTTGATACAAGAAAAGGGCAGCCCATTCTTTGCATACAAGTCAAAATTATTGGAAAGTTTACTGACAAATGCATGGAAGGCTGTTTTCTCAATTTGTCTAATTCAGATGCTCATTTATCTGCATCCATTTTCTCCTGTAGTATATTATGTTTCTTCACATCTTCATTAGGACTTTTGTGTACTTGAATTGTGCTAATGAACAATACAAGTAAAATGTCACTTAGGACTTGTTAAAGTATTGTATTACAGTATTTGAATATCATATTTTGTCTAAGAAGTTGCTTCTATTTGTTGTTTAGAATATTGTACGTATGATTTAATGTTAGATCACTCAAGAGACTACTAGTGCTTTTATATTTTATAGTCATTATTAATACTAAAAATGTTTTGGATTGTAAATTGCTAATATTCTGTGATTTTGGTTAATTTTACAAATTTTTCCAGGTAATCTCCCACAAAAACTACAGGAATCGGCAGGAGTTTGATGCAGCTCTGACAGTGGCATTGAGGGAGGTAAATACTGAGCTCATCTGCCTAGCAGGATTCATGAGAATTTTGACTGGAGATTTTGTGAGGACATGGCAGGGTCGGCTTCTGAACATTCACCCCTCTCTCTTGCCATCATTCAAGGGCATGCATGCACAGAGGCAAGCACTTGAGGCAGGAGTGACACTGACTGGCTGCACTGTGCATTTTGTTGCTGTGAGTATCTTTGAAACTAAATTATCTCTAATTATATAACAGAAATGAGGCATAGTCGGTACTCATTTCCAAGGCAAATCTCAGCTGCTACCATAACTAAAGCCTATGATTCACCCAGAACTCCTATTACCCACCAGACTCTCAGAACTTTCATCCTCGTTATAAAGGGGTATTTGGAAGCAGTCCCGTCAAATATTTGGGAAAAGGAGGCGGATTCAATGCAAACCAACACCATGCACATAAGCTTATTGTAATATAAAAAAGAATCATGATCCTCAAACACTCCCCCAGTTAAGCATTATAAGTAACAAGACTATCAATTATACAGCACTACCAGCAGTTTGCAGTTATCAAAGTTACACCAACTGCCAGCACCACAACTGTGTTAAGGAAACCAGCAACACATCTCATTAAATTATTTATATACAAGAAGGTACATGGGTTTATAAGAGTACATAGCATTGATGATTTTACATTCTTGTAAAGCCACTAGCACCCATAGTGTTTTGGGCAAGTCTTTAAACTAACAGATAAATTTAAGTAGGTAATTTATAGTATAATTGAAAAATGTTACCAGGTACATTGTAAGAAAATTTGAAGAAAATTAGTAGGTATATTACACTGAAATTTGAGGATTATTAACAGGTACATTGTAGCATAATTTGAGGATTATTTCTAGGTACATTGTAGTAATTTGCATTCAACATAACCATTATATAAGATGATGGCAGTGATTACAACCTTGAAGTTGTATGGCTTAGGCACATATTTTGGGGGAGTGGGACGCACAAGATACAGTGCAGGTTTGAAGCACTAAGTAGGAAACTATGAGGATGAAATTAGGTACTTTTTGGTTTTGCTTTTGAATAAGGCATAGGTTGTATTACTGTTAGGGTACAGCATCCGCATTGCATGCTAGGTTTAGGTTGCTGCCATGCGCTAGTTTGGTTTCCCACCTGAATTTTAATAGATGCTGCTTTCCACTTTGTTACTAGCTATGTTTCCCATGACACACTAAGGTGTGTGCTTTGGTCGAATTCAGACTGTGCTCGGGCTGCATGCTGTAAGAGTGAAACCTGGAAGAGAGATGAATGCCAGAATACACCAGTCTTTTATTCTGTTTTGGAGTGTGGCCGCCGTGGCCCATAGGGCCATCCATACAGCTCAACATGAGAGTTGGAGATCCTGCATGTCCACCATTACTGTTGACACTCCTCTCCCTTGTATCTGGAAGAAAATCCATAATATTGTGGGGTACATGTGTTCCAAATATGTTGCCTATCCTTTATCTCCGTGGTTCTCTTGTGGTGGATCCAGTGTTGGTCGCAAATGAACTGGGTTTGCACTTTTCACTTTTGTATGTTAGATGCTTGGCATAGGACCTGGAAATACCTTTATCAGTTTGCTGCACTGAAGAATGTTATTGTAATGTAAAAAATTAAACTAATGATTTCTCTTCGAGTAGCAGAAAACACTGTGCGTTCTGAGACTGCCACAATACAATAAAAAAATGTTTGTACTGTATGTGTAATTTATCTCTGAAGTGATATTGGAACTTTTATATATTTTCTGGAAACAAATTGTCTGCCTGGTACACTTAAAGCATCACACAGCATTTGTGAAAAGGAATATTCACATTTACTACAGTATATCATTAATTTTCACTTTTGTGTAATGCAGTTCTGATACCCATGCAGGAAGAAGTTGATGATGGAGCCATTGTGACACAGGAGGCTGTGCCAGTTTTACCTGGTGACACTGAGGACATCTTAGTGGAGCGCATCAAAATGGCTGAGCACAAAGCTTTCCCAAGGTTAGTTATACATTTTTTTTTTATACAAGAGTTGTTACATTCTTGTACAGCCACTAGCATGTATAGCATTTCGGGCAGGTCCTTAATCCTAATATTCCCCAGGATATGACCCGCCAAATTGTTTAACAACCAGGTGCCTTGGTTGAATTCCTATATATATTTATATTAGTGTGGAGTAGCCATGTATTTCTGACAGGATGGTGATGTAATGTTATTTACCTTTTTACTTGTGTTCTTTTGCTTTGACCGCTCAATCTTATATTTAATACTCTAGTTAAATAAGGTGACAATCAGTTATGTTCATCTTCGTCACAAAACCATCTCGCATCCATGCCTCAGATTGCCTTCAAATGTATAACAAAACTAAACTAAGTTTTTACTAGAGGTCACATTTTGTTTTAAGAAATGCTTCTATCAACTTCTAGCAGCAGTGATATGACTAATGTTTGTCGGAAGTGATAGGTGTAAAAAGCCAGAAGAGTTTTGTGGTACATGGAGATAATGTTTCTTTTATGTTGACAGAGCAATGGAGATGGTAGCCCGCGGCCAAGTTTTCTTAGGAGATGATGGTCATTGCTCTAGATTATAGCAGTCCTCCATTGTCTTGCCAGGAGATGTCGAAGATATTCTCAAACATTCTCAATTTTCAGTGATAAAATTTTATAAACAATTGTTAGTTTGCATTTGACAAATACTGTAATAGAAAAATGCTCAGTTTAACAGGGAAGCAATTTCTATGCTGTAATTAAGTACACCAGAATTTCATATGACTTGTGGTATGAAAGTTGTACTAATATATTATTAAGAAATTATAGATTGACTTCGGTGTAAAATATACATTCCAAAAGTATGATCAATTCTACTACCACACCATATTTTCTAGGGTGTTACAGCACTAAAGACTTTTATCAAATGTCTTAAAAGATACTTTGGCTTGCCTATATTTTTATATTACCTTAAAATAAGAATTAATTTCTTCCATTATCCATAATTTGTATTTGCTGCTGTACTTAGCAAAGTTTTAAAAAAAATTAAAAAATAAAGTTTATATTTTATACCCAAATTGTGTTCAAAGCTTCGGGCAGTTCATAAACATTATTCCTGCTTCCTTATAATGGCTTGGTAATAGTATTTTAACAGCAACATGTATGAGCAACTGGTTTAAGCTATAAAATTTTACTTAAAGGCCAGCTGAAAAGCAAGGTTATGATTAAAAATTTAATGTGGAAGTGCTTCATAATATCTCAATTCATTCTTTACAATTAAAGTTATCTAAAAGCACCAACCAAGGGAGACTATGTAGCACCATCTGTGCCACTGGATATTTAAAAGGCACTAAATAACACAGAAGATGCCAATACAAGAACAAGAGCACATACGGGAAGCAATATCAAAGGTATTGTATCAGATTCACCAATGATTTTATCTTTGTAATGTGTCTGTGGCTCATTTGGGTACCCAGTTTCTAGCTGTGTCCCCTTGGGCGAGTGCCACCCATACTCAATAATTTGTCTTTGTTTACCCTGTCAAATTCTGAGGATTTTGTACATGATCATGCCTCTACGAATGCTTCTGCCTTCCAGCGATGTGAGGTATAGCCTTTCTTTGTATCTCATATATTCTAGTTCTGGAACTAGTCTAGTGGCATGCCTTTGAACCTTCTCCAGCTTTGTCTTGTGCTTGATAAAGTATGGACTCCATGTTGGAACCGCATATGTCAGGATTGGTCTTACATATGTGATATACAAGGATCTAAATGATTCCTTATGCAAGTTTATAAAGAAACTTCTGATATTAGCCAGTCTTGCATATGTCACTGACAATATTCTTTTAATGTGGGCTTCAGGAAAGGTTTGGGGGATATCAACTCCTAGATCTTTCGCCACATCGGTTTTTTGGAAAACTTTATCGCCCCTTCAGTACCCTATGTCTGGCTTCCTGTTCCCTCCACCTAATTCCGTTACTTTATATTTACTTGGATTGAATTTTAGTAGCCATTTGTTGAACCATTCCTTCAGTTTATCTAGGTTATCTTGTAGCTTCTTCCTCGGTCTTACTCCTCCTCATAAGTTTTGCCTTTCATAAGAGGGTCTCATGGTCTTCCTCATGATCTTCCCCCTCATAAGAGGGGGAAGACCATGCATTAATGTAAACAATACCCATGATCTTCACAAGGTGGAGGAGTTCACTGCTGTGTTCGAAAACACCCTTCCTGGATCACCCCATGATAGCGCAAGTGACTGGTGCCCCTGAGATGAGACCACCTCTCAACACTACCATGTCCACCTTCGGTAAGAGGCAGATCAGGTCAGCACACTGGTTCGAAGTCAGTGCAGAGGAACTGTTACCTCTCGTAGAGGAAAAGAGAAGTTCTCTCGGCCTACTCAATAATGTGTATTGAGTCAGTCGCCAGTGTCCCAAGCATTGGACACACTGGCGACTGACTGGGACAACGCTGTGCTAACGATTACTGGCTCCTGAATCTGTTCCAGCATCTAGACCGTGGCCACAGTCGACAACATAAGAGGCATGTATGAAGGGATCAAACAGGCAACAGGCCCTACACAAAAAAGGACAGCTCCTCTGAAGTCAGTCACCTGATGCACCATAGTGCACCTGGTGCACCATAGAACACTCACCATAGATACCCTTGTGCACCATGGGCACTCACAGTAGATCCCCTTGTGCACCATGGGCACTCACTGTAGATCCTCCTTGTGCACCATGGGCACTCACCGTAGATCCCCTTGTGCATCAAAGGGCACTCGCCTAGAGCCCGTAGTGCTCCAAAGGGCACTCGCCATAGAGCCCGTAGTGCTCCAAAGGGCACTCGCCTAGAGCCCGTAGTGCTCCAAAGGGCACTCGCCATAGAGCCCCTGGTGCATCATAGGCACTCACTGTAGAGCACATGGTGTATCATTGGCACTAGCTGTATATTCCCTGGTGCATTATGAGCATGCACAGTGGATCCCCTGGGACCTCGTGGGCACTCGCCATAGGCACATCTGGCATACGTCAAATTCTCTTAATTACTGTTCCCACTGATCTATACAACTTTTCTCGCCTATGGATACTTCCTTCATCCTTTTAAATTAGCCACAGTTATCCTTGTACCAAAATCAGGAACATTTCATACTAACCCCAAAAACCAATTAGCCAACCTGAGACACTAGGTAAAGTTTTTGAACGTTTTGTCAATGCCAGACTTTTGCACCATAAAGACAAGATATTATTTACAGACAAACACTTTAAATTCTGGTCTCGCCAATCCACAGAAGACGTGCTCAACATCATGAACAATTACATTCACATTAATCATCACTAGGGACAAAAAATTGACTGGCACATTCAGATAAACCCAACGAAATCCAAAAAATCAAATATTTGCAAAAAAATATGAAAACACAATAATTTAAATTATATTCATTCTCTCATCCCTGCATTCATTCCTGATTTGCCATCAGCCACTGTACTGGGCCTAATGCTTGATAAACGGCTAAACATATGCACTCGGCACAGAAATATACTATAACCCATCAAGTATTAGATAAATTATACAGATTGAGAAATGCACAAATTAGTAATAAAAACAACGAAAACAAAGCCCTCGCACGTCCTCACTAGAGTACAAAATAGAGCACTTTTATTGATTTATAACACAAACAAGATCTCATTACAAGTCTTCATGACAGATTAACATTTCAGGTAATTGACATACTGGAAAACACACAGACACAATTTGACAGACTATTAACCCATCGTGTTCATATCACTGTCCTTGCAAATATACAACCACCCAAAAAATGCACACAACCTATTCAACAAAATACAACCACCACAACCTATAAACACAAACTATTCCTCTAAAATCTCAAACCAGCTCAATCTGCTCTGGCATTAAAGACCATATTTCCTCAGTGTACACATAAACCGCTCAATGTACTGTTCACCGATCACTGCAACGCTGAGGAAATAAGGTGGTCTCTAACTCCAGGGCAGATTGTGTAGTCGAATCGTCTACAGTACAGTACACCGAGTGCACAACACTTCCCATTTAACTTCTTAACAATTAGCTCACTCTAGAATAAAGTACGAAAACAGAGGTGTGATATGGGGGAACCAGGTATATTCTCCCTTTGCACGAAAACTACGATTTCGATGTACAGTACGTGTCACCTAAAATGTTCAAAATTATGGAAAACATTTTAGACAAAATTATTATTTTCTGCAACACATCAGTTGTTAGTATCTGCAAGCAAGAACTGGAATACTGTACAGTAATCTAAGCCAATGTTCTCATCTATAACAAGCTGAATTTCCAGGGCCACATTCAACATATACTGTAGCTAAAAAAAAAGTTTCAAAAACTGTTGGCATTCTTTCTAAAACCTGATATTATGTACATCATGGGCAATAAATAAGCATTACCTGCCCTGGTAACTCTTTATTACTCTCTCATCTATCCTTATCTTAATTATGGTATTTGTGCTTGTGGTTGTACTACTCAAAATCATTTACATACTCTAATTACTCAACACAAATCGGCTATTAGAACAATAACAAACTCTGGCCTCAGACAGCACTCGGCCCCCTTACTTAAATCCTTGAATATGTTAGATATTAAGTCACTGCACATCCTCTCAAGTGCATTCTATATATATATAAAACTCTGAACTGTAATGCTAATCCTGATCTTAAACGCTTCCTAGAGAGTTGGAACAGAACCCATGAGCAACACACTAGAAACAAATATCTATTTGATATTCCAAGAGTGCAACTTAATGCAGACTACAAATGCTCTGTAAATCAAGGGTCTCAAAATGTGGAACTATCTTCCCAGTCACGTTAAAGACTGCCCATCTCTCAACTAGGTTAAGAGAAAAACTAAGTACTACCTAATCAACTCCATGTAACCTACCTTACCTCCAAACTGTCAACCTAAGTCTTGCTATTATCAAACATTAAAGTTACATTATGTTATTTATATATACTGTACAAGAATTGTTACATTCTTGTAAAGCCACTAGCATGCACTGCATTTCAGGCAGGTCCTTAATCCTATTTTTCCCCGGAATATGACCTGCCAAATCATTTAACAACCAAGTACCCATTCACTGCTGGGTGAACAGAGGCTACAGGTAAGAATTGACCCCTACTCAATCCTCACAGGCCAAATCGCTTGCGAAGCGCCAAGTGAGTGTTTTACGTACCACTACGCCATGTGCACTGCCTAAAGTGATTAATGATTAACCTGTAATGATTAATGACTAGCTTGTAAAATATTTGATATCTGCCATATGACATAGATGAGAATATTACAAACCACATTATCAAATTTGCATATGACAAAGATTTATGGTAAAGTGGAAAATGATAATGATTTTAAAGCCTTACAGAGAGATCAACAGGAACTCCACAAATGGTCAGATGACTGGCAAATGCTTTTTAATATCGACAAATGCAAGACCCAGCATGTGGGCCATAACAACCCACGTCACAACTACCACAAACCCCAATTAATAACATTACATTACAGCAGATTGATGAAGAAAAGGACCTTGGAGTCAAAATTCACTACTCAATGAAATTTGAACAGCAGGTAGGAGCAACAGTAAAAAAAAAAAACTAACCAAACACTTGGAATAATCAAGCATACCTTTGACCTTAAGGAAAAGAAGGTAGTGAGTGAGTCAATTGTATAAATCTCTGGTGCGCCTCCATTTGGATTACTGTATTTAAGCATGGAGACCTCATCTTCAGAAGGCTTGATTAACCTGAGGGGCCACAAACCCTAGTGGCCTTGACGAGGACAGGAAGCTGGTGGCTTGTCAAAGGTCCCCCCCCCCCCCATTTGCCTTGATCTGTTCTGATAGCAGTCAGAAAAGCTAACCAAATTCTTGGGATAATCTTGCGTACTTTTGACAATAAAAAAAGAAGGTAATGGTTCATCTGTATAAATCTCTTGTGATTACTGTAGTCTTACTTAGATTACTGTGCCCAAGCATGGAGACTTCATTTTCAGAAGGACATGGCTGCTCTGGAA